AAGTGTAAAGCAATACGGGACTCTTGGTATCATCTAAGGCAAGAGGGCACTCTGATCTCCGAAACAGACTCGCTAAGTATAAAATGGCAGGTGTGCCTGTCGATCATGGATATGCGCCCAAGCGCCCCCGGGGATGCTCTGGTACAATACGAGCTCATAACTGCCTTATCTCATGTGCTCAAGATCTTCACTTTCTTTTGGTAAGTTCAAATTGATTCCCCACCGTGGAGTTGGGATGGAATCGCGCGCCTGGACAAGACTAAGGAAGGGAATCAACAATCTAACTGTGTCGATGCCCGCTCGGGATAGAACTTGAATTTGAAATGTGGCACATTCTGGTTCCCTCCTTTCGTAATATTTCTCTGGAAAGCTTCCATTGTATTATTGCAGCATCTACACTTGCTAGATAGCTACCAAAGCAATATGCCATAAGCGGAGGGAATCAGCATATGACGTGAAATGAGGTTGCCGAATTAGGTAGACAAGCGACGGATTGAGCCCTCATGATGACTTGATGAACTTCACGCCAGACCTTTTAGATTCATTTCTCTTTTTCATAAACGGGTGAGTATTATGAGCGGTCCAGGTAAGTCCGTTAGTATGTAGAGTGTGAGTTTACCCTCCCACCGTTTGCTTGATAGAGGTGGACATGAACCCCTGACGCGGAGGTGAATTACACAACAGAAATTTTGTTGGATTCCAACTAATACGGCTAATAATAAGTGCTTACTGGGGTCAATAATGGGTGTGTATTCAACGTTGTTGCGGGTGTGTTGTGTTGTTGTCACCTAATAACCCCTCTTCTCGGCCGACCCCTTACATGTATGTATCAATCCGATCGCTCCTGCTTGCGTCAGGACGGATCCAACAAATTTTCTCCTAAGCCCATATTCCTTGAAAGATGTAAGCTGAGGATCATAGTATAATACTACCTACTACCATGATTGTTTAGGTCGCCCTGGGACCTTTTTCGTGAGCTTTATAATGACCTGAGCACTCTAGGATTATCCAATGAGACCGTAATCAGTTAGATTCAAATTCAGGCTCGGCAGAGAGAAATCTACATGATCTGGTGGCGATCCCTTCACCATCTAGCCAAAGGAAGGAATAAAGACGCCCATTCATGGCCCCAACACCACGTAGGTGTCCTCCGTACCATCAACTTCATATGTTATGACTACGGGCCAGAGATGGAAGCAATTCAAAACAGACTCGCTCTGAATTATACGCGTTACTATCTCCGTCACCTTTCCGTGTCATAGCTCGGATACGGCAGCAGGGATTTATATACATCGTGCTTGGCACCACATACCCACCAGCCGCTGCATCTATCAGTAGCGTGCTCGCGATTCGATCCTCGGCTTCCTTGACGTCATCAACTAACTCTTATGCTCTGAGTACAATCTTAACAATCTCATCGAGTGTCTCTCCATCAATTTCATCAGCACTAGCCACACATCATACAAATTTACTCAGCAACCCATCTTTTGAAGTTGGCGTCGATAGGTGGTGGCTGTATGGTCTGGGTGTTAAGCTTGCGGCCAATCTATCACATCAGATGCCTGCCGGCTTGATATAGGTTGTGGTCCAACACTCTTAATAGCCTCCAAAGGCACGTGTCACGTCTCAAACATCATCTTGAGATGTTTTCGTGTATATTGAATGCCGCTCTACCCACTAGACTGTTGAGTGGCGGGAGGCAAGTGTATTCCGCAAATAGTCTGACTGAACGATCGAGCCGATCATCCGCAAGTTTGCCAAAGACAGCCTCGACGAAGTTGTTGAGCGAGAATCGGGCACCCACCCGGCCACCAATCTACAGCTTGTATCTCCTCGGCGGTTTCGCCATGAGCGGGGTGATAAATGAGAGCGCTTCGCCAATCACAGGTGGGTAAAAATTGGATGTCATTTTGATTTAGTGGGAAGACGGGGCGGCGTCGTTTCCCAGCTCTCGGCGTTCGGTGTTCGGCGTTCTGCTGGGTCGACGATAACGCCAGTTTTTGTCATCCCCAGGCGGTTTGTCCCTTCATCCGGAAACGAGGGAGCGGACAAAATAGGTTTAGTAATTCCATTGCTGAATCATCCCTGCATTGATTATGCACACTTGCGGCTCCATCGATCCGAATCGCAGAAGCTTAAGTGGAAGGTTATTTCCTTCTGGGCTCACGTTCCCAAGCGGGAAGATTTTCCCGCAGTGCGGTCCGCTGTGCGGACAACGAAAAAGAATAGGGTGCTAGGGAAAGAAATGGGGAGACAAGTGGAGAGGATGCGAGCACGGAGGACGGACTCCAAAATTGTCAATTGGAGACATGATGACTCCTTGGTCAAATCCTCTTCTATTGCCCTCGTCATTGGGGAAATGCAGTCATGTGTGGAGTGCTTGTATTTTCAACCCTCTACCCGTCTATCCTAATCTATTTCTCTATGCCAGTCTAATTATTTTCGTTTATTCGTTTACTAATTATGATGATGCCTGCTGGGCAGTGGAGGGCAGATCAATCTTGCTCTCTTCATCTGACGTAGTCGCCTTTGCTCGGCCACCCAGGATCCCCGGGCTTGCCTCGTCAGCACCCATGGTGGACTCAGTAACCAAGTACATCCACCAAAAGTAAACGCCGCAAAACAGGCTGCCTCCAATGATGTTCCCTAGAAGGGCAGGGATCATACCTAAGGATTGGTCAGTCCGTGCAAGAAAGAAAATGGTGGATTGAAACCTTGAAACGTACCCTTGTAAATGTACAGTCCGACGGTCAAGCCGGGGGTGCCCATCCAGATACCGAGCGGCATGAAAAACATGTTGGCTACGACGTGGTCGAAACCCAGAGCCACGAATGCGAAGATGGGCAGCCACATGCCGGCGATCTTGGAGACCATGTCCTTGGCCTGGGTGGCTAGGAAACAAGCCAAGCACACGAGCCAGTTGCATCCGATGGCGCGGATGAAAATCTGGTGCCATTGGGGGTCCAGTTGCTTCTTGGTTGCGAATGCAATGACCTCGTCCTTGTAAATCTTAGCATCGAAAATTCCTCCATCTGTTGTTAGATGTCAGAACTCATACTTCTTCAAGTGATGCTTCGAGTTTCGCTTTTCGCTTCGAGTTTCGCTTATAGGAGCGATTTTGGAATGCCTAGAACTTACATCCAACGATGATTGCCATTACAAAAAGCGAGCCGAGGAGGTTTCCAAAGAAGCAGAGGAACCAGTGGAGCAACATTCTCCAAGCGGGGAGTCTTCTGTGAAGAACAGCCACGGCGGTAAACTAGAATGGTCGAATTAGAACTGCGGATTGAAACTCAAATACTGATTATTGAAAAAAAGACTCACCATGTTCGTTGAGGTAAACAGATCAGCACCCGTCAACACAATAACCACCAAACCCAGGGGGAAGACGAAAGCGCCAATCAGCTTGATCAGACCGGGGGCATTCTCCTGGAACCATGGTGCCGTCATGGCCGTCAACGAGACGGCACATCCGAAGCTAAGAATACATCCTGCGGATATGGCAGAGAGGAAGACCTTCTCAGGACGCAAGTGGCCCTTCTGGACACCGATGCGGCAGACGAGCTCGGCAGTTTGGGCTGGCGTGTAGGCCGCGGAAACCGTGACCTCGGGAGTAAGGTTAGACATGGCGATGGGAAGCGGAATGAAGATGATGGTGAGCGGATTTTCGTAGGCTGTGGAGGCGAGTTATGGAGCTTTTATCTCAACTGATCTCCAGAGCTGGGGTCATAACTCGGGGGAGCTCGGCGGTTGGGGGGCTGCCACAAGCAAGAGGTCCACCCAAAACATGCCGAATTTCATCGAGGGCAGTCATAATGAGAAGGCAAGCCCTGTGAGAGCCTTATCTCGCCGATGATAAGGTCGAATTTTGCAACTTGGCGTCGACAAATGGCGATAGCTGGGATCCGCCACTAGATGTGTTAGCGGCGGACCGGCCCCCGTCTGGATGGAGTCATTAGTTCTAGGCCCTGATTCAGTCAGTGTGAGCTCCTTTCTTCCGAGCCTTGCACCTTGTTTGACCAGCCATATGCCCGTTGTGGTGCCATGAGGCATGGCTGTCATGTGGTCATGTGGCTGACGTAGCTCGATTTCCCCTTGGGATCGGTGCCAGTGGCGTGGGGGAAAGGCCATCTTATGCGGGGATCGTTGGAGTTTAGGAGCCAACTTGGAGAAAACTAAAGCCAGCAGGAATTGGAGTAAGCTCAATGCACAGCAGGGTTGTGAAAGCTTGGCGAGGGTGGATGTAACCACAAACACTCGGACACACCATCACAGGCGTGATTTGAGACCATGTAGGGAATGATTCCGAAACCAACGAGTTAGAGTAGACAGAGACCAGAGAAATGACCGAGTTGCTTCCCTGCCGTTAGTTGCAGCTGATCCAAGTATTGGGAAGCAACTCACAAGGCTGTCTGTCAGCTGAGTAGCAGCTAAGAGCAAAGCCTCCCAGAATATCATCTGTAAAGTAAAGAATTGATTGCCTAATCTATCCCATCTTGTTCATAGCCTTTTCTTTTTTTCTTGCGTCTTTATCTTTCGCTTAGATGTTATATCGTGCGTAGTATGATTATACTACTAATAAGTGACATTATAGGTGCGTACTAACATGCTTGATATATTCATCTGCAGATTCGCATAGGGACATGACCTATCTGACAAATCGTCTGAAATATTGCCGCCATCACGGCTTCAGCAATGGTCAGGGCGGCCATGGCCGTACGGCGTGAGGCACTGCGCAGGGATCATGGTGGCCCTTGGCACCCAGTCTGCCCTCTCCGCTGCTCATGTCGTGGCGACCAGTGGTCCAGTCCTACGAAATGGCGGCAGGGGCCTGAAAAAGACAAGCGCCAGAAGATGGGCACACCGTGGGAGATGACGCCCTGGTTACCACCACACTTGGGGATGCCAAACTTCGGTGGCTGCCTCCCCGGGGTCGAGGGCCTCGGGAACAAAGAGGAAGTCGTTGTGATGGTGGCCAATCATCCCATCACTACCAAAGCCTAGTCCAGTCTCGAAACCCTTAACGGGGATGGACAGTATGGCGTAGGCAGGGGCAGCCTCACCCAGACCGACGCGGGCATTACGGATATGTATGTGACAGCTCTGCCGATTGAGTCGTAGGCATCGCGAAGCTCAGCAGTGCGGGCCGGGCGGCGGCAGCGTCGTCGGCTTATAAAGATCGGACGGTGAGGAAATCGCTGACGTGGGCGCGGGAGAGAGACTCGCAGAGAGGGGGGAGGACGGAATCGGAGGGAGAGGCATCCGATGGATTCGAAGAGCTTGCTGTTGCCGACTGAAATGGCAAAGGCAACGATCTCGATGCCGTAGGTCTCAGCTAGCCACTTCTCGGCGATGGCACTAGCTGCCACACGGGCGATGGACTCGCAAGCTGAGATGCGGCGCCATCAGAACTGGCCGCGACGATGCACTTCCCGAGGTAAGTCTAGTCGGCACGGCTGGGACGAGAGTGGTCGTCGATGGTCATATTGCCATAGTCCTTAGACCTCTGATCCTCGTAGGGAACGAATAGGGGTACTGATGATTCGGCCGTTCTGGGTTCCGAAGAGAATCATCAGAGTTTATCACAAGGGCGCTGATGGAGGATTAGCCATGATGACAAGAGTTCCTCGCGTGTTGCCCAATGAACGCGTCGAGAATTTCCCCCTGCCCGCAAGCCTACCCTATAGACCTGAACAACCTCAGGCGTTTACACTCAAGATATTGACGTTCCAATAGAAATGCCAACTAATTACTGGTCTTTTTTTTTCTCTCTTATTGAGTATAAATCTTAATCTTTATGTTATTTCCAGAAAACCTTGCCCTCCATCAACCTCCTGGCTGTTCTATACACATTCGCCGACTTGAGGTCCCCCGACCCATCGAAGTCTGCATCAACCGTCAACGTCCCGCTGGCATGCTGCACCACCATCGCCGACCCGTCGCCATCAGACTGCAATACACACTCGGCCACCGTCGTGCCGGGCGTCCTGGCACCGGCGGCGAGGGCCAGCGCCACCGTGACGGGGATCGCCTTGTGCGGCTGCCCCACGGACATGGCGCGGGCGACCAGGTTCACCTCCTCGGCCGCCGACCCGGACGGCGGCCTCGACACGATGGCGATCTTGGGCACTGACCCGGGCGCGGAGGATGCGGAATCGGCGAGGCCCATCTTCACGGCGGCCTGGCCCCGGATCGACTCCAGGCGGTCCTTGAGGTCGGGGTGGTCGTCGATCTGCTGGGGCGTGAGGCTGCCGTCGACGTCCAGCTCCGCGGCCTGGACGAAGCAGCAGGGGTTGCCGGCGTCTATGCAGGTCGTGCGCACGCCGTCAAACACGTCAATGGCATTGCCGGTGGGCAGCAGCTTGCCCGTTCGTGACCCGGCCGGGTCGATGAACCGCAGCTCGATCGGGGCCGCGGTCCCGGCGACGCCGTCAATGGCCAGGTCTCCGCTCGATGCTGCCTCGCCGTCGGCCATGGGGAAACGCGCGTGGATGATCTTCTTGGTGTTGGTGTTGTGGATGCGGACGGTGGTGGTCTCTCCCTCAGCCTCGGCAACCGGGAGGAGGCCAGAGTCGACGGCGAATGGGCCGACCGCCGCGGTCATGTTGCCGCAGTTGCTGGAGTAGTCCACATGGGCGTTCTTGATGCCGAGCGACACAAAGGTGTAGTCGACGTCTGCGTCTGGATGTGTCGAAGGTCCTACGACGCAGACCTTGGACAGGCTCGAGATGCCGCCCCCAAGCCCGTCCAGCTGGCGGCCGTAGGGATCAGGTGAGCCAATTGCACCCAGGAAAATGGGGTCCCACTGCGATCTGTCCGTAGGGAGATCCTTCACCTGGATCATAATTGCCCTGGATGTCCCTCCGCGGTAGTATGAGGCTGCAATGCTGTTCTGGCGCCTCTGCACCGGCACGCTGGTCGAGAAGCGCGAGCATTGTGAGCTCCCAGCCCATGGCGATGCTCTCGTTGTGACTGTGAGGCGTGCTAATGACGCTGGCGGCCGAGCCACGGAGCGTGCCGCCAACAGCGACATTCTTTTAGAAGGCGTGATTGGAATCAATCAAACGAGATAGATGATGAATGATCTGCGTTTGCAACCTCGACATTGAGCTTGAGCTCGGGTCCGGTTCGGAAATGCGACGCCATTTGGTAAGCCGAAGCCACCACCCTGGCCACCGAAGGAGTAGTTGGCCGGATTTACATCAATTAAAACAGCAAGCCTGATTATTATTGAATAATATTCAATTTCTAGGTGGTATTAGCATACACATGAGGTAGGGGATGATTCTCACTCTTATTTGGGTAGAGGGTCGGAATGGAACCACGGGCGTGATGATTGATCCACCACAAATGGCTCCGGATAATCATTTACGGGGAAGTGTACATCAATTTCCAGGCAATTAGTCCACACGAAGCTCACATCATCATTTCCGTATTATTATCTGCTCATGCCAACCCGGGCATGCTCATATTAATCTCCAACTCCTCATTCCTTGACCCTGTCCGCCTTGCCGGTCTTCACATCGTAAATATACCCTGTGATGGGCACGTCAAGCACAAGAGGGCTCTTCTTCAGGATCTCAATGTCATCCAGCACACTCTTCCTCAAATCACCAAAAGGCAAAAACGCGATATGGTCCGCGTTCTCATTAAGATCGTCCCGGATCTTGGCCTTGATGTCGGTATCCGAGAAGGTGAGCATCCCGCAGTCCGTCTGCTCTTGTTAGCGAACTTTGCTCGGGGCAAGAAGCAAGAAAAGGAGGGGTAAATCCGCCTTACGTGATGGACAATGACAATCTCTCGCGTGCCCAGCAACTGCTGCGAGATGACAACCGAGCGCAGGGCGTCAATGGTGCGGCCGCCGGCGTTGCGGATGACATGGGCGTCTCCCTCTTCCAGGCCCAGGACCTTCGCGGGGTCCAGTCGAGCATCCATACATGCTACAACAGCAACCTTGCTATATCGAGTCATGTTAGATGCCAAATTATCTCGAGCGGGGAGAGCGTGGTCCATGCTCACCGGCCAGGCGGGAGTGGCAGATCTCCCTTGGTAAAGGAAGCCACATATCTCTCATTCGCCGCCTCAAATTCCGGGACGACAGATGGCATGGTTTGATTTAATTCTTTTTCTTAAGATGCAATTGTGACGGGAATTTAAGGATCAGTGGTAGGAGGAAACATTGACATATTGGGAGCCGTGATGGCTGTTTAAGTAGTCTGTCTACCTCTGCCCAATGTGAAGACCTAATGAGGTCGAGATCTGACGTATTGAGACATCTCTTGCCATTTTAGGCCTCTGGTCCGCCCTGTGGCGTCCCAAGAAGGGAGTGTTGATGGCTATCCATCGACTGCCATTTGCCAGTGAATGAACCTCCCACATCGTCTAAAATGGCGTAATATGCGGAGAAGTGCACGTAACCCTCCTTCATTGTTCAGATAGCGAGACGTAGCTTTACGCAACGAGAGCATGATACGTTAATAATGGGGGAGGATTATTTTATGGTGTTGACGAGGCGCTGCGGTAATTAGTTGGGTGGTAGATACGCGAGCCTCGATGCTACGGGTCCCTTCCCCATGAATATCTGCAACTCTGGAGTCTGGCGCATGGTGGAGTCATGGTCCAGTGTGCAGCGAGATCTCGTTGGTAGATCAAACTGTAACGTCAACTGGGGGTCGAATTCTGCCAATTGAGGCATGGTATTGTTGCATGGGGGCTTGTGAACTTTGAGGCGAGGTTCCTTATCTTGAGATGGGAGAATATGCAGCTATGCTGAATGTCCACGTCCGATGGCCTGTAGCGGCGAATTGCCAAGGTTTGGATGATGTTTCACGTCCTGCCGCCGTGACATTGATGACATTGATGCAACCAACACAAGTTGTTGGTCGTCGCATTTACCCACTCATGATCACATGAAGAGTAGCAAAATCGGAGCAGAGTTTCCAATTCTGGGAATCGAACTCATCCAATTGAGCGTTCCGGCATTTGCCATACCTCTAAAGGGGAGGGGTTTGATCCCGAGGGTGACGATGCGGGGAAGCCAGAGCGACTTGGGGGGTACATCATCAGATGCTCGAATGAGAATCCGGGCCTGAAAATTCCGTAGTCTCGTCATTGATGAGGCTGTAAGGGGCCCTTGTGGGCATCGGGTCCGAGTTGCGGGAAGAAGCACAGGTGTTGCGCTGATACCTGCCTGGTGGACAAGGTGGCTGATCAAACAAACATGTCCATCAGCTTCCGTGAAGGCCAGGCGTTCACGTCCCTGTATTTCTCAGCAACGCGCTTGAGTGCCTGGCGCTCGTATGGGTCGGTGAAAAAGTCGCCATAGAGTTGGATGATGCAGGTCGCATTGAGGATCGCAGGCGGAGAGGACGGATGGCAGAGGCTGATGCCGCAGAGCTCGAGGATCAGTGCGCGGACATCGCTTTCCATCTTCCTCCAAGCTGCGCGCGAAGCCGACGCAGATCTTTTGCACTGGTCAGACACGATTTGCAATCTTAGCGAACATGCATCAACTTACTTGAGAGAGGGGTCCTCGGCAGCGAGCACCGACTTGGCCATCAGAGCCTGCTGGATTGTCGTGACTTCGATCGTAGAGCCGTACCAGACTGTGGGGAATATCTCGCCTTTTGACTTGTCGGCTGGCCTGCGGAAGATGGGGAGGAAATCAACGAGCACGTCCTGCTCTAGATGTTCTTGCTGCCTGATCAATCGACCTGCAGTAAACCATGTCAGCTGTGTTTCTCCTCGCTGTCCGTATTGCCATGAAGCACACGGCGTAGGGCACTCACTCCATTCCTGAGCAGATCCATCACCCCATCGCCACTTCACAACCTGCACCGTGTGCATGACCGCCTTGTTGGCGCTTGATGCTCCGGACCAGTAATCTGCAGCAAGGATCATCTGCGGTGCCTGCCGCCGCGTGAACGAGTGGAAAATTTCCTGCCTCAGGGCCATCCAATACGACGCCCGGATCAGGCTCCTGCGACCAAACAGCGTCTGCGACGGAGGGCTCCGCAGCACCGCATCGATGATGGGCAGGAAGTTTATCTGCTTTTGCATTGGCTGAACGGTGAAGGGCGGGGGACCGTCCTCTGAAGCACCATCCTCTTCATCATCGATCTCTTCCAGCTGACGGAGTAGCACGCACGTCGCAATGATGCTGTCTCGATACTCATCGTCTTGGGCGTCGTGGAAGTGGCGCAGAGCGGGGATACATCTAAGCATGTACTCGACAGAAGAATGCCTGTCGAGCTTTGGTAGCAGCTGGCCAAAGTAAACAACTCCCTGGGGCGTCTTGAACTGCGGCATGCGGCTGAGATGTCGAGCCGCAAGAGCAAAAATGGCATTGAGGAGGTGTGGCTGCGTGCGCGCGCGGAATGGAACCACGACCTCGAAATGTCTTTCAGGATCAGCGAGGTCAAGCTGGGATGGGAATGAGGGTTAGCACTCATGTGATATTGGTAGATCAATATGTAGAGGGTTCCTGAAGGGGGTTTACTATACCCAATGTGCCAGCTCGTAGATGTAATAGCTCATCAGGCAGGCTTCCTGGGGATCCTCGAGCGGGAACCGTCGGTACTCCTCGCTCTGACCTTGGACCAGTGGTGGTAGCGAAATGCTGCCTGACCGAGCAGCCGACCAGGGTTTGGCCGGGTGGGATGGCCATAAGGGCGCAAGGTCAGTGCCCGAGAGCATATTTGACGTGGGGGACGGGGCGAAGGCATCTGCAATCGGTGGAAGAGTCTCGTTCCATGCAGGGTGAGGCTCATGCGGGTGATCATACTCTTGTGTATCCTCCCGCGGCGTCAGAAGCTCCTGGGGCTTGTCGATCTTGCGGCGTTTGGCTGGCGTAGCAGCAGAGGTGGTAGTAGAGAGGGGACTCGCCGATGCACACGTCGACCCCAAATCTGCCGAGCCAGAGGTGGTGAACAGAGGACTTCGGTCCTGCGACATGCGGTCTCTCAAGCTTAGCTCATCGGCGCCTCGTGAATCCGGACGTCCGGCCCCTGATACCCCTGATCCCGATGCTGGGGATGAAGCTGCGGCGGAAGCAGTCGCAGGACCTGGCGCAGGCGTATGCGCGTCGAACTGGAACAATTTGGCCTGGCTGCTTACCCATTTCTGATCCTTGGAAAAGTTGGCAGACGAATCATGATGGAACACGGTCTTCTTCGATGGGCGCTCGCAGGTCAGCCCCTTTGACTCGCAACGGCCGCATTTCGGCTGCTGGTCGTCGCCTGCATATGATGGAACAATGTTAGCGACGCCTTGTCACCTCAGTCCTCCAATCGATCAAAAGTTCTCAATTCGCGCAATGGCGACGAGCTGGACAACACCCACATTTGACGTGCTTTTCTGGACCGCGAGTCAGTCAATCGGTACAGGGACACATGGCATTGGGGGACCTACCCTTGCACTGGAGGCATGGTATCTTGACGACGGGCATTGCAACGAGAGCGCTCTCCTCCTCTCCGCTCGCGTTCCCGCAGCTCTAGGTGACGGATGTTGGATGGAGGAGAGGGTCTGAGGCTCAAGGATGAGCGGTTGATGGGCGCAGAGGGAAGATTGAGTCGGGGAACCCCATACCAAAAACGAGCGTCATCACAAACTGGGATTAGACCTGGGGTAGGGTGGAAGATTCGCGAGGCGGACGAGCAAATGAGCGACTGCTTATTGAGGCATCAATGCAGATTCGGGGTGGAGCACGTGGGGGGAAGTAGACGCGACGCAGACTTTTCTTTCCTCTTGGGCGAGATCGATATCCCCCATATAATAATTATGGAGTGGAGTTGGGATCCGGGGAGGCTCGTTTCTGGCCCCTTTTGGGTGTTTGGGGCGAATCGATAGCGCGGCAGTGCCCTGAGTCCCAGCGGCCTTCAGCGCATCGCAGCACCCGGCACCCGCTACACCGGCTACAACAGCCCCTGGAGTCTCCGAGCTCGGGAGATTTGGGGTCGCGGACGGCTTCGATATTTACTGTTGCTGGCCTAGTGTCGCCGCTATTCATGGTCACAAGACCTCGGTTTCCATCAGCTTCTCCACAGTTGATGCACATCGTGAGCCTTGGGGCAACCTAGTTTTTACCTAGTAATTATTCTACGTTGGCTTATTACACTCAGCACCATCAGAAGGGACCATCGCCACGCCCAGACACGGCAGACACCGTCTTGACCACCATGATCCCCTCCAACTGCTCGTCACTCCCAGAATTTCTCGTCACAGCGGCTCTGAAACCGTCTTTCTGCCTTCCCCTCGTTTCCAGCTCTATCCCCTCGCCCAATTCAACCTGGCTCTCACCCATATTGCCTCTCTCGTGGGATCTATGGTATCGGTTGTCGCGAATTTGATGAAAGTCCCTGCGCGTCCGGGTGGAATTCGATCCCGTGGTCGTATCCTTGCCATAACTGCCACTCGATATGGTAGATGCAAGCCAAGGGATGAAGCGTTTCGTCAGCTTTCTCATTGCAGGCAGGCACACCACAATGATGGAGACCGAGAGCTCAATCCCTGTCCAGACAATCGTCTCCGTATAGTCCCAAGTCGGGTTGACGGACAGGCCGAATCGTGAGATGTACTGTAGCCGGATACACGACGTGATGGTGATGAAGATGCCTAGGCTGAACATGACGAAGATGCCAAACTTCTCCTTCCTCGCCATCTTGAGATTCCACAACAAGGGCAGCGGCAGCGTGATGACCAGGGCATCCTGAAAGATGCTGAACCCGGCGGCGAGCACGGTGAGGAGGTGGACGTCGGAGCAGCGGTCTCGGTAGTATTCCAACCGCCATCCAAGCCAAGCCCACTGGACCGGCTTGCATTGAAAGATTTGTAGGAAGACTAAAGTAAGCGTAGGTATTATGATCAGTGCGATGACGGTGAACGCCGCAACTCGAAATTTCCTGTTGGGGAAGATGCGTAGATAGAAGCAGACCAGTGAGATTTTGCATAGAGCAAGTGCCACCAGATACAAGCTTTCGCAAACAAAGAATATCTTAGTCCGGAGATGGTTTAGCGAAATACGTTTAAAATGGAGGGGAGGGAGGGCGGTTGGATATAATGTTTAATCACCTTGAGAGCTTTCGTAATAGTATCATAGTCGAGAGACCACATATCAACACCAAAAGCAAGATATCCAGCTAAGGCAGCACCAAATCAGTACTGTCACACGACAAAACGCTAGTGAAATGAACTTACTGTACTTCCCAAGAACAAGTAACGGAGTATAGATAGCCTAGTTCCATATATGAGTTTTTGGTTGTTATGCCGTGCATATCACCACCAGAAGGAGAAATATCATACCCCGATTGCAAGTACCATGTAGTCGTCTAGCTCCAACCGGCCCATTGTAAGTATTCTTGAGTAGAGAAGAATCCAGGGGCAGAACCAAGCAGGCACATCCGCAATGAGGGGCAGGAAGAGAACATGTTTCCGCGAACGGCTCGTTCGCTCGCACGCTGCAGCCTCGACCTGGGCGACCTCTAAACATGGAGACATATGTTATTAGTTCACGCAAAGGTCTGTTGTCTTATCATAAAAGGCGAAGACATACTGAGCGCATCACTTGCTTGGCACTTTGAAACCACACAAATTTGTGCCAGCTCAATGAAAGCTGTATCAGAACAGACGCATGTTGAGTTGGTGAAGGGACATGAGGTATTCCCCATCACTGAAGTAAAACATGATATCTATTATTGGGAAAAGGGAACGAAAAGTAAAAGTAAGTCGTTTGATGTTTGCAGAATGGGATTTGGGTTAACAGAGAGTAGGGAGGAAGAAAATCAAGTCATACCCCACATGCTGGGAATTTGGAAATCTCACTTATGAGATTAACCTCTCCGCGGCTCACATTTACAAGCCCTAGAACGATAATAAAAAGCTCGATGATCATTCTTCGGGTGGAAAACGCCATGATATTCGTCCTCCATGGGTGGGACTAAATGAGACTTGCTTATGACAACCTCGTTCTTGATAGAAAACGATACAACTTCCAATTTAAATAAGCAAGTAGGCAACCTAAACATTGGCCCAACAAAATGAGAAGGGCCCAAAGAATTTGGACACGCGTCGAGGATCTTCCGAGGTTAAATGATCCTACCCAGATCGACGGCATAGGCAGAGGGGGATATCACACCCCACGTAGCAGTTCAATTGGGGGGCGTTTGAGAAAAAACATCACCAACAGCATGTAAGGGGCAGGGGCTAGGCATATCCAGGCCGTGGGATAAGGTGGTATGATAGTCTTATTTTTCAAAAGTTCATGAGCATCCGGCCGATGCCCACCACCATCATACCGTTTCAGAAACCTTTGGCCGGTAGGGTTACACCACATGTGAATTTCCATCCACTGTAAACAGACACGCATGCTTCCAACCTACCATCCGCGGCTTCTCCAGTCCGAGGGCCTATTTCGCTTCTGCGGCAGGACAAGACGGGAAAGTTGCCCCGCCCGACATCACATTCCACGGACTGTTGGTCCAAGTTTTTTAACCCTTGCCGGGAACCTGTACCTAAGATTTGTATTAATTTTGTTATTTTACCCTTGTGAGCCGATCTTTATCAAATGAGAATGAGAAATGTACGAATGTGCAAACCAACAGTTGAGCATGGCAAGGTAGCATTGACGACCTCCATACCCAACTGTTGGCCGTGGGAGAGCCACGCCGCACATGCGAGGGATAAATCATATAACGGCATGACTAACTGTGCTCTCATTTCCATTTCTACACCTGAAACAACCGAGAAAGCAGTAGATCGCCCGTCCGTTTTTCTTTGCTAGCACTCCGTATCTTCCTACCATAAAGAGATTAAGTGAGTCCTCGATGCCGAGAGATATGTGATAGATCATTCATACATCAGCCTTAATAATCCACCAAGGGTCGTAGATGCGACAAAATTGAATATCACCGTTCCATGGGCAACGGATATTCCCTGTTACTAGCTGGCGAATTGGATGAGTGAGTGTTGTGGGAGCGTGGCTCTGGGTTGCGCTGTATGGCCGTCCATTTTGAGCCGTCGCTCGTCTGGCTATTTACATAGTGGCGTCATACATTCAAAAAGAAATACGGCTCTATTCAATACTTGCCGTATTTGTGTTTGCATCAATTTAGTTGATAATTGAGAAGGAGAAATGCCAAAAAGAGATGGACGAACAGGGAATCGAACCCTGGACCACTCCCAAGTGTTCAGAACATGCTAAGGGAGTATTATACCACTAAACCATTCGCCCCTGGTAGATGCATGATTGCTTCCACGACGGTCTCATAACCAGAAACGGCCGAGACGTTACAGTCAACAAGACCGGTCCCTGGGTATTCTAACGGTAAATCTTATTTGAGTAGCAGGATCTTTCTATCTGCTCCCTTTGATTTTATAAATCTATTAGTATAATCACAATATAAGATTCTACTGCCCGTGGATATTTGGAAATACTATCGCCTCCCCGTCCAAGCGTTTCAAGTACGCCACCAGTAACGGATCCATGCCTGCCTGACTGACCAACTCTATCCAATCTCTGAGATTGACGACCCTAATCGTCTTCCCCTCCGTTTTCGACAAGAACTCTGCAAGCTGGTGCAGAGGAAGCACCACTTCGCCGGACTGGTACACGTACTCGAGATTCTCAACCTTGGATAAAACGTGGCCGATGATAAGTCTCGCCGCCGTGCTCACGCTGACTAGATCCAGGGATCCGCGCCATGTTTCCATCCTCGGCACGGACGTCGTGATTTTTGCAAACTTTAGCAGGTTGCTCATCAAATCGTTGGAAGGCGCTTGGTTCCCCGTCACGCTGCTCGGGCGGTGCACAAGAACGGGCAATCCAAAGCGTCGTGAGACGTGTTCAAGAAACACTTCGGACACCCACTTTGAAGCCGTGTAGGCGTTTTGTCCGTCAGAGACAGGACCTGGTTGCCATTGACCAACCGAAAAAGGGCCAAAGTCGTCCAGTCCGGTAAGTTGCGCAACTGCCGCGGTCGACACGAAATGGAACGGTATACGTCGTGGCAGGCTTAGACGAACCAGCTCCTGCGTGGAGCCGACGTTTACAGGGAAGAGGCTTCGATATGATTTGAGAAACGAGACGTCCGCGCCCATGTGAAGAACTGCATCGACGTTCAGGAATATAGACCGCGCTGCGTCGGGTGAGAGCCCGATCCTCGGGGCGGCCAAATCACCCATGCACACGGCCACCTTGGGATGCTGAAAGAGAGCCGGCAAAGAGTCTTTTGCCTTTCGTACTGCGAGGCAGTAGATCTTTGTGACGTTGCCGTTGTCGATTAGTTGGCTGAGTACTTCCTGCCCGAGAAAGCCTGTAGCACCAGTCAAGGCAATAATTGAGGGGGGAATAGTTGGTTTCGTTGCATCTTCGTCAATCACATCAACCAAGTCGGGCGGGAGTGCGGCCTCCAACTCCCAGTCGACATCGTAGGGCCGAGGATTTTCAGACTTTGCATCATACGAATAAATTAAGTCGGCCATTTCTCTGAGGGTTGTGGCTCCAAAGAGCTGGTCTAGTCGGAGCGAAATATCCAGACGCTCGCGAAGAATTGCCTGGAGATGGATAAGAGCCAACGAACTTCCCCCGACGTGAAAGAAATCCGTGTCAGACAGCAATTCAGTGCGGGACGAGACGTCAGTGGGGAGAACCTGGGCCCAAATCTGCCGCAATAGTGCTTCTGAATTCCTCGTGTCGTAGCTCGGGCCCGTCTGACACTCGTCTTTCCTCCCCACAGGCAAGGGGAGAATGTCAACTGCCGCACGATCTATCTTGCCGGAGAAAGTCGTCGGGATTTTGTCCACCTCCACCACGAGCGAGGGCTTCATGTAGTGCGGAAGTGGAAGCAACTCTGGGAGCTGCGACAGCAATTCCTTGCGAGGGGCCTGGCCAAGCCTCGTCTCCCTTGGCCAGACAACAAACGCAACTAGATATTGAGTGTCTGAGTCGGAGCTCGTTCGGAGGGAGACCACGACCTGCTCCACCGATGGCATCATGGTTTTGAAAATGGCATTTTCAATCTCTTCGAGGTCAACTCGTAACCCCCTGAGCTTTACCTGCGTGCTGCCCCGGACCCGGCCTTCCAGTGTGAGACGACCGGACGAGTCTAAGCGTCCTCGATCCCCTGAAAGATGGGCAGTCGCCCACTCTTTCTCCTTAGCAAATTCGCTTGCCTCGTGGTCCGCAACGAACGCAGCATCCGTGAGACTCTGTTGATTCAGATACCCACGCGCAACCCCTGCGCCTGCAACTAGGATCTGGCCAGGCACACCGCACGGGACTGGCTTCAAGTCCTCGTCGACTATGCGTATGCTGATGTTGGACATGGGACTCAATACAGCGAAATCCGGTATACCGCTGCCGTGCCCAGCGCCGAGCGGAACGATGCAGTCGGCACAGGCAAATGTCGTCTCGGCTGGGCCGTAACCATTGATCAGACAGAACTGGGGCCTCGCCAGCGACGAGAAACTATTGACAAGGCTCTCTGTCATGGGCTCTCCGCCACTCAAAGCCTTGTTCCACTGTAAGCCCTGCAGGAGACGGTTCTCCCACCCACTCCGAATCCATGCCAAATACTCCGTGGGTGTGGCAATCGTGAATGTGACTCGCTCCGAGGCGATTATAGAGCAAATGGCTTGCGGATCGTGGCGCTCATCATCCTTGGGGCAGACGAGCGTCCCGCCAGAGCCGAGGCACACGAGTATTTGGCACATGGCCATGTCAAATGCATAAGACGACTGGTGGAGAATGATTTCTTTGCCTTCCTCAAGTTTCCAACGTGAGATGCCATCTTCGACAAAGTTCAGAAGGGAGGAATCCTTGAGGATTATTCCCTTGGGTGTACCGGTAGATCCACTGGTATAAGTAATGATGGAATCTTGGCAAGCCTTGGCTCGGCTTCTTATAGTCTTGGTGGTAGAATGGTTGTTATCGGACACCGAAACCCCCGAAACATCAACCATCTCTATCCCAGTCTTCATCAAGAGATCTTGATTTGTATTCAAAGCCCCCGCATCAACCAACATCAAAGCCAATGAGCAGTCCCGTACGATGAGAAGCAATCGGTCTTTGCCAACTCGAAGGTCGAGAGGAACACATGTTGCACCGGCACACCGTATGGCCAGGAACGAACAGATCCAATCCGGCCCGGCGGTTTGGAACACTCCAACACGCGAGCCGCTCGTCACTCCTCGATTGTGGAGTTCAGTCAAGATTTGGTTCACGCGGGTGGCCATGGATTGATAGCTGAGACGCTGGTGTTTAAATCCGTTCACGAGAGCAAGTCTGTCAGGATATTTTTCAGCCATTTTCGCGATATGATCGATCATGGTCCCTCCCCATTCCGTCCGGAACTCTGGCCCTAGAAGCCCTTGTTGTTAGCGATATCAGTGTGAAGTCGTCCATGACGCTTACCTCGTCCTGCGGCGATGGAATCCTGAACATCTTCCTCTCGATAGAGTATGGCCCGCGTTATCTTTGCTGCTGGATTCCGAGATGCATTCGTCAAAAGGCTCACGAAACACTTTGCCAGAACAACGGCATCGTTTTGCGTGTACAGCGCACTGTTCGCAGAAATGGTGACAAGCTCCCCTTTCCCGCTGCTACTGTCCAAGACATCGAGGCTAACATCGTAGGCGTCTTGGCCAGCGGAGATGAGCTCGCCTTCAGCCTCGCATCCGCAAAACTCCCAAGTCTCCTGAATGTTTTGGCGGTAGTTGAAAAAGCTCTGGAAAAGGGGGGTATGGGAAGTCGACCGAGGGACACCCAGTTCCGCAAGGATCAGGTCGAAAGGCACCCCAGAGTTGGCAAAGGCAGCGTCACTTGCCTCTTTAACATTCTTGACTGTTTCAGTAAAGGACTGATCCGGTTCTAGTGACAGCTTCAACGGAAGAATGTCTAGGAAAAGACCAAGGCTATGCAACACATCTGCGGTTTTCCTATTGGCATCTGCCACGCCGATGCAAATATCTCTCTCTGGGTTGTTGGTGAAGCGGAAGAGGAGAACATTGAAAACGGCTAGGAAGAAGTGCCAACGTGTGACACCCAGCTGCCGACAGCATGTTGCAATACTGCCACTGAGCCCTTCATCCAACCGTATCTTGGCTTGGAAGGATCCAAAAGATGATACCTTTGGACGGCTCAATGTACGGGACAGTGAAAGGAGCGGTAGTGCCGATGGCCGGCGTCCAAGTTGGTCCCTCCAGAATGCGAGTTGTTTGGACCATGCGCCGCGCTTGTGCTCGCTGATCTGTCTCAATGTAAAATCTGGATACTGTAGCATACTTGTCTTTGACTCCTCCAAAGAGTTTTGGTACGCTTTTTCTAGATCAGCATGAAAGATCTGGTGCCCGACTCCGTCCATGTAGATATGATGATAGCCCAAGACGAGGAAGTAAACTTTGGCCTTGAGCCGAAGCACACGAAGAAAGACGGACTCTCCTTTGGAGAGGTCGAAAACATGACTCTGCATGGCTTTGATTGCGACGTCAACCTCGCCACGCTGATTGACATTTGAGTACTGGAATTGGCAAGGAGAGTCCGAGGTTCTCACCACGCCTTGAGTAAGCTGTCTCGTGGCCACGTCGATGTAAAGAACGGTCCGCAGGGCTTCATGGTGCTGTATTACGCTCGTGAATGCTCTTTCGAGCCTCTCAATATCGAGAGTCCCTCTGAGGCAACATAAACTCGTCACATTAAACGCAGACTGATCTTCAACGTAGGAGTTGAGGAACCAAAATCGCGACTGGGCAAAAGACATGGGGGCTGTCCTTTCAAAGTGTCTTTCATCTGAGAAGTCTTCATCTCTCTCGCTGAAAGCACCGTCACAGGTCTGGAACGCGTCGGTGGATGAGGTGCAGTCTGTTTCAACATGGCCGCTCGGATCCAAGGGGGTTGACGACGCCGTGGTTTCTTCGAGCGAGAGGCTTCCACTGGTCTCATCAGCTGCCTCGACGGCGTCCTGATCCTGGCTGGTGAGCTCCACCTGCGAACAGGCGTATTCGAGAATATCATTCATAGACGCCGCATTGAGAATTTTCAGCGTCGGCATTTCCAAGCTCAGCTCGTTCCTAAACCATGATTGGATGTCGACGGCCACTAGCGAATCGATGCCCATCTTGTCTGGACTTTGATGTAGCATCAAATTGTCCTCCAAGTCACTCTGCAAAGCGAGTCGGACTTTGGCAAGTAATCCAACTATTGAATATCAGTAAATCCCTGAGCTAGGGGATCTTGGTCTTTAACATACGCTTGACAATTCGGAAGACGTCTTCATTGGTCTTTGCTTTCAAGAATGCCTCTTTGATAGAGAGAGCTGATCCAGTAGCCCTGGTAGTCTTTTGCGGGGTGATGCCCTTCTCTGCTGTAACCAGGTGTTGAAAGATGGGATTCGACGAAAAGGCCTGCCCATCCCGGTTCTTCCCCGGAACCCGTAGTATGGTGGAGATTTCGAAACTGGTATCTGATCGAGGGTTGCTGGCAAGGATTGCCTCGGCATATGCTTCGTGAAAGGCTCTGAGTGGAATAAATGGAAACCCGCCCTTCTGCAGCGTGAGTTCCCTCTTCTGCTCTAGCCGCCGAGCCACGTAGCCTTCGCCCTTGACACCGGCGATATTGATGACTGACGCGGCAAGCCCACGGCGTCGACGATTTGCTGCGAGGCTAGCCATGAATGCATTCGCGGCGGCGTAGGCGCTCTGCCCAGGGTTGCCGACAATGTATGCCAGGGACGAGAGGTATATAAAGAATTCCAGAGTATCCTCTGGGAAAACTTCATCGAGATGCTTACTCCCGTCGACCTTGGGCCTTAAAACCTGTTGCAGCTGTTCAAGTTGCAGCTCGAGAAATATGGCATCGTGCAAGACCATGGCGCCCTGAACGACGCCGGCAATATCAGGCATGGTCTCTGCAATCTTCATCTTGGCGTGAAGGACAGATGAACGATCAGTAATATCACTGCGGCCACGTTAGCAAGAAAACCAGCTGGACGGACTTCAAAGTAGGTACTTGCCATGGGAACACCCCGACTGTGCAACTTCTCGTAGCCATGGAGCGTATCCACGACGGGCTGATTTCAGGCGACCGGCTCGACAGGGCAATGTACTTTGCGCCACGGTCGACCATCCATTCACACAAGGAGAGGCCAAGGCCCCCAGTTAGTCCCACCAGCCAGTAGGTCCTATGGTCTGAAAACGATACCAGGCTCCCTGCTGGGCAGACAGGCACGGAGATTCGTTCTCCCACTGCCCAGGACAATACTCCTTGGCGTCCTTGTCTAAATATTGAGGTTTTGAGATCCAACTCTTCAAGTCCAAGAGTGGGAACTCCCCTCATGTCAATGCTCCGCGATTCTTCTGAATAACGCATCCATGCAGCCTGCAACTGATATGACACTTGGCCGATTTCCTCGGCAGTACGAGCGAAGCGAGCGGTGTTTCCAATGAATCTAGATGGTGGAATCTGATGGCATCTCGTCGGCAGGTAAGCTAGAAGCGAGACGTCTGGGTCGTCGACATTACCACCCATGTCAATGAAAACGAAGGGTATTCTTGGTAGTATACTCATAGCTGCCCGTTTCGTTGCACGCCGATGGAGGTACGTCCACGGTGGTGGAGAGGCCTCTGAAGTAGTGCTGATCAACAGTATCTCAACGCCAGCGTCGGAGGAAAGCTTTGCTACGATGCTGCCAAGCACCTTGTCAGGGTTGAGCAGAACAAGCGATCTGGCAACTTTGACCGCAGTCGACACAATAGCATGGCCCAGAATGTGCGCTTGTAGAATTACCAGTGCCGCCGGCGCCGACTCTGGCAATTCAGGCGCAGGCAGGACCCAGGTAGAGGGTGCTTGGATCCGAGATGCAAGAGAACCTGAGAGAACGAATACGGGTTTTCCGGATGTCGTGAAACCAACCGAGAGGAATGCCCTGCAAGTCTCCGTAATCTGAATAGGCAGAAGTAGAGAATGCGTAAGTGATATCTCATCGCCGTTCCAAAATCTGCCGTGATCGCGAGAGTTGCCGTCTATAGCCAAGCGGAGTGATGAGCCCAGCGGCTTTAGTGATATGAATCCTTTCTCGCTACTAACTTGGTGAGTGAGGTGCCTGCGTGTTGAGTTGTACCGCAAGTTTCGATCAACGTTTGGGCGCAACCTTGGGACCATGACCCGTCCCTCACGGATCGAAATATCGGGCTCCAAGGGGATTCGAAGGTCGCCATTGCCTCCGTGCTCTTTCCAAGAGACCAGTGTCTCGAACCTGAGAAGGATATTGCCTACCATCTCTGCGTCAACGCTGGATGGCTCTGGGAAATCCACAACCTGGGCATGGACGTAGGGCATTTCCAGAGCGATGGTGCGCTGGAAGCCCTTGAACATGTTGTTTCCTGGCCTCTCGCCCTCCGCGCCCGAGGCTAGCCAAACGATGACCTTGCTGTGCTTGTAAATTGAACGCATGGCCTTCAGAGCAGCCTCTGTCGGCGCTTGAAGGAATGAGGACTCGGCGAGGTCCACAAAGCTTACCACCGTACCTCCCAGCGGAAGAGCGCCGTTGGTATCGGAAAGACTTTCGAGCGCGTCGATGTGCCGTGCCTGCTTGTAATACTGCCCGATCTTGTCCCGCACAGATGTGCAGATGCCCGCGTCGCCTATCAAGGTGATGGCCCCGAGGTCTGGCAAGAGGTCGACCCTGGCCATCAGTGGCTGGCGGATCAGTTCCACTCGGTCGTCGAGTGCCTGGCATACCAGGACCGACATGGGCATCGGAAGCTCCAGATTGTGCGGCGTAATGGCGTCGATGGCCGAGAAGCCAGTCTGTGTCATCAGACTCGCCCAAGCCTCGATGGAAACGCACGGCGACATTCGCCGCCCATCGTCATAACCAGCCCACCAACCGGGAAGGCCGCCAAAGAGCAAGCCGAGCCGTATCGGTTCATTGTCTGTAATCTCAAACATGATCAAGTATCCTCCTGGCCGAAGTAGCTTTCGTGCGTTGCGCATTGTTTGTCCGAGGTCTCTCGTTGCGTGCAGAACTAGAGAAGCAACGACCACATCAAAGGAGCCGTGCTTGAACCCTTGATCTATGGGATTCTTCTCAATGTCTAGAACTTTGAAGGTCATGTATTCCTGGTATTTGGCAAACTTCTCTTGCGCCTTGTCGAAGAACCCGCTGGATATGTCGGTGTAGGTATATGTCCCCAGTCCGTTGTCGACGACACTGTCCAAGATCCACGATGTGGCCGCCCCGACTCCCGCGCCTGAGCTCCATGTCAGTTTTAAGAATTAGGGGAGATGGGGATATTTCATATTCCACCAACCAATTTCAAGAATATCTAAGCGTGATACGCGGGCACCGATCTGTCCTGCGATGCGCCCCATCTCCGGAAGAAAGACCCTCATGCCGAGGGAACTGGCATAAAACTCAGCGAGCATATCGTCACGCAACATGGCCTCCAAAATGTTGATTTCCCCCTGGAAAGTCTGAAGCAGGCCTTGACTCACTGCTTTCATAAGCTTTATGTCTATGCTTGAGGGGTATCTGGAAGGAGTCAGTAAATCTCCTCGATTCAAAAACATTGTCTGATAGATATATTTCTAAGAAAGGAAAAAGGGAGAGAAAAAAACAAGCGGAAAAAGAACTTGCCGTTGGACAAGTCGTTCTATGGTTTCCTCTGAATCTGTCATCCACTCGGCGTGAACATGTGGGTGACTCCCGGACGCTATTTTATCCAGACAGTGGTCGACCCAGTCCAGAAAGCAGACGTGATGCCGCGCCATCGAACCCCTGGAGTGCTTAGGAATGGCGGCCTGGAGATGACGTAGATGGAAGCAAGCAATCCTCTCAGTGTCCGGGCACAAGCTCCGCTCGACAGAGTACTCGTCCTCGGCCCAGTCCACTGTTCTCCCATGGGGAACCTCGGGAGTCCAAGCCATATCAAAGAACACGGCCACATCATTAGCGGCCGAGGGCTTCTCAAGTGGCGTGACATGCAGGCCTTGTAGCTGGACGGTTATGCGGTCGCCGTTTGCACTGTGAATCTCCACATCACCAACTATATCAGCCGACGGAAGGGCTTCTGAGGGTTGTATGAATGCATGAAACGGGACATTCTTGCCGCCCTCTTCGGAGCTCTCTTGCCGCAAACTTGATACGTCAATGGAGATTCTGTCAATTCTGGTAGGAAGAAAAATCTGGCGCATCTCTCCATCCCCAGGGTAGCTATGAGCAAGCAATACGGCTTGGAGAGCACAGTCCAGAGTTGCTGGATGGGCGATGAGTTGGTTTTCGTCCGTGTATTCGGGAACTGCGATTAGCCCCGAGGCTTCATTCATTCGTCTTTTTGTCTCGTGAAGGCCCTGGAAGAGGCCACTGTAGCCATAACCCAAGTCCTCGAGACATGAGTATAGGGATTTTGCATCCAAGGGCAGCAGTTCCGAGTCGCCGCCCTTGCAAGGTGCTGGTAAAAAGTCATGCGAGTGATCCAAAGTGAAGACTCTCCAGTCTCCCGAGGCATTCTTGTCTAGCACAGCCGAGTCCCGGGCACTCTCAGAATGGAACCAGAACATGGCATCAAGGTGTGCCGAGGACTTGCGAGTTATCTGGATCGTGAGACATGTCTCGACACCCTCAGCCATCTGCCGTAATAGCAAGGCTTTCGTAATGACAAAGTCAGATATTTCGATTTGGCAAACAGTCTCCGCAGCCAGAACGATTGATAGAGCTTCGACGACTGCCGATATGTATCCTGTGGCTGGAAAGACGACCTCGCCCTCGATTTGATGATGCGCGAGCCACGGGATCCTTTTCAGATGCAGGCGATTCTTGAAACGGAACGTATCCTTGGTTTGGTCCGGGCACAGTGTCCCAAGCAGGAAGTGCGGCTCTTGACCGGCGCTTCCCTTGAAAGCTTTAGAGTATCGACTCTCGTGAACGTGACTGCGATGGTGATTCCAAGGATAAGTTGGCAAGCCTCGCAATGGCTTTGGGCATGATCCTTTGTATTCTCCGCCTTGAGCCAGGGCATCGAATTTCGCAAAATCACACGACCGGCGACCAAAAGCCGCCCACAAAGATCCAAGGACATCGGACCAAGCCTCCAAATCGTCATGGCCGCGACGCAGAGTCCCTAAATACGGAGGCGAGACACCGGCAATCTCCTGAACGGTCTCAGAGGTAGGAGTTTTCAACGCTGGATGCGGCCCAACTTCAACGACCGCATCAAAAGGGCCGTACATGCCGACTGCGCACCTCACCGCATCAGAGAACAGGACTGGCTTGACCATGTTATCGCCCCAGTAGGCGTCTTTCAACTTTGCCATCTCCTGGACGGTGATGGGCTCTCCAGATACACTAGATACCCATCTCGGGCTGTCAAGGCTTGGAATCTCGTTGACCTGAACATTACACCTTCGGATAGCCTCCACATACTGGACCGCGAATCTTAGCATGTGATGTGAGTGGTATGCCTGGTCAACACGGAGAAGCCTCGAGAACTTGCCCTCGTCCTGTGTGATCTCGAGGGCCTCCTGGATACTGCTGCAATGCAGATGCGTCCCCTGAGTGAACGCAAATCGCAGAGTTCTTGCGCATCCTGACGCGACGTCCCAACAGCGAGCATGGCGCCTGCGGATTCACCGACGGACGGACTCAGAAAGAACCCGCGGTAGTAGGAAATGCGAATCGCATCCGCGGCGGAGACGTAGCCAGCCGCGTAAGCCGCAGCCACTTCTCCCGAGGAGTGGCCAACGACCGTGGCGAGGTTGATATCAGCCGCCCTGAGGAGGTCGACCAGTAAGATCTGAACTGCGGTGCAGAGCGGCTGCGAGAATACCGCATGCCCGACTCGTGATTGGGGCGGCGGTTTGGCAAGTTCTTCCCGAAGAGTCCAGGTTGGGGCGTGTTCGGGGGGCAAGGCGTCCAACGAGGCCTGCAGCTTGTCAATCGTCTTCGACGCAAGAGGCACCTGCTCGATGAGGCGAGCCGCCATTGTCGCCCATTGTGCACCTTGGCCGGTGAAGATGCCCAACAGCCGTGGTGTCTCCCCAGACCCTGCAGCTGATATCTCTTCCATGTCGTGGGACAATTGGGCCAGCCCTTGTTCATCTGCCGCGCCATCTAGCTTGTCAATCAGCTTGTCGACATTTGCAGCGGATATCCATATTTTCGAGGAAAGGATGGATCTACGTGTATGTAGAGACCACGACAGATCTCGCAGGTTGACATCAGGATGCGCTCGAAGGTACGAAGCATACATGCCAGCAAGCTGACAAAGGGATGACTGGGAGGCTGCAGAAAGAACAAACGGCGTGAATGGAACCAAGCCTGACGAAAGCGAGTCCGTTTCGATCTGCTTACAAGGTTCAACAGGCATCCGGGGCGTCCATGCCTCGAGGATGGCATGCGCGTTGGTCCCCCCGAACCCAAAGCTATTTACACTGGCTCGCATCGCCGTCCCGCTCTGCGCTTTGGGCCAGGGGGTGGCATGCTGCGGAACTTTGAGGTGGTCGTAAAAAGGCTCAACTCGCGGACTGAGCTCGTCAAGGAGCATATTTGGGGGGATGAGTCCATGCTGCAGTGCGAGCGATGCCTTGATCACGCCGGCCAGACCAGCCGTCCCCTCAGTATGGCCAATGACCGTCTTGATCGAGCCGACAAACAAGGGGGGATCTTCCGGCAGACGCTTGAATCGTGAGCCGGCGCCGAAGAAGACGGTGCTAATGGCCTCGGCCTCGACTGGATCTCCGGCTGGTGTACCTAGTGTTCTTGTGTAAGTGCCCGGTATTTCTAGCAGCTCTCAAAGCCCCTTACCAGTGCCATGTGCCTCAAAGTACTGAGGTCTATCAGACGGTTTAGATAGATCCAGACCAGCTCTGGCGTAGGTGGCTCGTATCAGATCAGACTGTGCCGTGGGACTGGGGACTGTGATGCCCTTTGTCCTCCCGTCCTGGTTGACGCCCGTCTCTCGCACGATGCATTCGATCAAGTCATTGTCAGCAAGAGCCTGGCTCAGAGTCTTGAGCACCAGGACCGCAAACCCGTCGCCACGCGCATAGCCGTCCGCCTTGCTGTCCCACATGCGGCTCCGGCCGGTCGGGCTCAGCATGTTGAGGTTGCTGGACGCGATGTACGGCTCCGGCCCGAGCAGCAGATTGGCCCCGGCGACCAGAGCACCTGCGGACTCGCCGCTCCGCAGGCTCACGACGGCCTGGTGCAGAGCGACCAGGCTTGAGGAGCATGCCGTGTCAATGGTCATGGACGGGCCGTGGATGTCGAAGAAGTACGAGAGCCGGTTCGAAATGGTGCTCCGGGCGGTGCCCGATGCAAAGTAGACCGGCAGGCTCTGGATGTCCCGGGAAGTGGAAGCTGCGTAGTCTTCGTTCATCAAACCGACAAACACGCCCATGCCGGTGCCTTGAATCGACTCCATGGCCATGCCGGAGGCTTCCAGGGCCTCATACGCCGCCTCGAGAAGGATTCGTTGCTGCGGATCAATGGCCCGCGCCTCGAAAGGCTTCACTCCAAAAAAATGCGCATCAAAGGCGTGAGGATCCTCAGAAAGGATGTAGGAATGGCGGACTAGATCATGTTAGTGCCAGCAGATATCAACCAATTGTACCAGCACAACTTGCCATTGCTGGTGCCATGATGAAGCGGGTCCGGATGGAAGAACTTGTCTGCGTTGAATCGGCTCGGGGGGATTCTTCTTAGTACATCTCGAGGGTTTTCAAGCAGGTCCCATAGCTTGGACGGTGAAGAAGCGCCTCCTGGGAACCTACAGGCGGTACCGACGATGGCGATGGGTTCATTGGGGTACGACTGCCGAGACATGGTGAGGTTGTCGATGAGACAGTCAAGTATATCAGGCGGACGTCATGTTGATCGTGCTACGAGTACAATATATAACAGCCTCCCCGAACCCCGAAGCTGTGGATACAATAGAGCAGGAGGCCCTAAGGTGTTGACAGGGTGTTTGAGTGGCAGTATCCAACACAACCCATCTCCCGAACTGTCGAGTTGGGCTCTCCACAGTTGCAGATGGTTCCCCATGTTGGAGAAGTCACAATGCAATGAAACTACTAATCGAGTATGCCATGTAGTCTACTGTACGGGGCAGCACGGAAGTCCCCTGACTCCATAATCGGAGCTCCGATGGGGGTCACAGTTCTGGGGGGCGCCTCGGACACAGTGTTAAACCAGGAGACTCAATACATATGATCGGATCATGGTGAGATTGCCTCGATGCAATAGAACTACACTTTGCCCAAGATTGTCAGCAAGAGCCCCCAGTTTCACGCGATGCATTCTTTCTTCCGGAGCCAGTTTCTCAATTTCGAGACCATCCGAATTCTCGGTACGGCCGCCTACGGTGGTGCTGAGGTCGCTGAGGTCCTTGAAGCTGTAGGTCAAATTCGAGAAAACGATCCTGACAGTTGGCGAGCTGCTTGGTCGAGGCAGGCCGAGCTCGCAGAAAAAACAGCGGAAGATGCTCGACTTGGCGGGCATGGCAGAGCCGCTCGTCGAGCTTTCCTCCGAGCCTCCAACTACACACGCGCGAGCGCATACATGATGGTTGGAGATGGACTTGGGGAGTCGGATCCGCGGACATGTGGGATACTGAGGAAGTCAGGCCAGCTTTTCAACGAGGCCCTCGCGCTGTTCGACCATCCGGTCCGGCCCCTCGAGATACCTTATACCGAGGACACCTCGCTGCCCGCGTATCTATACCTCCCAGCCGCTTCAAAGAGGCTGCCAGGCGGGAAGACGCCTCTCATCATCAACTTCATCGGGGCCGACTCGATACAGGAGGAGATATTCTACATGTTTCCCGCCGAAGGGCCGGAATTAGGCTACGCCGTGCTCACAGTGGAAGGCCCTGGGCACGGCCTCATGCTGCATCAGCACGGCATACCAATGTGTCCAAATTGGGAAGAGGTGGTAGGAAAGGCAGTAATGGGCCACATGTCGCAGTACGCCGAGCAGAACAAGGATCTGGGGTTGGACATGGACCGGGTAGTGGTTGCCGGAGCCTCGCTGGGCGCATACTTTGCCCTCCGCACGGCGGCCGACCCCAGATGCAAGGCCTGCGTCGCCGTGGACCCCATCTACGATCTGTGGGAGTTTGCGGCCAAGCGCTCGGGGCCTGCCATCTGCCATCTGTGGAAGCAGGGCTGGGTCCCCGACGGCGTCATGAACACAGCCATGTCTCTCAGCGTGCGGCTCTCCTGGGAAACGCGCTGGCAGATCTACACGTCGGCCCGCTTCCTCGGTGCCCAGTCGCCAGTCGAGATCCTCCGCGCAATGCAAAAGTTCACCCTGGGCGGCGGCTATCTCGACAAGGTAACCTGCCCCGTGCTGGTGACGGGCGGCGCGGACGCGCTCTACACGGATGCGCAGAGCGACACGGCGCTGATCTTTGACCAGCTGAGCAACGCATCGCACAAGGAGCTTTGGGTTGGCCCGACCCCTGGGCAAGGCAGCCTGCAAGCCAAGATGGGCGCTCTGCCGTACTGCAACCAACGAGTGTTTGCCTTCCTCGATGGGCGTTTCGGTGTCTCGCGAGGATGAGTGGCTGGGCCAGTCGCTGGGTGCCATTGGCCAACAGCCCTGCACCGCAACATGGGCTGCATCACGGTGTATGTATGTCATGTTGCAGTCGTCTGGTACGTGGTCGATGGCGGATTCCCAGGAGCCAGCGCGTGTTGGCCTGCATCATGTTGCATGTGCGAGCCAAAGTGCATTTCCCGCTGTAACATAGCTGTCTTCAAAGTTCAAATCAAGCCAGTGATGGAACGGTGTCTTTTATTCCGTCGAGCTTATGTGATCTCTGCCATGGCGGCCAAGGCAACATACATATATCAAACGTGAAGCTCGGAATCTACAGAGCCGAAACCCATCCATAAGGAACATAATAAACCATATATACGATTGATCTATTGACGGGACCGACGCAATGCAGAGGTCACGCCAGTCGCGGCGCTCTGCCTGCGACAGATGCCGCATGTACAAGCTGCGCTGCGAGCGTCCACCATCCATCTCGCACAGCCCGATAGATGATGGCTGCCGGCGATGTCTCAAGAGCGGCGCAACCTGCCGCACGTCTGTCGAGGGGTGGCACGGCGCCAGCAGCACCTCGAGCAGTCAAGGGGCCGCCGTCGACTCCTTTGCAAGCCCGGTATGTAGCCCTCCCAGAGCTCTTTGTTCTGTTCTTTGATTGATACTAACACCAGAACAAAAAGACGGCAGGCCAGGAGCATTCGGCCATGGATTTCAGTCTGCCCGGCTTCAACTTTGCCAACGCCCCCGGGACGCCCTCTTCGTTTATAAGCGACACTCCTCGGAATCGTCAGGGCGGCGGGGGACCTGGATCCAACATGGCACCGGCCGTTGATGGTCTGGCTGCGTGCTTTGGGGAGGACCCGAGGGGGGACCTTGCTGCCATGCTGGATTCTACAGACACGTCGGATGCCGGTGTTTCATCCTCGAACCCCCTGCATGACATCTTTCAGCTCTGCGCCCAACTGTCCAGCTGCCATGAAGACGTGCCCAACACTACTACTGGTGGACCAGGGGAGGACTGGCCCACGGGTGCGACCATCCAGACTGCCCTGTCGTGGACGTCACGGCTCTCCGAGATTCTTTCCAGCATTCCCAATGGTGCGCATACGACAGGCCCTGGCGCAAACACCGCTCCTGAGCCACAGCTGCCAATGAGCCAACTGGCTGGGAGCCCGTCTCAGTCGAAGCAGGTGCATCAATCTGCTGGCCCTGGCTCATCTCCAACATCTCGTCTCTCTCACTGGTGGCAGCCTGCCCAGGTAGTCACTCGGCAGTCTGCAACGACTGAGGGCCAAGGAGGCGCCATCAATCCTACGGCCATCATGTATCCCAACCACATCTCCAGCAGACCTACCAATGCTACGCAAAGTCGACAAGGCCAAGGCCATAGCCCTGACCCTGTCCTCCTTACCACGGTACTTGTGACTTCATACATCCTGATTCGTCGGGAATGGAGACGAATATTCAGCTTCCTGCACAGCGCTTTGGAGGAGGCGCCTGGCGCCGTGGCGGTTGCAGCGATACTACCCCCCTTGCAGATGGGGGGTTTCATCTTAGCAAGCAGCCCGACCCTCCAGGTCATGGCTCTCCTCGACCTGAGCAGCGATATGCTCAGTCGAATCGAGGCATGTCTTGGAATTTCTCCGTCGGCGCCCTGGCCCGGTGGGAGGGACGCAGAGCCGAGGGGCCAGGCCAAGCCACTCTCCATGCTGGCCATGAACCCCGTCTCCATATCGATCCGGGAGACTCTGCTGTCGCAGGAGCATCTCAAGATATCCCAAGACGGACACGAGTACAGCACGCTGGACCTCTACGACATCATGAGTGGGCTAAAGGAACGTTTGTCCAGCAGAGCCTAGAAGCTAGACTAATAATGGGAACCTTTCCGAGCCAGTGTGAAGCTACCTAGAGTGTACGCACGTTGAAACCCATCCATTAGATGCGATGGGTATTTATTTTTAGGCAAATTCCTCGCTGCGCTCCCATTTATTGTACTCGAGCTTCATCGATGGACCAGCATCTTGGCCGAATCCGGCTCAAGATACGATCTACGAGCTTTGACCGGTGCCATCCAGCACCCAGTGTCTGACCACCATCTCCGGTTGACTTGCTGCAGAGTACGCAGCAGCTTGATTCTTGCTTGGGAGATTGGGTGTCGAAAAGAGGGGTCGCAGACTGTACCGCAGCTTCTTTCATGTAACCCCAACTTGGTACCTTGGGCTGTTGCAATATTGATCCTCTCTCACTTTTCCGACTTCTGTAAGATGGTGCCATGTATCGTCAGAGTACTTCTCACCGTGTCCGATATCCCTGCCATCTCCGGCGAGGCCATCCGACATCCCTGTTTCCCGTTCCCGTCAGATCATGATCCATCTGAACCCCAGACCCACGACTTCCCCATGCCCACATGGCTCATGGGGCCTCGAATCCTGGAGGATTCCACCTGGTTTCCATGCAACACAGCCGTAGAGACTGATTTAGCTCACTGACAAGGCTGAGATGAGACATGTTCATAAAGCGTCCCGCGCTAACCCAGCCATCACTCGCCGTCCCACTATCTCGAGGCACCTTGTGTCGTTTACTGTCTGAATCTTCTCCTTGTTCGTGGCTTCGACCTGCTCGTCTTTTCATACCCACGTCGCAATGCCGTCTTCTTCTTCATCGACACTACCGTCTACGATGGACCTCAACTTCATGGGGCAGCCGCGGCCCGATCCTGACCAGGCGGGCATGGGCCAGACCGTCCTGATAGTCACCTGGCTCTTCGTCTCGCTGTGCGTCGTGGCCGTCGCCCTGCGATTCTACGTCCGCAACCGCTCCCAGGGCTCGTTCAAGTCCGAAGACTGGCTCATGCTCCTCGCCCTCGCCCTCCACCTCGTCTGCCAGGGCCTCCTGACCGAGGCGTGCAGGTGGGGGTTCGGCAAGGAGTACGCCAACATGACCCTCCAGCAGTACGTGCAGGTGCACAAGTACGAGTTCGTCTTCGCGCCGTTTAGCTACGCCCTGCAGATCGTGGCGCGCGTGTCGATCGCGATCCTCCTCATCCGCATCTTCACCGTGGGGCGGCGCTGGTTCAAGTGGTTCTCGATAGCGTACATGGCGTTGATGACGGTGGTCTGCGTCGCGCTCCTCGGGGTCTACTTCTCCCAGGTCAGGCCGCTGGACGCGTGGTGGGATGTGACCATCAAGGCGACGTACCGCATGTCGCCGTATATACAGGCCTACGTTTCTCTCACACTTCAGTGTAAGTCAAGGACCGCCCCCTTTTTGAGACAGGAGGAGTCGCAAAGCACTGACAGGCACTCCCGTGGTTAGTTCTCGTATTGATATACGACATCATATTCGTCTTCTTGCCTGTGAGGTTTGTCTGGAAGCTGTCCATGGCTCTCCAGCGCAAGATTGGACTCATCCTGCTTCTCTCCGTCTCCCTGGTCACCGCTGGCGTTCAGTCAGCCAAGATCGGCATCGCCTTGGAGGGAACCCTGGGTAGGATTCTGTTCCAAGAAGCGGGCCGGATAGGTGCGGTATTCTACATTGTCAGTATCGTCGAGCAAAGTATCGTGATCATCATGGGGTGTATTCCCGCGCTGGGACCCATTACACAGCTCGAAATTCCCATTTTCTCGTCGCTGGGGAGCTCCGTCACGAGTCTCTTCTCGTCGGTGGTTCGGAGGTCAAAGAACAAGAGTCAGACGTCTCTGTCAAAGGACATTGAGATGGCTCGTAAGCTGTCTATTCCGGATGAACCCCCGACTCTCAATCAGAACGGCCGGCTTTGGAACAAGCAGAGTATGGATAGCCAACAGCGGATTCTGAGGACGGATGATGTTATGATCACTGATAGCAGGGTCTCGGACAAAAGTGTGCACTGAGAAACTTGCAAGTTGACGATTTTGCAGGGCTGTGAAGATTTTGTAGCGCTGACTTGGTACGGATTTTGGAATAGGGATCAGAGTCACAACTTGTTGGATAAATGAGCATGTTTTGGATTTACTCAATAATACTATACTACATCTATTTGATATCTCTTTCCTATCCAGTGACATTGGTTTCTCGTCTAAAGATTCCTAAAGATTGCATCTTCACCCGACACTACAATTGATATGTACTAGATCCCTACCGAGAACTATGGAGATGTAGACTTTTCTCTTCAGCTACGAGTGTTGTAGCTTCAAGAACAGTCTCTATAAGCGCATCTCGATTTACTTGGCCACGTCGTCCCCTTTTCCCCTCCGGCTCTCGGAGCCCGATGGAGTTATATCAAGCGCGATGGCCTGCGAGTGGTGGAAACTATCAAGAATAAGAGGTGCACACTCATCCTTTGACAGGGATATCGGTGGAAATTGACTCCTCAGACTGGCTAAAACCATTGTTGCACTGTGGGATTCCAGTCATGCATAAGGCCAGTCCGGTGCTATTTGTAGATTACTACCAAAGTACTACATTGAGTATCAAGTCCGTCAGACATTCGGCCCATTGCTCACTGGATTTATGGGAGGCGGCTCGTCACGATTATGAGAATATGAGAAGGGAAGAAGCGCCAGCAGACTCTACTAACCGACAATCATCTCACAAGATGCTCCTTCACTTGCCAATGCTCCTAAAGGAGCTATTCCTACTAGCCCTGTTCTCCCAGGTTCTCTGTCTTGATCTACGAGCCCTCACCCAGCTTAATGATACCCTGGGCGGTCGCCTTGCATCAGCAAGACCAACAGGTGCCCCGTGCTTCTCAGAGGATAGCAAGGAAGAGTGTGCCTTGTTGGGACGACAGATCATGTCGCCGGACTATCGGCACAACACGTACCAGAGCTTTGAAAACATCCAAGGGGAAGCCTGCATTGCCAATCCGTCGGATCAGTGCCTCCTCGACCCCACCACTCTTCAGGCGCCTACAGACTCCTCCTCGGCCTCTTCTTGTGGGCAAGGGGTTGTTTCCCGATATTTCATCCAAGTCACCGGGGCGGAAGATGTCCAAGCCGTGTTTAGGTACTCTCGAAAGACGGGGCACGCCCTGTCCATCAAGAACAGCGGGCACGACTACATGATGCGCAGCAGCCGGCAGGGATCACTGGCCATGTGGACCGGCAAGCTGCGCAACATGACATATCACGAGTCGTTCAGCCCAGATGGATGCGACTCGGGCGCCGGTATTGCTCCTGCTGCAGCCATAACGTTGGGAGCTGGTGTCAGCATGGGTGAAGCCATGGCTTTTTCCCATGATCACGGCGTCCTTTTCCCGGCAGCCATCTCCCCTAGTATCGGTGCCTCGGGAGGTTGGCTGCTCAACGGCGGCCACAGTCCAATGTCGGTCGGCATGGGCCTCGCCGTGGACCGGGCGGCGCAGTTCACCATTGTGACACCCGATGGCAAACTCCGCACCGTTAACCGATGCCGGGACAAGGAGCTCTTCTGGGCACTTCGAGGCGGTGGAGGCGGAGCCTTTGGCGTCGTTCTGGGATCAACGCACTTCACCAAGCCAGAGGTCCCCGTTGTAGCCGCGCTGTTCAACATCGCCAACGCGACAGCGGAGACTCGGAGGGGCTGGGTCGAGCTCCTGGCAGACCACATGCTGGACTGGACACTTGAGGGCTGGGGAGGGCCCTCGACAACAAGCATGTCCGTCTTGGTCAACCCGTATCTGAATGTCTCCGAGGCGGAGCGCATGCTGGAGCCTGCCGCGGAGTACATGCAGCAACGAGGCGGCGCCGCCAGCTTCCAAACCTATCCCTCATGGTTTGATTTTTGGACCCAAGTTGTGACTGGGATGTTTTCAGCTCCCCCGACGGTCAGCCTTGGCGTAAATATCGCCAGCAAGATCCTCCCCAAAGAAGCCTTCACCGACCATGAGAAAAAAGGTCGGATGGTCGATGCCATCATGAATATCGAGGCCTCGGGGATGCAGGTTGCCTTTTTGGCTACAACTCCGATCCTGTACGGGCAAAAGAACCCCGGTGCAAGCAAAGACACCTCTATTAATCCAGCCTGGTACCGGTCGGTCTGGCACTTGTCAGGATATTCCGCCTGGAACTACAAGACTACGCTGGATGAGAGGAAGGAGACTGTGCTAGCTCTCCAGAATACGACCGAGGTGCTGGACGCGATATCAGACGGAGGTTGTACGTATAGCAACGAGGCTGACCCCTCGCGGAAGGACTGGGCGAGCGAATACTGGGGAGATAATTATCCAAAGCTTTTACAAGTCAAACACAAGGTCGATCCACACAACCTGCTGAGCTGCTGGCACTGCGTGGGCTGGGAGCCTTCCTTGCCTTCCTATGGATGCATCTCTGGGCTCTATGAGCAGTAGGCAAAGCGGCGTAGTCATACGCCATGCTCAGTCGTATGGACAAAGGCCTTGTTTATATAAAATGGAGAGGAGATCAGGCTTTAGTTGAAGTTTCCAAAAAGTTTTGTTTAGATTAAAAGTTTCACTAGATAGAACGTATTCAACACAGTACAGATGTTGGTACTCTTTGAGGAAACTTAATGAGTTATCATCTACTGTGTGGAAATTGATGTGCTTGATTGGCTTTGAGAGTTTGAGTAGCTTGACTTACACCAGCAACTCCCTCGCTATTGGAACAATCTGCTCATTAGATCCCCATTTGGCCTGCCCTTTCCAGACACACAGCCTTCACTGTTTATCATATATATAATAGAAGATAAGAAGGCGCCAGCTAATCTTAATCCAATTAAAGCCTCTAATATAGAGGACAATAAGATTAAGCAGACCAAGATTCTAGGGCCGAAAGTTGATATAAGTAACCCTACGCTTATTAGACCAGCTAGGGTTGCCTTTAAAGCTATTAAATATACTAAGCTCAAGAAGCTTGAAGAAGCTGAGGAGATTAAAGAGGCTAAGGAGATTAAAGAGGCTAAGGAGATTAAAGAGGCCAAAGAGGATAAAGTTAAGTAGCTACTCTACTTCTTTAACTTTAGTAATAAGGTTTATAATCTCATTATCATTAATGAACTAGATAAAAATGTTATCAAGCTCTTAGAGGAAGATAAGAGGTAGGAGAATCAGTAAGCTTTCTTAGATATAAAGGTAAGGTCTCTTCTAAGATGCGATAGTACTCATAGAAGTATATAAATAAGCCTACAGTAGTACAGGCAGAGAGGAGGAGGTAGAAGAGATTAGAGCTCCATAGAAGATAGCCTTCATAAAAATACTTCTTGGCCTCTAAAAACACAGTGGAAGACAATACAGTGAAAGATAATACAGTGGGGGATGTGTTTGGTCAACTTTTTATTGAACCAGGGACCTATCCCTTCCTCCCTAGGCTTTCCTAGCCTCCTCCCGAACCACTGCCATACTGCAGAAGATAAACTGATACCCAAAGTACAGAAGTTGGCTGCTGAAAAAAAAACAATGCGTAAAATCCGCTTCATAACTGGGGCTTGCGAGCTCGAACCCGAATGCGCGCAAACATGTCCGGCGAAAATGATCCGTTGGACATGGAATTCCGTTTCGGCTTGGCTGCTTTGGGATCAAGTTGTATTTCGTAGTTCATAAGAAAATGACAGAGAAAGACTTTTATAGAATTGCTGGCGTAGAATCTTCCAGGGCAGGCCTGCGGACCATCTCCGAAGCCCGGCGAGTCCGCTCCAAGGCTTGTAAACTGGTGTCGACTCTCTTGACCTGGGTGCTGCCGAAGCTTTAGGAAATGCATTGGGTCAAACTCGAGAGGACTTTCCCACAAAGCCTGTGACGTGTTGATGTGGTGAACATCGACGCATATCATAGTCCCCGCTGGCAGCTCAGGGCCGATGGGTAGCTTCACAGGCTGAGACAGCCTGCGATATAGTCCCACTGGGTTCATGTTAGCACTTGTCAGTATTGCTGAGAGTTGGGATAGGGGTGGCCGGGATTTACGGACAGTAACTGAAAGGATTGATCCGAGCCGATTCTCGCATCACGCTATCCATCTTCTTGAGCTCTCCTAAGCTGTTCGCAGGGACTTGTCCATCGACCAGCAGCTGTGACACCTCTTCCCGCAGCTCGTTTACGAGTTCAGGACGACAACTTAGCTCCGACAAGATGAAGTAAATGGTTGCCGAGGTGGCGGGGATGGATTCGAATGCTAGACTAATAAAGTCCCGCGCGATCTGTCTGACTTTACGATCAGCTGGAGAGTAACGAGCCATGAGCCACTCCGTGATTGGGAGATTTCCGGTAGAAACCGGTCCGGTCTCCTTTTCGGCGTTTCCTTTTCTCGTGGCAGCGTTGAAATTAGAGATGTCTCGCTTGACCATGGGGTAAAGCATCATCTCCATGACCCAATATATGCACCAGGCAGGGAAAAAGACAATGAATGCAACCACTGGACGAGCAAAGCGCGGGGTCCTGTGACAGACGAATACCGCCAGGAGCGTCATCATTGGGAATAACTGTGCAGCTCCCAGCCACCAACTGTTCTCAGCAAGGTCCGGGGCCATAAAGGTAGCTGCGCTGGTCCTTGCGACGACCTCTTGTATCGTTTTGTAGAGAAGAATTGATTTCCACTCCGGGCAGGGCCCCAAGACCGCTTGAACACCTCTAGCGGTGTGCTTTTGACGCGTAGGCGTGCTTTCCGGAAGTGCGCGTGAGAGGTCAGTAGCGATCATCTTGTGTAAGATGCTACTGTCCGAACCAAGAAACCGCCACCCTTGGAAGAAAACATGCGTCTCAAAGTCCAACAGAGACGCTTTTGACATGGGCAGCCGTTTGACTTGGTCGAAGCAAGATGAAGGATACACGACGTAATCATACCCAGATTGGGCGATGATGTATGGGGAGTTTGGGTATTTGCGTCGGCCCTCCTCCAGCATCCCCTGATAATCCCAGCGTCGGGCTCCCTCTGGCTGTTTCAGAACGGGGACGCCTCGACGGCGGACAACGGAGAAGCGACCCGTGACATTGTCAAGCAGAAGCAGTCCGCCTAGGATGACAAGGCCCAGTACAACAGATCTCACGCCGAGACTTGATGTCTGGTATGATAATCTGACATCGTAGATGGCCTTTCTGAAAAATAGCATGAGCAACTCGGTTTTTCCGAGGCGCACAGGACCAATAATGCTTCTCAAGGCTTCGTATTCGCCCTTCACCGTTGACCAGATCTCGCGGATGCGAACAAACAACTCCATTGTCGTGGAATACAGAGAATGCCTTGGCAAGAATGCAAAGAAAGTATCAGAAAGCATGTTACTACTTGTCGGAATAGGAAACGTAGTCTGTATGAGCGTAGTGGCTGATGGATAAGTGAGTGTCGTACTGCATAACCATGCCGCCGACATCCCTACTCCATCTCCGATTTGCCCCCCTGCTTGTACCCCGGTCGCCACTGACCTCTCCGGTCAACCGAGTTTCTCATGGCAATGCTCTGACTGGGCGGGTTCAAATGGTTTTAATCCAAACTATCATTCAACTCGTCACTGCCATAGTACGTCAATAATCCTTGTTCCGTCTCCAAGATGAAGGCATGCTCAACAAGATGGTGCATACTTGCGAGTATCCTCGGTATTACAGTCCAAGTCGAAGCGACGTGGGACTATGGAAGCCGCCAGCAAACCCTTGATATGAACCGACTGTCATCCCAAGCCTCCGCAGATAACTGTACCATTAGCAGATTTGGGCGATACACGGCAGCACGGCGTCCCGACAGTGTGCTCTTCTCGGCGAACAACTTGACTGATTTCGAGGCTCCTGCTATTGAGCCTCTCAACTCCACCGCAGGGGAGCAGTGGGAATTTGATGGCGTCTCTGACGACGGGACTCAGGCGTTCATCTTTGGCTTTTCTCGGGACCCCAACTGGGCCTTCTCGGGCACAGGCAACTTACGGGTGTATGCAGAGTTTGCCTTTGCGAACGGGTCGCGCTATGCTATAGTTGATTACGCCGAAGAGTCGGCTGTAGAGTCATGCCCCGGTCGTGGAACGCGAGGGTCGTGGAAAGGAGACGGGTTCGAGTACACATTCACAGTCTCTAGTGACATGTCTCGGGCCACAGTCACCATGGACAACCCCGAGGCTCATGCGAGTGTGTCCATGAACTCGCTTGCGCCGCCGAGATACGCCGACAACCAGCCATGGCCATCTACAAATGCCAGTGCAGAGCCCGTCCGGCACTTCTTCTGGGTCGAGCCGATGCCCGCCAGCGACATCACCGTCAATGCCATGATCCAAGGGGAAGCCGTGGCCTGGAGCGGAGTAGGAGGCCACGAGCGCATCTGGCACGCCTTCAGTTGGCCGACATGCATCACGGGCATGCTTGCGGTGCGGCTCAAGGTCGGGCCATATGCCCTTTCCCTCGTCGAATTTGGGTCCAAGCGCGTGGCAGGACTTCGAGTCCCCGCGATTGTCCTTGTTGAAGACGGTAAGGTAGTCTTCTCCAGCCGTCGAACAAGAACAAGTGAAGTCGAGGATTACATGCGTATTCAAAAGGTACAATCCTTGAACGGCGTCACCACCAAGCGCCTAGCAGACAAGACGACCGGGATCGAGCTCGAGCTGGAGTCGCCAAGCCGTGGAAAGAAATGGAGGTTTGAGATTGCACACAAGAATATTGGGTTCGAGTACGGTTTCTCCGACGGCTCAGGGGGCACAGGATATTCCGGGGTTGCCACAGGAGGACTGGCAGACTCGCAGCCGTGGACGGGACCAGCGTTTGTGGAGTTGTTGAAGTTTCCAGACAACTCCTGGCTAACCAAGAGCAACTACGTGGAATGATGCACCAAGAGATCTTGCCTACTGCGATGCTTGAGCTTGAGCCGTTCCACCTTAGCTAGGCATCAATGATTTTCAAGACAGCAGTTTTCTATATAATACGGTTATTACCCTCAACTCCATCTAGTAACCTTCTAATACTAAAGTTTTATATTATTGTCAGTTTAATTATATAGTAGCTTTAATTCTTTCAGTAGATATATAGCCTTTACTGAGGCAGAAGATACTAAAAGTATTAATAATCTCTCCCCTAATATCTAATACTGGATCAATTACTGGAATGACTCAAATCTTCCCCCCAATATCTCTCCTTTTGCTGCTAATTGTCTACTGCGATGCATTCGATCATGGAGCTTCCCTCTAGAAACTGCAGTAGTGTGTGACTTGAACGAGTCATGATTATGCCACACGATACACGAGTTTTTCCCCCGATACCTCTCCATCCTTGAGAATTTTCAGTCCGTCCACGACGGCGTGAAAGCCCGTCGATGTGCCAACGCGGACGGGATGGGCTTTGAGCTCCCCTGCATCGAGCAAACGCTGAGCACAGCCGAACCACTCTATACCAAAGGCGTGAAGCACGGCATCTGCGGCAATATCATACGGAGGCTTCCAGTTAATCTTCTTTCCAAACAGGGCAGAGCCCAATATCCAGTCTGGCTTCACCCTTTTCCTAGTGTGCAATTGTTCTGGGTAGGGCTGCAGTGTTGTATAGTGACCCCCAGCGCGGCCGATAGCACGGTAGCAGAACTCCATGCTCGAGGCGTCACAGTGACAATCCAAGGCATAGTCCAGCTCGTTTTTGGTGTAGGCCTTTATCGCATCAACGCAGCCAGGGTCGTGGTAGTCAAAAGCCTCTTTGGCACCATAACTCTTAACAAGACCAAAGTTTTTTGGTGAGCATGTGGTGATGGGGATACATCCAGATCTACATCGGCATAGCAAACATTCAGCTTCTCTGCACAAAACATTGCACCTCGGAGACGTACTTGCGGATAAGCTGAATAGCCATGGTGCCTGATGCCGTACTGCCGCCATAGACCAGCACAACCTCCGGGTTACTTGTCGGCATCTCTGGATGGCCGGGTATGCTCAACGAGTAGAAGAGAGCATGGCCTATGGTGCCCACCCCAGTGCCAAAAGATGCCGCCGACTCGTGCGGCATCCCGTCGGGGATCTTGAGGGTAAAGTCGGCCGCCGTGAGCACGTACTCGGCAAAGGAGCCGTGCCGCGGTGCCAAAGGATCCATGCTCGCGTGAGGCGCACAAACGCGGTCCCCAATGCTGAACTTATCCGCAGGGACGTCGGCGCCGATGGCCACGACGACTCCCGAGCTGTCGCTGCCAGCCGTCGCCCCCTCCGTCGCCATCTCGCCCGTCATCTTGACATCGGCAGGATTGAGGGCGACCGCGACCGTCTTTACCAGCAGCATGCCTGGTCCCGGGACTGGGACTTGGATGCCGTGAGAGACCACCAGGTCACCATACTCGTTGGCTACCACGGCCGTCTGAAACTCCGGTATCACAGGCGTAGTTGACGGCGACATATCTTCCTTGTGGTGGGGATTCTTCTTTCCTTTGGTTTTAGGCGAAAAGGTATTGATTTATAGAAGCCATGGGATGCTAACGTAAGTATAAGCCATAAGTTGCCTATCCCATCAGCCCTATCAAGGGTAGGCCGCCCCCATAACCCAGAACTGATATAGCCGTTGGATAAAGTGTGCAGGGCACTCGCAAGCCAGCCAAGGGAGGCATCTCTTGGTCAATTACCAAAATCCAGATTGTAATAAAGGCCTAAAATAATACTAATTATAGAAGTTTCTTAAAATCTATTTATTTTAAGGACTTTTATTTAGCCTATTAAGATAGCAATAAGTAAAAACTAAATCTTAATTATTAATTATTATAATAAACCTATATAATCCTTTTTTTAATAGCTTTAATCTTTTTTTATTAAAGTTATTTAGAAAAGTTATTAATTATTAATATAATTTTTATATATTAAAATAAATAATACCTAATATTAAGCCTTCAAAATAGTTATTTTATTAAATTTTAAGAAGTTAATATAACCACCTTAAAGGTAATTGGGATTTTATTAGCATTATAGACTTCGATCTTCCTTTGGTCAACTTACCAGGGTCCTGCACATCCTAGTCAGCGGACAATCTGCCTTTTGACTCTGAAAGGAAGTCTACTACACATTTCTGCCGAGCAATGCGAAGGCAGGGGTGTCGGAGTCCGCGTTGGATTCGGCGTCGGAGTCGGGGTCGGAGTCGGTGTCGACAAAGGATCATTTGCACATTAGACAATGGTGATAAGCCCTGGAATCAGTCATTACAATAGAGATTGAAGCTACCCCGCAGACCAGCCCGATTTACGCGTATTGATTTGAAGCCTTGCCTTAGCGCTTGATCGGGAGGGCGGCATTCAAGGATGCAGCCTGACACACCCTTGGCCATGTAGGTGTGGTGGGTCAAAGGCGTGAAGGCATAATGTGCTGTTGCTGTAGGAGGATGTTGGTTGGCACTGGCACGGAACAATACATGACCAGACAACACAGAGCAGGGCGCTGTACATTCATTGTGCCTGGACTATTACTAAAGGGTGCTAGAACTTATGGCAAGGCGGCCGCCCCCTCCCCAGATCCCACCCAACCTACCTTTGCTGGATCAGGCTTTCAGGCACATCCAGACTCATATGCAGAGAGCCAAGGATTCCCCCACGCTCAGACGCATTATTGTTTTTTTCGAATTTCCCTTTTCTGAGTCGCATCTTACCTAGTGATAGAATCATCTCCCCCAGCCCACCCAGAGGAAGTAAGTATACCCAAGACCAACTGCTAGAGCCGTCATGACGACCATACTCGTGGGAATCATCGCCGTGACAACCGTCGCATGGTTCCTTGTGTCATGGAGGTGGCGTCCGCAGCAGCCGAGACTGCAAGTCCCCCAGGTGGACGTTGAGGGAAACAAGACGCCTCAGAGATATGTTGCGGAGACGGGAAACCTCATTGCAAAAGGATATAGACAGGCATGTTCCCCATTTCTCGCGTTTGACACTGGGGCTCGATTTAACAATACGTGTGCCCGAGGTTAGTTCAGCAAGAAAGGCCTTCCTTTCAGCGTCCCCAACCTCTCCGACCCCGCGAGCCCTCTCGTGCTGTTGCCGCTCAAGTATATCGACGAGGTGGCGAGCGCGCCAGAAGACTGGCTCAGTCTGCAAGAATACTTCTCTCAGGTTGGCTCGACGCATTCTCCTCGCCCACGCTCTCACGATATCCTAACCACTCGGTGGAGTAGCTCGGCTTGGTCAAGTACACACACGGCCCGCCCATCTCGTCCGAGGTGCAGCGCGTGGTCCGCGCCGATCTGAAGCCTGCGCTCGGTTAGTCCTGTCCACAAACCCCCATTGACATTCGGCGACCCAGACATGGCCAGATCTAACTAGAACCAACTGTTGACGTAGATGATCTCATTCGACCCCTTGAGGATGCTTGCAAGGATGGATTTGGCAAGGAGATGCCGGAATGTCAGGGTAAGGCTATTATCGCTGGGGGGCCAAGTTCAATACTTGCTCTCATCTTGCCTTGGACTCCTGAGCACTCGGCAAACTAATGGGATAATGCTAATCGAAAACAGAATGGACCACAGTCGTGCCATTCAATCCACTGATGCGCGTATTCGTACGCATGGCCTCACTGATGCTTGTTGGCCCAGATCTGCGCGACGAATGGGCGGATTTCTCGTTCGAATACCTCGGCGCCATGACGAGGGCAACCCGCACAGTTCGCGCATCATACCGTCCATACACGCGTTGGTTGGCTCAGTATATGGACCCCGACGTCAGGGCACTAATCAAGGCTCGTCGCAAGGCCGGGCAAATCTTGGGCCCAGCCCATGAGGATCGGCTCGCACAGCTAGAAGCAACGGATGGAGATGGGAGCAGCCGGCAAAGGCGTCTAGATCCTGATCGCCACCGCGACGCGCTCCAGTGGTTCACGGAAGACTACAAGAGCCGAGGCGTCAAGCCCACCCCCGACCAGATTGCCCAGAATCTGCTGAATCTCTCCGTTGCGTCCACCTCTCAGGATGGTTTAGTCGCCCTCTGGTCACTCTTCGACTTGATCGATCATCCGGACGCTTTGAAGGCCATCCGAGACGAGATTTCTCGGGTACAGTCCCGACATTCGTCATGGACTCGCCAGGCGTTGAATGAGCTGGAGATTATGGACAGCTTCATGGCAGAGACGATCCGAATTCACTCCTTCACGCAGAGTACGTATCACCTCCGCCTTCTCACCATATCCTCCCGCAAACTCCCGTCTAGCCTTTTGTCTGTAAAGAAATGCTAAGGGTTGAATCGGACTTTTAGCATCGGTGAACCGCATGGTCATGAGACCTTATACTTTCAAGGACGGCTTCCAGCTTCCTGTTGGCACGCAGCTATCGTTCCCGACGCAGCAGTACAGCCATGATCCCGACGTATACCCTGATCCTCGGTCCTTCGAACCTGAGCGGTACCTGAACAAGCGCAAGCAGCCTGACGGGGCCAAATTCCACTTTGCCTCCACGGCGGAATCTTTGGTTTGGGGTCGCGGGCCGCACTCGTGTCCCGGCCGCTTCTTTGTCCAGGATGCCCTGAAGCTCATCTTCGTACATCTTCTCACCCGTTACGACTTTAAATATCCGGAGCAAGGCAAGACTCGGCCAAGCCCGGACATGCCCAACGGGATTATGAGCGCGCCCGACGTCACCATGTCGGTTCTTTTCAAGGAGAGGCATGTCTAGCTGAGGAAAAGGTATACCTTGCACTTAGTGTACCCTATTTCCATACTATTGATCGGAGAAAAGGATTGTTTTGGGACAGAATAGTACATATGGGGTCGAGATTGAGTAGCTTGACTCACACACGTAAGAGACAGCAATGGAAGATGCCAGACCCGACATCTCGATACAATGAAGAAAGAATAGTACAAGAGCTCCTATCCACCCCTTCCCATAAGCCACCTCTGCACGGCGACCATTGCCTTGCGTGACCGACTTGTACTCCGCTTATTCCACCGCCATTAACTCTACAATCGATACCTTGTTATAACCTTCCTGGTCACGATGCACCGTGTCCTACACCAGAGGCTATCCTACAGGTGTGCATATTTATTGTAGTTGAATGCCGATACCTCACAGTATCCCCTCGGGAACATGCGGACGCAAGATCGAGACGATCTCGCTCCATGTCTCGGGGTACAGCGCATCCGACCGTTCAGTCGCCAAGAAGCCATCCATCCTGCGCCCTTGAGCATTAGATGTGTCCTGTAGAACCCCACAAGGCCGAATGGATTAAATAGAGTACTTACGCGTGATATTTGTCATTGGTCCAGAACTTTCCGTGGCTTTCAGGACCGAGCCCGGTAGCGCTCACGAGGGTCCGGGAACCCATCTCGGCCGTGCGTGCGAGGAAGTAGTTCTGAATGGCCATGAAGATCTTGAAGACACGCGGGACGTCACGCGCCATGTTTGTCTTGCAGAGGCCCGGGCACGTTGCGTTGACGATGATATCGGGGTCATGCTCGGCGAATATCTGGGCGATGCCTTTGGTAGCATACCACGTAGCAAGCTTCACCAGGAGATACTGTTGGATCGGGTCCCACTTGGATTCATCGTCGCAGCGTTGGACTAGCTTCTGGCCGTCGGATGGAAGCTTCTTCTCGCTCACTGTAAATGTGACGATGCTGTTCAGGATGGAGAGATGGGGGCGGAAGCCATCGGGCGAAGGGGCCTTGGCCGCCTCCCGTAGCTTGGGCAATAGCAGCAGCGCCAGCAGCGCAGACGAAAGCAGGTTGATTCCGACCGACGCCTCGTGCCCGTCTGGTGTTTTGGCATATTTCCAAGGCGAGACGCCGCCTGCGAGCTGGACAACGTGCAGGGCCGGGACGCGCTGGCTCACATTCTCCGCAAAGCGCTTGACGGACTCAAAGCTGGCCAGGTCCACGGGTTCGATGATGAATATGTCAGGGGAGCATCCCGTCCGCTCTATGATGGCAGACTTGGCCAGCTCTCCCTTTTCCGCCGTGCGGGTGCCGAGGATGAGCGGGTTGGCGCCCAGCGCCGCGTACTTGATGGCTGCGTTGGCACCGAGCCCTTCGCCGTAGGCCCCTGTCACCAGAACGGCCTTGTCTTTGAAGGAGAGGCCCAAGGACTGAGGGTCGGCTGGGGGATTGCGGGCGTTGTGCCAAAGCTCTCCGATTGACGCCATGACGCTGATGCTGACTGCTGCGAAGCAAATGGGTGGGTGAGGCGTGGACAAGCTGGGCAGATCAGGAAGGCCAGACTGGACCTGGAGAATTTATGGAGGGAGGGAGTGAATTCGGCTTTGGGGGGCACAGCCAACACCCCGATTGTTTATTGTACCTCGTTTCTTGATCCTCGACTGGTTGGTTGGCAGTGTCGGACGTGACATCCGACTGGTGCAGGAGCCTGCGCCCTCTCATAAGTCCCTGGAGAGCTCCCTTATGCAGAGCTACCTTATGATACATACAGTGTCAGTGTTGCATGCATCATTTACCCCGCGCATAAACAAGGTGTTGGACAATGGCATCTTGTAATTAAGGCAGCGCTGACCACAAGCCACAAAAGCGCCTCTTTCCTCATGAAGGAAGGGTGATATAAATAGGTACGCTAGTTAATAAGAGGGATAATATCTATAGCCTTTGATAAAACCCTCTAAAAGGTCCAGAAAGAGAGTAAATAAATAAATAAATAATTTAATTACCTTATTATTTCTTTAATTTATTAGTTTAATAATTAAAAGTCTTAAAGTTATATTTATTAAAAAGAATTAATTAAAATTACTAAAGGTACTTTATTTAAATTATATTTTAAATAACTATATAAGTTTATATTATATTTAAATATATATTTATAAATAAATATAATATAGTATATTTTTTATAAATTAAAAAAAAATATTTATAATATAAATAAAAAGGCTTATAAAGTTACAAAAAATAGTTTAAGTATAATATTAAATTATTTAATTATTTAATTTAAAAATAACTTAATTTCAAACTTTAAAATACTTTTATAAGCAGAATAAAGTTAAAATATATAATAGACTGCATTTCTGATGCACAAAGCATCATCATCTGCCATCAAGCAATTTGGAGATTAGGAGGCAAATATGCCACTCGCAAATTAGTTATCCCGGAGCTGCTGAAAATGCAGAAAAAGAGGCGCGTGAAGTGCTCCTTTGTAATGGCGACAGATGTGTATGGGAAGGAGGTAGGCTTATCCAAGGGCAATGAGAGGCCCACCAAGCCCGAGAGTCGATCGTTGGCTCAGCATTTCTATCCGATTTTGCAAAGGTTGATCGGTGAAGAGCTACTGGTGCTCATCCCGTCAAGATTCTCAAGGGTAGCCTTGACGGTGTAATGTCTGGGCTGAATCTACTTTGATCGGGCACCATCTGGAGAGAAGTTGGTAGTCTCTATGGACGATGACTAGCTGAGTTTGCCTGGAGAAAAGCAGAAACAGAAGAATATCTCAAACTTGGAGGGGAGGAAAATTCAGCCTTTAGTCAATTTAAACAATATCTGACGGCTCAAGCATCGCGTATACCATGGTGATAGAATGTACGTACGAGGTTGGCAGTAAAAGCTCAAGGGGCTACAAGGTAATATCTTCCGTAGCAATTACCTTCGTTGACACTTTTCGGAGTTTATAAATGTTTGGCTGGCATCTCGGCATACTATAAACGTTTCAGAGACGCTTCATTTGTCAACGTTGGGCATACTAAGATTGAGTTTACGCTGCACATGTTTTTGATATATTTATCTGCATTAGCTAATCCATCAATACGTGTACATGGCAGCAACTAAGTCAGAGCATCAATGCTCGCATCGGGTATCGCGACAACGTCGCCAATGATCCCATAAATAACAGAGTGATGTCACCACATCAACCGATTCAGTTCAACATAGCAATAGCTACGTATGAAAAGAGTACAGAACATAGCTACCATTCATTCTATAGAGGGCTCTCCGGAAACCAATCCACCACTTAGTTGGTCGCGCAGTTGTGCGGATTGTTTCCCCTTTCCTGCTTGTTCGCAGTCCTCTTGGCGCCAATGCCGCAGAACTTGAGGTCCTTTGTGTAGTACACGCGAATCTGTCCGGGGTCGTTGTTTTCCTTCTTCTGGTTGAAGTCAAATGGCCTGCCGTTGAACGGCGGCTCGTTGGGGAGGAGAGGCAGCTCCCAGACGTCCTTGGCGCAACCGCTGGGGAACTTCATGACCTTTCCTGCATTGCCAAACGGCTTTGGGTAGCCGCTCTTGCCTGTCTTGGTCTTGGCGTCACGGAAGTAGCCCTCGGCTCGATCTTGGGAGACGATTCCCCAGCGCTGACCTTCATTTTTATCACCGCCGTTGCAGGTGTATAGCTGTTTCATAGACACATCAGTTACATGAACCTGGACATGCAAATGGAAAAGGCATGAGGAGTGAGTTCTGGTGGAGTTTCAACGTACCCGGCCAGAACGCTGTTCAAGAGAGAAAGATTCCCCATCAGACGTGGCGCTCGCGAGGGCAGTAATGGCTGCCAGGGAGGTAAGGAAAAGGCGGTTGAATACGACCATGGTGTCTACCAGAAAGTCGAATGGATGGGGGAATGATTCAGGAAACAAGATAAGTTAGGAGTAGAGGTCTAAGAATGAACAAAGATGATGAGTTGGACGTGTGCTCTTGTCTTTAATCACGAAAATACTGATTCAACAACTACCTTTCACTGAGGTACTCCCTCTTTCTTCTACTTCTAGCCGCCGACCTCTCTATTTCAAGTTTTTATTGATACCGTTTGAAACAATGGTCCGATGCGCCGAAAATGAGCGGCTGAGTCGAGCAGCGGCATGACAAATATGAGTCCATATTACGCAACACAAGACAGTGGTTTTCTAATACGAGGACGCCACTTCCTTCATTCGTCCCGATGATGCGCGACAATTATGATATTACCTCCATTTATAAATGAATTTGCGCGTAAAGTCCCTTGAGACACCACCATAATCTAAAATTTGACGGACGGACCGGTATGTGCGTTCGGGAACTTCTGCTAATCCATCGGGCTATTATCATCTTCGATCTTCATATTCGGATCAATCATATTTAGGGGGGTTCTAGACCGGAGCAGAACATGCAGTCATCATGTGAGGAGACCTGCCGGCTGACCACTCCGTCATACGTCAGCTTTCTTTGAGACATGCATTGCCCGTCCTCAAAAAGTGCAAAAGATGTTCTGATGCCGATGCACAAGTCGTTTCCAAAAGAAAGAAAAAGCGCAAAGTTGACATAAAAACCAGAGACTGAGGAGCTCTCGTTCATGGACGTGGGCAGAAGTAGCTCTATGCAAAAAAATTGTATTGTAATGGCAGTACTTGGTCTTAACCAACCAGTGATAAACCATGGTTTTCGCTTAGTTATGCGTCTGGTCGCAGTGAGTCCGTGTTCTTAACTTGCAATAATAGTAACGAGAAGAGGAAAGTTATGCATTCATACATGAGTGTGCATGAATGAGATTGTGGCATTGGATCCCCCATGGTTTCACAAGCAGCAGCTTGGCTTGCGGCTGAGCGGTCGAAGGAATCATCGGGACAAAGTGACTCAGCTGAATGCTCCTTCCGGTGGGTGCGCCAGTGGTCGGGTTTCAGCTCTCGGCGTACAACAAGGCCTTTTGTTCACAGGCGTTTCAGTGTCAGCCAACATCATTTTCTTCCCTCCACAACCTTCAGTCACAATCAACAAGCTACAATCCGCCAGTTCCAAGAAACCCTCGCAACGATGCCAGAACTTTCTTTCCAGTTCGACCCCGAATCTGCACCGTCTTTTGCAGACGAGGTGGTCTCTCTGCTGAAATCGACCCTCCCGCCAGACAGCCCACAGTCTCCATCAGATGCCGCCAAAGCCATAGATTTGCTCTGCAACAAGAAATATGAAGAGGTTGGCGAGGTGAGCGGCTTCTTATGGGCCTTTTGGGATTTCTTCCACGACCTAGCACGACAGGTTCCCTACGACAGCGAGGAGCAAAGACGGTTCGCAGCCATCGTCAAGGCCCTACATGACCTCCCGCCCAGGACTGTGAAGCTGGGTGCTTCATGGGGCGAGGACAGCACCACTCAGCTGTGGACGGCGCTGCCCTTGTTTGGCGTGACATATCGCGAAAAGACTGATGGTAAGATGCCCCGTTCGTGTACTGAATGAGACGAATATTCTGACAAGTGCCCCCAGCCGATCTACAAGCTTCCGGAGAAGTAGAAAAGCTAGAGCGCGACGTAAACCTACAATGGTACGCCGCGCAAGTGGCAAGCCTTTGCGATCTCTACTTTGAAATGTACGCCATTTGGGCCCTCGCGGATGCGCTCGAGGGCACCATGACGGAAATCCGGGGCGCTCCCAACGTGGTCAACGAAGACCCTTCTGCAGTCAAAGACATTGCCTACAAGACGAGGAGCGCCGCGGGCTGGATGATCCACACCGCTCGCCAGCTACACGGGCACGACGAGGATGTCGAGGGCGCGACGGCAGGGCCGCTGTGGAAGCCATCCAAGCAGGAGGCGAGGGAGCTCCAGCGCTCCTTGCAGAAGAAGAGGGTGTACGGCCTCTCCCCCCAGCGCTGGGGATTGTGGAAGCAGCGGTTCGGTTGTGTTCGCGACTGTGACAAGCTGGACCAGGAAACTCGCGAGTACGCCAGGCGAGCTTTCCGTGCAATGGAGGAGGTGGAGCAAAAGAAGCAGGAGTAGCTGATTACTTGTTTGCTTTCTCGGTAGTCATGACCTCTTTGGGACCCTTTTCGCAAATTAGCTGAGCTAGATTATGAGACTTATCTGAGCAAACACAAGAGATGTAACTTACCATGGCCGGCGGGAGATCGGACGATACCCATGGGCGAAGCAGGCATGTGAGTCGGTGGAGAGCCATTTTCAAACGCTTCAGTTGCAAGGGGTTTTGGACAAGCTGGGGAGATATCCGTCGAAAACATAAAGCTATTGTGGTAAATTGAGAAAATGAACGCATAATTGCAACGATAACATACAACTCAAAAGTCTGTTGAACTTCCTGAAACCATTTCTCACTACTGACATGAAAAACAACCTTCTAAGATCCGGACATGAAGAAAGAAAGACGCCGATAAATACAAACCTGTGAAGATAATTCAAGAACAATACTGCAGAAGGTGGACGTAGGTCGGTCAGCCCAGCTGTCACGGCAGTATGCTTCCAGTGAATCTACTACTAACTGGCAGGAAGAGGACTAATTTAAACCGAGCCGAGCCTGAAGTCGACCTTGGTACTCTTTTAAGAGTCGATATGAGTTGCTTTCCTTTTCCATCCAATTAAGTTGTTTGGCAAAGCTTGCAGAGATTTCTTTCGAGCGTATCCTGGTCTCCGTTGCGTGATTGGACATCAAGTCCAGGAGTTCAAAACATCCAAACCGTGCGGCTGTAACGGCATAGTCCAAAGCTGTAATCGGGTACCAGAACCGGCCAACTTGCCAGTTACGTCCTATTGGCGCGCCCCTTTCTAGAAGCAAGACGATGAAGTCATGAAATTGGCCCAGCTTTTCAAGATTTGGGGAATCCTGTAAAGGGCAGCCAAATACCTCGCTAAAAATTGCAAGTAGAATTCCCGTATAACCGGTATACTCTGGGCCGGAAGTGTCTGCCTTAGCCTTGAACTCGATTTTGACTGAAGCTCCGCCGTCGAGTAAGGCTTTCAAGCCATCCATGTTTCGGGAGCGTACGATTACAAGAAAGACTGGCCACAGTTCAGGCCTCAAGGGGAACTCTGGGGGGTTCAGGTCACACCCCGTGCGCACTATAGCGTCAACGAATTCGGTTTGTTCGGGATGAAAGCTCGAGAGACAGGCGATGAGGGAAGGAAAGATGACACCAGCCCCGCGCTTTGGCAAATGAGAAGCCCAACTAGGAAGATCGATGCCGTCTCTAATGAGCCTCAACGCCATGCGCCAGCTAGTTGTTTGCAGGGCAAAGTAGAGCGGGTGATTATAGGCACGAATGTCGTTGAGAGGTTTGAGCCAAACATTAATCATCTGCTGAGCAACATCGACACGGTTTCTTGTCTGGTGGCGTAGGCCGCAGATCTCGTAAAATATCTGCTGAAAGTGAGCAGAGGCTGTGTTGACCGAGGAGCGCCGGTGTTGCAACAGGAGGGCCACCAATTTGGGACTGCAAATGGTCATGGCCGCGTAGTGTAGAGGTGTTCTTCCACTGTGATCCTTCTTGAAGATTGATGCGCGATTGTCCTTGAGAAGGAATCTGACGATTTCATCTTTCCAGTCGAATGAATTCACAGCCAAGTGCAAGGCAGTTCGTCCCTCCCAGTCTCTAGCTCTAGTGATGCTCTTATTGAGAGCTCTCTCGAATATCTGGGTAACTAAGGAGAAATCTTGCATTTGGATGGCAAGGTGCAGTATTCCTGCAAGCGAATCTTTATCTTTCCTCTTGGTGAGTGTTCCAAGGAGATGGCCTCGGGTAATTTTGGCAAGCTGAGGGATGGCAGAGGTGTTTTCTGCCACTAGATAGGCCCCTTTGGATATAAATTTCTCTAATATCTCGAGACGTTTCGGGTGATCTCCATGGCAAAAGAGGAGATGGAGAGGGTACTGTGCTTCGAAGGTACGGTCCTTGCTCACCTTTTGGCATGTGCAAAGTCCAAAGCTTGGTGCATGGACATTGGCGCCATGATCGAGCAGATAAGCGATTATCTCCGAGTTCCCGTACAAGACTGCAAGATGGATGGGAGAATATTTTGCTAGATGGAAACGGGTCGATTGAAGTGTAGAAGGCAGCCGCGAAACGGGCCCGGTCTCAGTATATGATTCAAGGCCCATATTTAGGTCTGCTCCATTCACATGGGCGCGCTTAATAGTGTCAAGACGGTTATTGCAGACGGCCCAAACGATCAAATACGTCGCTGTTGAAGACCATCTGATGTTTTCCTTGTAGAGATCCGCATTCAAGGTCTGATACAGCCCGCGGCATGTTCGAACGAGGGCTGCATGATCTTCAGTCGGCCTGAGGTACCAGGGGCCCGTATACCAGGTGTGTTCAGCGATCTGGAGAAGAACCTCCATCGGCATATTGAGGATTGGGGCTCCCATGGTTGATTGTTGTGCGAAAAGAAAGCTGACAATAATAGCTGTCACGACGGCAGAATGGGCAGACGACCGAGGCGCTGTGGTATAAAGTGAGGATTGAAAGGTGAGACAAAAGATGATGGGATAGAGAAAAAATCAAGGGACATTTTTTGGACATCGTGGAGGTGCAGATAACTTAAGGTATGGCTGCTTACTTTACTCGATGTGAATATTCACTTTGGGCATAAAATTATAGTTTTACATTGCAGCCCATCAGCCACGTAGAAATTTCCATATACTTTTACTAGTTGACGCCCAAACAAAGGTAGAATCCAGCAGTATCCAAGGGTTTAGTAGGATTAGGGTAGTAGAATGGTTTTGTAAACATGAACCGGAGGTTTGGGTGAAATTTACTCGAGCTGTTATGCAGACGCTGAGAATTACGATCAACAAAATCTGATTTTTCACGTTTTCGTCCCTGCCTTTGGATAGGAAAGAAAAGAGGGTGGCCGAGTATCAGTGACTCACTGATCGTAAAAAGCTTCAATGGCATGGGTCTGCAGTGAAGGTGACGAAGACTTCTCAAAGGTTCAAGCACTTGACATAAACCAGGCACTTGGCGTGCTTAGATGGCTGCCAGCCAGCTACGGAATTTACACCCTCCCATGAAATCTATTTAACACGTTGATCGTACAAGCAGAAATCTCAAGCACGGGCTAACGACTAGACTCAGGAAGGAAAGTTACGCCGAGCCTCTCAGCATGGTGCAAATATTTTTGGGACTTGGATTCAAAGTTAGACCCTGCGGCTCAGCAATAAAACCGCCACTGATGGAGGAGTGGCGTTCCAAGACTCGGCCTAGGACCATGAATCCTGCGTGACTTCCTCGCTAAGAAACTTTAATGTCTCTACTCCCTTTTTGAAAGATGCCCTTCCTTGCCTGACTCTTTTCCAAGGTGAATTGCGGGCAGGCCGTATCCATACCTGAGACCGCTGATCAGAAGGTACACTGCTTACTTGTTGATTACATTATTAGGAAAAAGAAACGAAAGAAGAAGAAGAAAAAGCAAATCGCCCCAGTCAATAATTTCTTACCTTGACATTATCCCTCCTAGTCTAGGAGTGACCAGCTTCTCTAGAATCCTCTTCCAAGCTTCCCCCAGACATATATCACCATATAATATAACAGTAGTATCGAATATGCGTTCCCCTTTGTGCCCTTGTCAGTTATCATGATGCATCCCCGGGGAACTGGAAGGGGAACCGGCAGCAGGAACGGCAGTCCAGATGCTCTGGCCCGGTTCTTCGCGTACAGCTTATGAGGATTGATGGTGGGGCAACCGAGTCTGAGTCTAAGAGACTGATGAAACTGCGTGGTCCCTGCACTGCAACGTCAATAGCATTTCCGGCAATTTTCCGTCGACTTTTGTAGATGCAGGACTCGCGAGAGCGGCAGGGATGGGCGAATTCTCGGGAGGCAAGGGGCTCCCATTGGCTCCCGCCCGAAAGGCCCCGCCCGGAACATTGGCCCGTCCCCGTGAGGACGACAACGTTGGTATTACAACGGACGAGCGACGGAGGGTTTTCCATCTTGCGGGGATTCGGGGAAGGGGTTGTTTGTTCTCAAGTGGGCTGATGGTCCCAGGTCGGTACGAGTCTGTGCGTGTCTAAGGAAGACTGAGGGCACCGTCGACGTCCAAGGGGCTGAGAAATTTGCTCAAATTGTGATGAGATGGACATGACACTCTTCGGGCAAGATGCAACGACAACACAGGGAATAATAGAAATTGGAGAGACGGCAGTGTAGCTCCAAGCCCATCAGCTTCATACACCATTGGCTGAGCCCTTCGTGGCAGCTCACAACGAGTGGCGGCGTCTTCAAACGGCGAAGAGTATGCATCCATGTTCGCGCCGAATAGACCTCGCTTCGCCCGGCAGAACGAATTCAGACGGGTCGAAAAGCCAGGGTCTTCTAGTCCGGGAAACCCTGCAAAAACCGTTACTAGCTGTTTAGCCAAGAATGTCTATGAACGGATCCAATTGGTCGAGGTGCCTAGTCTTATGCTTAACCGTTTGCAACCCATGCAATAGTTTGTGATGCCGTATCTAGTGACAGACCGGTCCCTTGCAGCCCTCGAGGGTCTTGCAGAAAGCGAGCACCCGAGCCCTAAGAAGTGCATATTTAGAGCGATCACTCTCAGGGGGCTCTAGTAGATATACTCGTCTCTGGTGCCGACGTCTCGGGTGGTTTCTCTACTTTGCGTAAAATGTCCAATCCACGATGTCGACCACTACGATTACGATTCCGGCAGATTCCAATCTAACGGGCCAGGAAATCGCCGACATCGCCTACAGTTATTCTGCAATCAAGGCCACTAACGTTGGCCAAGCCTCTGAGGTCTTGATATACGTCTTCCTCATCATCTGCACCATCATCATCTGCCTACGGATTTGGGTACGGACGTTCAGAGCAGAGAGCAAACAGAAGTGGGGGCTTCCTGATTACCTTGCGGTCCTTGGATTTGTATGTCCTCCTCCTTTTCGAAGCTGCTCCTGTTGGACCCTCGACTAACCTGCGGTTTCTGTTCTCGGTTTACCAGCTACCATATATTCCCGCCGCCGTGTTTGGGGTCTTGACTGCGCACTATGGCATCGGCGCGACGGACGAGCACCTCAACTCCATCGAGGGGGGCGACTTCATACGAATCCGAGGGATGGAATACCTGATGTACTACGAACTGACGTACTTCTCCGCCTCGACCATCACGAAGTATGCTATCGCGGCCACCATCCTGACGATCTGTACCGAGAAGCGCTTCATCTACCCCATATGGGGTGTTATGATCCTCATGGCCGTCGCGGCCGCCGCGTGTCTCGTTACTCTGTTCGTCAACTGTGTGCCATTCTCGGCCTACTGGAACATAAAGCTGTGAGTCTTGATGAACGCGCTAGAGCGCACAATATATAGCTCTACACCTTCGTTGCTGACGCGCAGCTAGTGGGAAGTGCAAGTCTGCCAACGGATTCTTGATTCTGAGCTACGTCGGGACCTCTGCTCAGATTCTCGTCGACTGGACTTGCGCCATCATGCCATTCTTCATCGTCTACAGGCTACAAATGCCAAGGAGGGCCAAGATCTCTGTTGTTGGCGTCCTGGGCCTGGGTGTGTTGGCCAGTGTCGCCGCTCTCATGCGAATCATCAGCTACCAGTACATCGACACAAGGAGATATCCAGACAACCACATGCGTAAGCGGCACCGAATTCTATTGGATAAACTTCTGGCTAATCAGTCTCGCGTGTAGTCGCGGAAGGCCGGCTCCTTCTGTGGTCTATTCTGGAATCTAGCTTCGCCATCATCGCCTGCTCCTTGCCATCGTTGAAGAAGCTGTTCACGAGCTGCATAGGAAGGTCCTTTAATCGGTCAGGAGATGCATCAAGATCCGTGAGTGTATCCAGATTGTGCAGCGCGAATTACGAGGAAGACAAAGCTAATCATTGGGTTTTCCACATGGACAGAAACGAACTTACGGCAACCAGACCCCTCTTCAGTCTCTGCCCGGCATCCACACGACGTCAGTAACTGGGAACAAATGGGACAGGCTACATGACGACATGGACGACTCCAGCACGCACCAGATCATGAGGCGGACGGACATACACATCGAAACCGATAGTAACCAATCCTTCTCCAAGCCTAGCGCTATGGTATGAAGTGGTATTAAAAAGGCGGAGAATTGATTTCGGATGATGGGGCGAGTTAGGAGCGATGCAAAGCACATAGAATTCTTTCATTTAATCTTTTGTACATTCACTATAGGGATAATTAAAATCACAGACCAATCATTAATTTGTTACCAATTCGTCTGGTTTCAAATGGTAACTGCTAACATGAAAAAATCACAAGTCACAAAATGCGCCTGCAGCAGGGAACGAGGAACTACAGCTTAAACAAGCTATCTTCGTCTGAATTTTGTCCCAAGACTCAATGCCAAGCGACATCAACGAGGAACTCAATATAACAAAGCTCGCGAACTGTTCCGAAATCGCTACAGACAAACTTGCATTTGGGGGGCGAAGGGGTTCGTCTGACTTTGCCACGAGATAACAAGCCCCGTGTTTTCGCTTGCAGGAACGCCTTTGGAACCCCTTAATGGGTGGGTAAATATCCCAGTTTCAAAACAACCTGGAAGTAAGCAGATCATTTCCAATACCACCATGCGATGTAACCCGCCAACATGCCGGCAAGCAGACCCAAGATATTAGCACGAAGCGTCACGTGAAAGAACCCCCTGGCCCTCTTCTTCGCTTAAGACCATGTGCTAATTTAGGGGGAAAAGATGACTGCATATCAGGCGATGATATAGTGTATACCATAACAAGAGTTTCGTGATGAATATTGGGAAAGTTTATCACAGGGCTGCGGCCGAATCAAATCTCAAGATACCCCTGAAAACGCTACTGCAGGATGATTTGACTTCATAGCATGGGTTTCTCTCATTTATAGCTGATACATGCTACAAAGCTAGACACTTTGGACAGGAGCCCTCCTATCTCTACTGTAAGCTTTCCTACACAGCTAAGCCCTTACTATTTATCCAAGATTCGGGTCCGCCTTTCGCTTTTACTCTCCGCTGGGTAGGTCTAAAAGTATTCTTGAGAGAAGCTGGGAAGAGGCCTATGAACTCCCTTCTATCTAGCTAGGGGCATATTCAAAGGCAAGAAAATGTTCAAAATATGTTCATGAGATTCTATTGCTTTGATTCTATTCCACGGTTGACTTTATTTGTACAGTGTCAGGTATTTGGGAAAGTTCACGGTTCGAGTGATCATTCTCCCAGGTCTCAAGTTTTTTACAAACAGTCCAGGTATGGCTGACATGGACTCAGAGATCCCAAGAGCGCGCGTTCACCAAAATATAACCCCAGCTGCATCTCGTGGGGTCCACGGAGCCCGTTTTGTGTCTGTGCTGTGGACCTGCAATTATCAAATTATTAATAAATTGACCACTGGATCGGAGGTCGCGATAGATTGGTGCTAGCAGAGCAGGGCCACCTCTATCGGACTTTGGTCCATTGACGTTGATGGATGGATTGGAGAAGCCAGTGCGTCCGTAGTTTTGGTTGGGCAGATTGCGGGCTTCATGCCGTACAGGGTTATTGCTTGGGACTGCACTACTCCTGCCGGCAGTCTGAGTCTCGGCTATCATAGAGGATTTAGACCGGCACATGTCTGCTGAACTCTGTGGATAATTTGTTTACGACATTATATGGGATATCCCTTCCTAGAGGCAACCCTCTAACAAGCTAGCTCCACGCACAATTTAGGTGAATTCCATCTTGCACCATGCCTGGGGGTGCCTTTTCTCTCCTTCTTTCTTTGGGTTTCTTTTCCTCCCGACAGAAACATGCTTAGTTCATGACCAAATCCTCGTGTCTCCATCCCCTTATTCATACAACCATAATACCATCAAACATATCAAGACACCAGTAGAAAATTGGCTTTAACTCCAAGATGATCAGTAACCCACCCTTTCTCAAGACCCTCTTCTTCGATCAATGACTGCCTGTCGCTTTCGTTAGCAACCTGCACATCCATGCCAAACGTCCCGAAGCCCTGCAACCGAACGCCGCCACAGTAAAGAATCTTATCCATGCGCGTCAAGCCGTGTCGCTCCCTACTTGACGTTGCCGCCATCTGCCCCCAAGTCATTCCCGCCTCAGATCCTTCCTCCTGCCCAGTCTCGAGGTAGGCGTCTTTCAGACTATTCAAGGTGTGGAGATTTCTATCAAATCGCTCAATAGCGTTTAAATCACCCCCGAGAATGCCGGCGTCGGCATTGTGCAAGTGTCGAGCTGCTTCGGCTAGCTGGCGAGGTCTCAAGGGGGGTCTTGCGACCAGGGATTGCAGGTGTGTCGTGCATAGACGGACGTTCTTCCCGCGTAGGTAGACTTCTACGAAAAGGGCGTCCCGGCTCATATCTGTTTGTGTGTAATGGACCCGGAAAACATCGGTGATGGCCATGCTTTTAGGAACCAGCATGCAAGTTCCTATCGTCAATATCAGTGCCAGTTAGTCTATGATTTAAGAATGTCTACTTACCATATACGTTAGACTCCCAGTACTCGGAAGAAATATCGGTTAACTGAAATTCTTGCTGTATCCAATCCTGAGACTGTATAATTTGGAGATCCGAATGCGTCATTTCATTCAACATGATAACTTTGTGATCGGCATCAGATTCATATTCCGAGGATATGTTGCCATATATATGTTGACGCAAATGGTCCAAGGCTGCCCGCATCCGCTCATCTGGCAGGATTCTCATAAAATCAATATTCCAAGATAAAACCGTGAAAGAACTTAGCTCTGGATCCGATGTGGCTGACCGTCTCCAGGTAGGCTGTACGGCATGCCAGGTCTGGTCTGATTCTGAGAAGACATGATATGGCTGCTGGGATGGTGAACCCCGCGTCCTTGATGGAAAGGAAGGTGAGAGATTATCCCAAAAACGGTGTGCCATTGTCGTCGTGTGACAGAAGAGACGAGGAATGAAGTTTTATTGTGTAAGGTTGAGCGATGTGAGGTATCTTTATTCGGAGTCAAGCTTTCGGTCTCCGCGACCATGCGGTGGCATTCTTCAATGCTGGCCCAAAAGCACCTATCACGACCCCTGCTCTTAAATCAGGCAGAAGAAACCACAGAATGCGGGGTTCAAGGCAGCCAGATACGAAAAACCAGTTCGCATGATCTATCATGTGATTGGTTCACGACTACTGTCTGACCACCAGTCTGGTCAACTGCTTCTTATTATCTCAGGATTGGGCAGCAGTTGGGGACCAAAAGATTCATGAAAAGTGTATGTATGTAGGTCTCAAGGTTCGGCTTCTGTTTAGACTGAGATAGTTTGGCAGTTCCTTTACAGGCCTGCCAATCTGATTTCCCCCCTGTCGGACCCGCTTTTTTTAATATTGTTTGGCACTTTGAAGATTCGGATTTTGCTTGTTGTTATTGCCATCCACTTCAATTGCGAATAATCATGACAGGAATCAAAGAAGGGGGCTTCTGTGCTCAACTCTAGTCTTGCAATACGTTTCGAGATAATAGAGTATGTCATATATTTGGACAATTGAAATGGGTAGATGACGTGATTACGCATCGAAAAGAATTAAAAAGATTCATCTAGAAAAGGGAATCAAATCGACAGGATTTTAATGAAAGCGTACCCACATGCAATGTTGTCTTTTCAATTGACAACCTGCCAAAACCAGCGATTAAAACTGTATAGCCCATGCCATCGTAGGTAAATTGTCTGGAATTTGCGTACACGTATGCACCCGAGTCATTTCACCCGCGCCCTTCCGTTGTCAAAAACCGACAATGCCAAGGTGTCACAAGGCGCAAGTGGCAAGTGTGGAGGGGCAGGTATAGGGTATCTCAAAAACCGCGGAATACAAATACCGCCGATATAGGATCGAATTTTCACAACTCTGGAATAACCACAAAGCATCGCTACTCGAACAACCCAATTCATTGCCCATATACCTTTATACCCTCCAATTTCTCACTCAAACCTTCCCAGAAACCCACTCCGTCGATCTAACTCTTCAAAAAACCCACAATGCCTCACCCCGTCACCCCGTCACCCTCACGTTCCGCAAAGCCCTCCCGGCCGACGTCCCCTCCATCCTCAAGCTCGTCCGCTCCGCCTACCGCGGCGAGGCCGACCTCGTCGCCGACGAGCGCATCGACGAGGCGGGCATCCTCGCCAAGATCTCCGCGCCCGGCGGCGTCATCCTCATGGCCCACGACGACGCCGGCGCCCTCGCCTCCTGCTGCGAGCTCCTCAAGCGCGACGACGGCCTCGCCTACTTTGGCCTCTTCGCCGTCGACCCCCTGCGCCAGGCGGGGGGCATCGGCCGGCAGGTGCTCGCGCGGGCCGAGGAGCACGCCAGGGAGGTGTTTGGGGTCAAGAGGCTCGAGATGTGGGTTATCTGGACCCGGGAGGAGCTCATCGAGTGGTACGTCCGCCGCGGGTACACCAGGACGGAGGAGACGGCGCCGTTCCCGTACAAGGAGCTCGTCAATGGGGAGGCTCTGCGCGACGATTTGCATTTCCGCGTCCTGGTGAAGGATCTGTAGCGGGGTCGGTGTTCATTTTCTGATGTTTGGTTCTGGGGATTCTGTTTGCTTGGTTTTTCGCGGAGTTTTTTTGATCGGATGCGTGTTGCATGGTTGATGGGCGCTTTGCATATGTTCTGCTGACTCGTTCGGTTTGGTGCTCTGGAAGCGAGATGGGGATGCGGTTTTCTAGACAAGCTCGCTCTGGGGAATAGAAGGGGAAAATAGAACTGTAGACAAAATATAATCGAATACACCCTATCCATGTTTCATTCCTATTGACATAGGTACACGTTCTCGACGAATCCTCGAACTGGATGGATGTGAGGTTGATGGCTGCCATCCCTTTGGTATGATCTTACCTGTTTCTGATGACCTCCCGGCCTCTTATTGGACCTGGAGCTGCCAAGGCATCTGCGATCCCTGCCCCTCGTTATGTTGACAGTAAGCTGCCATACAATGTCACTTGCGCAGAGCTGAGAAAGAGACGTTGGAGAAATGCTGCAAATTATATTACTACTAAACTATTAAGGCTATGTGACGGGTAAGCTACTAATTGCGCGCCCGAAACTAGTATAAATACAAACTATTTTAAATATAAGCTAAAGAGCGTTCCGTGTTCTCATTCTTTACTTTTTGGGTAACGAGTGTCTTTTGGGAGAGTTGAGGGGGAGTGTTCCCCCCGGCAACTTTGATGAATAAGAGAAGGGATGCGGTTTGCCGAACCCGTCTATGAGATGGCCGCGCACACATTGAGCAGGGGAGCACAGATACCGACCACGCAGTTGGGCTGGGGGAAGTAGCAGTTCTGTCCCGTGACCTGGGCGCACACGTTGACCAGCGGCAGACAGGTTCCGGATCCGCAGGAACCAGAGGTGCAGGGCGCGCCGAGGTTGTTGGATGAACAGGTGTTGGTGCTGGTGTCGCAGGTCTGGCCGGTGGGACACTGCCACGACGCGGTGCAGTAGTTGGTATTTTGGGTGCATCTGTTGGAGGCGAAATCGCACGTCTGGCCGTTGGGACAGGTGACACCAGGGCCGCAATAACCGATGATCTCGTCGCACTGGTTGTCGGTGAGATTGCACCTGGTTCCTGGGCTGCAGTCCGAGTCTCGGCTGCAATATCCTTGGATGGCGACGCATGCAGCTGCGGTACATCGATATCCTGAGGGACAGTCGGTGTTGACGACGCATGTGCCGCTGGTCGACTCGCATTGGTTCAGGCTCAGGTTGCAGGCCTGGGTCCCCGTGGTGCAGTCGCCATTCGAAACGCAGAACTGAGCGATGTCGGTACATAGGGACAAAACGACATTGCAGTTCTGGCTGACAAGACAGTCTTGTTTGGCGACGCATGACTTGGGGGCCGTGGAACACGTGTTGCCAGCGCAGTACTGGCCGGACGGGCAGTCCCTCGTCGCCGCACAGTAACCGCTGCCGAGCGTGCAGACGCCGTTGACACACGTCTGACCTGCCGGACAAGAGTATGTGGGGGAGCAGTATCCTCCTTTTGGCGTGCAGATGCCACTGGAGCCGGGTGCGCCCAGGGCACAATAGGCGTTTGCACCGCAGGTGGCATCGGTGAAGCAGACGCCGTTGGGATTGTAGCAGACGTTTCGTCCGTAGTCGCAGACCTCGGTGATCTGGGGACAGGACACGATCGAGCTGCAGTATCCATCGATTGGCTCGCAGGCGTTTGTGCTGGAGCACTGGTTACCGGCACCACAGTCTGTGCTGGACACGCAGAAGCCCTGCTGCAGGGCACATCTGCCACCCGTTCCACAGATCTGGCCGAGGGGACAATCGCTACGGACTGAGCAAGTGATGGCAGTGCCGATGCAAGTGTTCCCCTCGCACTTGGTGCCCGCGGGACAGCCAAAGTTGGACGTGCAGTACTGCGGATTGGGGACGCACTGGTTCTTGGTCGTGTCGCAGGTCTGATCTGCGGCACAGTTCGAGGCCTGGGTGCAGTATCCCTGGATGTTCTCGCAGCGGTTCACGTTGAGTTGGCAGAACTGCCCGGTCGAGCACTGAGAGTTAGTGCTACAGAAGCCTGAGATGAGGGCGCACTGGTAGTTTGCCGGGTCGCAGAACTGGTTGGGAAGGCAGTCTGCCGACGATGAGCAGAAGCCTGGAATCGTGGAGCAAACGGTCCGTCCATTGCTCGTGGCGGTTATGCCGCAAGTTTGTCCAAGAGGGCATGTGCCAGCCGCGGTGCAATCACTGTTCGGTTGACATTCGCCCGTCGTCGTATCGCAAGTGTACCCTACGGCACAAGCTCCTCCAAATGGCGGTGGGCAGTAATCTACGAGGACTCTACAGCGCAAGGTGGCAGCGTTGCACGTATACCCGGCGGCACATGGGAAAGCGGCAGTACCATCGCAGTACAACGGCGTGTTGCTGTTGGAATCGCAGATGCCATATTGTGTACATGACTGGCCGGCCGGGCACGGAACGTTGGCGGAACAGTACTTGGGGACAGGAGCACACAGCTTTGTGTTCTGGTTGCAGTACCTGCCCGGTCCTGATACGAGACAATCAGAGTCCTGGAGACAGAAACCTGAGATTGGAACACACCCGCCGCTCTGGCACGCCTGGCCAAGAGGACAGGGGCCGGAAGTGCCGCAGTAGCCATCAGAACGCCGGCAGAAGTTGTCATCACAATAGTTGCCCTGTCCACAATCGACGTCAGATTGACAGTAGTTGGGGATGGGCCTGCAGACATGGGTGTCGGCAAGATCGCAGTAATACCCCGTGTTGCAGGTATTGCCCGCGCCGGTGTAGGCAGTGCAGTAGCCTGCAATGTTTGTGCAGGTAGATGTGATCAGGTTGCAGAACTGGCTTGGATCAGAGCATGGGACTGTGTTGCTGCAGCTGTTAGGCGTGGTGTTGGGATCTGTACAGACGTTCGCTATACATGTCTGAGGTGCCGTGCATGTATTCATCGCGTCACAGTAGTTGGGATCTCTGCAGACATTCGACACACAATTCTGACCTTGAAGACAGAGCTTGTTGGCATCGCAATAGCCGTCAGGATACACGCACACCTTCAGCGCGCTGCAAGTCTGGCCCGGAATAGTGCATGGTCTGTTGGCGTCACAGGCGGCTCCCACCTGGCAGACGTTCGCGGCGCAAGTCGAGCCTGCAGGGCATGGCGTAGTATCATCGCAGTAGGTGTTGGATATGCAGAGGTTGGACACGCAGTTCTGGCCCGGGGTAGTGCATGGATTGTTGTTATCGCAATATCCTGGAACCTTCTGGCATCTACCTGACTGGCATTGTTGGCCAGTTGGACAGGTAGTGTTTGCATCACAGTTCTGCGTGCAGGCATTGGCTTGCAGGTCGCAGGACTGCGTTGGGCTGCAGTCTGCGTTCCTCTGACAGAAGCTCGCCGACGCAACGCACATGAATCGGTCGGTGTTGCAGGTTTGGGCAACAGGGCAGTCCCTATCACTGCCACAACCGCGCGGAGCTGTGGGCTCGCACATGGAAGTGATCGGGTTGCATACCTGAGTGCTGGGGCAATCGGATGGAGAGCTGCACGGAGTGGTTGCAGCGCTCGAGCAGATGCCGAACAGGGTGTTGCAGGCAGTGCCAGGAGCAGAGCAGTCGCTGTTCGATGAGCAGAGAGTAGGACCAGTAGCAATGCAAGTGTTGCTCGACAGTAGACAGAACTGGCCACTGCCACACTGGCTGTTGTTCTGGCAGCTGGAAGTTCCACCAGGGGTGCATGTGTTGGTCCTAGAATCACAGATATCTCCAGCAGTGCAGTCGCTGTTGACTCGACAGTTGGGAGCTGCCTTGCACACACCATCTGTTCCGCACCTCTCACGAGATGGGCAGTCAGAGTCAGCTGTGCAGGTCACAGGTCCAGCGACGCAAATGTTGCCATATGCTGCGGAGCAGGTCTGTCCGGCAGGGCAATTGGAAGCCGGAGTACACGGGGTAGGCGTTGTAGTCGTGCAGGTACCCCGAGTGCAAGCCTGGCCACTTGGGCATTGGGCGTTTGAACTGCATGCGACGGGCTGCTTGGGCTCGCAGACGCGCAGGTTGGTGTTGCAGTTATCCTGAGCAGGACAGTCCGCACTGGAAGTGCACCCGATAGGCCCATTGCTTTGGCATGTCTTGGTCGTCTGGTTGCAAGTATTTCCGGCAGGGCAGTCGTAGTTGACGACGCACCCGGAACTGATACACTGGCCGTTGAAGCCGCATGTCTGGCCTGATGGACATTGGGTTGAAATAGTGCAGCCAACGGGTCCGGCCACGCAGATCTGGTTGGCGGAATCGCAAACCTGCCCAGCTGAGCACGAAGCAGTTGACACGCAGGCAACTGGAGCCGTGGTTTGGCAGATGAATTGCCCCGTGTTGCAATTTGAGCCGCTTGGGCAGTCTGTATCCTTACTACAAGAAACTGCATCCGTCGATACGCAGATATTGTATTGCGAGCTACAGCTGAAAGCATTAGGGCAGTCTGCAGTAGACCTGCAACCGATAGGTCCGCTTGACTGGCAAGCCTTGGTCTGCTCGTTGCACAGGTTGCCGGTTGGGCAGTCGGCGTTGGTGCGACATCCTGAGCCGACACAAGCGCCACTTGGACTGCACTCGTTGTTTGATGGGCAGTCGGAGTTCTGGGTACAGGTCGTAGCCGCGGCGACACAGATCTTGTACTCAGGATTGCAAGTCAGCCCCGAGAAGCATTCAGTGCTGGACTGACACCGCTGTGGTGTAGTGGTCTGGCACACCCCGAAGAAACTGTTGCAATTCTGTGCATTTGGGCAATCAGCGGCCGAGATGCAAGTGACAGTGTCCTTGGGCTGGCAAACATGCAGCGAGGTATTGCAGTTGCTGTCACTAGGGCAGTCTCCGTTGCCATTGCAGATGGTAGGCCCAGGAGACACGCAACTCCTCGTGTTCTGGTTGCAGAAATTGCCACTGGGACAGTCGTTGTTGACCCGGCATGCAACGGGGCTGCAGAGCTTGTTGGCAGCGCATGTCTCGCCAGAGGGACAGTCAGTGCTGGTTTGGCAGGCGATCGCAGCGGCGACACAGATGCCAAACTGCGAGTTACATACCTGCCCGTTCGCACAGTTGTCATTTTGAGTGCATCTGACAGAAGCAGTAGTCTGGCACAATCCCGATCCAGAGTTGCATGACTGGCCGCCTGGGCAGTCCGAGTCTTCGGCGCATCGGTAAGGGATCACGGGCTCACACACATTGAACGAGGTGTTGCACTGTGTACTGGACGGGCAGTCTGCAACCGAAATACACCCAATTGCTCCAGCAGACTGGCAAGACTTTGTCGCCTGGTTGCAGGTGCTTCCGACCGGGCAATCCTTGTTGGCTCGGCACTCGCTCGTTGAGGCGATGATACACACATTTGAGGTTCCGCATGACATGCCTGATGGGCAGTTCGCGGTCGTCTGACAAGAAGCGGGTGAGGCTACGCAGATAGAATACGTGGCATCGCAGACGAATCCATTGGAGCAACCAGCCGTGGACGTGCAGCTCGCAGGTGGACGCACGGCGCAGAAACCGTTGGTGCATTGTAGGTCTCGCGAGCATTCACTGTCGCCCGTGCAAGGAGCGGCTGTCCTGGGCTCGCAAATGTGATACAGCCTGTTGCAAATCTGATTGCCGGGGCAGCCACTATCGATATTGCAAGAGACCGGACCACTTGAGTCGCAACCCGAACTGCCACAGATCTCGCCCGAGGGACAGTCGGTGTTGATCGCGCAAAGGCGTAGCGAAATGACGCATGTGCCGCCTGTGCCGCAACCTGCGCCGGAAGGACAGTCTGTATCGGCGGTACAGGTCGTGGCAGCAGCAACGCAGATACCATACTTGATATCGCACGTCTGGCCAGTGCCGCAATTACTGTTTATCACGCACTGAGTAGGAGCGACCGTTGCACATTGGTTTGCAGGAGTACAGTACTGTCCAGACAAGCAGTCCGAGCTGACCCTGCATGAGCCGAAGGTTGAAGGCTCACAAACATGGGTAAATGTGTTGCAAACGTAGGTTCCGGGGCATTGCTTGATAGTGTCGCAGCTGGTTGGGCCGGTGGACCTGCAACTGCCAGCTGAGCAGCTCTGTCCAGGGGGGCAATCGGTGTTGGCCCGGCAGAGGGGAGTGGAAACGACACAGCTGCCGCTGGCGTTGCAAATCTGACCCGAGGGACATTGGTCATTGCGGGCGCATTCAGCCGTACCGGCAACACAGATCTGGAACTGGGTGTTGCAGACTCGGTTTCCAGGGCAGTCAACATCCCTGGCACAGGTATCAGGCGTAATCGTCTCGCAAATACTGGTTGACAGAGTGCACTTTTGTCCAGAAGGACAGTATGAATCATCCAAGCACGCGTTGGGGAACTCAGGTTCGCAGACGTTAAAAGAGGTGTTGCAAATGTCGCCATTGGGACAGGTCGAGTTGGGATCGCACGCTGTAGGACCAGTAAGGACACAGTTCAGGCTGCGTTGGTCACATACCTGTCCAGACGGGCAATCTCTGTTGGCTCTGCAGTTGCCTCCCGTGGGAATGGAGCAGACGCCATCTATGCCACAACTATAGCCAGCCGGACAGTCGCTGTTCGATCGACAAGTCGTAGAGCTGCAGGCATTGTTGCTGCAGGTGCTGCCAGAAGGACAGTCACCGTCAATGCGGCAGATGGTTGGCGAAACAACACAAGCGCCGCTGGAACAGATCTGACCTGAGATACAGTCGGAAGTTTGGGTGCATACGGCAGTCTTGACGACGCAGATTTGATACTGAAGGTTGCAGCTACGATCAGGAGAACAGTCGCTATCGCTAGCACATGGATCGGGTACATCAGTATCACAAACGCCAGTGGCAAAATTGCACGATTGTCCGGCGAAACAGTCGTCATCAATATAGCATTGCTTAGTGCCAATGTGCTGGCACACGTGGAGGAGACTGTTGCAAGCAAGAGTAGCCGGGCAGTCTTGGTCTTTGCTGCAAGGGAGGGGACCTCGGAACAAGCAGTCGATGGCTTCGACATCGCAATACAGTCCTGCGGGGCAGTCAACATTGGTTTGGCAGTCTGGCGGCAGGACGGTGCAAAGACCCCTGGAGCTGCAGGTCTGTCCAGATGGGCACTGGGAGTTGATCAGGCAGTTCTGAGGGGGGGCAGTGCAGAAGCCGAAAGTGGTATTGCAGACTTGCCCAGCGGTGCAGTCACTTGTCTGGACGCATCGAGCTGGAGAAATGGCCAGGCAGGAACCAGAAGTAAGGTCGCAGGACAACCCGCCCGGGCAGTCGCTAGTTGATAAGCAGGCGACTGGATCCTGGGGCACACATACGTGGTTGACCGAGTCGCAACTGGCGCGGGCAGGGCATTCAGTATCATCACTTTGGCAGGCGAAGACGCCGATAAACTGGCATTTCCCGCTGGTGGCGTCACAAAGCTCGCCGGGGTAGCAGTCTGTGTTGACCTGACATTGGGCCGGAGTGGTAGGTCCCAAGATGCACGAACCGTCTGTGCCGCAGGTCACGCCGGAGGGACAGTCAGAGTTCTGAGTGCACTTGGCAGAGCCAACAACACAGATGTTGAACTCATAGTTACAACGCTGGCTATCGGGGCAGTCGGCATTCTTCAAGCACGTCTGCGAGCTAGGAACCAGGCAGTACCCGTTGATACATGAGTAGCTGGCTGGGCAATTTCCGTCCGCCATACAAGTAATATCCGCCTGGGGCTCGCAGATGTGAAGATCGGGGTTGCAGGTACCACTCTGAGGGCAGTCGCCAGCCGAACGGCAAGGCACATGCCCAACGAACTGGCACTTCTTATCAGAGGAGGTGCAAATCTGCCCGATGGGGCAATCATTGTTGATCTGACATTGAGGGAGGGGAACCTCGCAATTGCCCTTAGTACCACAGATCTTGCCAGAGGGACACTGAGTATCCGTGGAGCATACAACGGGCGCGGCAACGCAGATATTCGCCGAGGAACACACTAAACCCACGCCGCAGTCTGTCCCAACCGTGCAAGGTGTAGGGGCCTGAGTCACGCACACGCGTGCGCCGACGTTGCAGACCTGGCCCGAGCGGCAATCCGTATCTGCGCTGCAAGGTAGAGTGATGGCTGGCTCGCAGACCTTGTAGAGGCCATTGCAGGCGTCCCTGCCCGGACAATCATAGTCGTTTCCGCAAGGGATCGGGCCAGTGTTCTGGCAGGCCCTGGTCCCAGGGTTGCAGATCTCACCAGGATAGCAGTCCGAGTTGACTTGACAGACAGAGGGCGATACCACGCAAATGTTGTCGGAGTTACAAGTCTGTCCAACATCACAGTCTGTTGGCTTCTGGCACCCTTTGACAATAGGGGTACAGACGCTGCCGGAACCGCAAACCTCATTCTTAGGGCAGTCGGTGTCCAGGCTGCAAGAAATGGGTTTGCCAACACAGAACTGACGGATCTTATCGCATTGTTCGCCCATAGCACAGTCACCATCCACAGAGCATCGAGTGGGAGCGACAGTCTGGCAAGTATTAATTATGCACTTCTGGCTAGGAGCGCAGTCATTATCGATTCTGCAGGTGCCGGGAATCGATGGCTCGCAGACGTTAAAGCGTGTATTGCAGACGAGTCCAGAAGGGCAGTCGCCGGTTACATCGCATGGAACGGGACCAATATTCTGGCAAGTGCGAGTGTTGGTATCGCAGAACTGACGCGAGGGACAGTCTTGGGTTCTGCTGCAGAGGGTAGGCGAGACAACGCAGATGTTCTGAGAGTTGCAGTACTGGCCGGTCGGGCATTGGCCAAGACGATCGCAGCTCGTAGGACCGGCGACGCAGATTCGGTGCCGAGCATCACAAACTTGCCCAGGGGCGCAATCTGTGTTAACAGAACAGCCCACAGGGCGGGTCTGGCAAACATGAGTGGCCATGTCACACTTTTGGTAACTGGGGCAGTCGCCGTCACTCTGGCACCAGTTTGGTCTGAGTGCCTCGCAAACGTGGGTGTAGAGATTGCACACATGGCTGGCCGGGCAGGCAGTATTGGAATCACAGCCCGTGGGGCCGATAGCTTTGCAAGTCTGCGATTCCCCATCACAAGTATAGCCCCAGGGGCAGTCAGAATTGCCGCGACAGAGGAGAGGCGCGTTGACGCAAATATTGCGTTTACAGGCCTTGCCCAGTGAGCAGTCGACGTCTGTCTGGCAGCCAACAGTCAGAGGAACACAAATCTTGAAGTCGTTGCAAACGTCGCCGACAGGGCAGTCGGTGCTAACCATGCAGCCGGTAGTTCGAGGAACACATGTCTTGCTGCCACTATTGCAAACCTCGTAAAATGGACAGTCTTCACCGTTCTGACAGATTCTGGGGAGGGCAATGCAGATGCTCTGGTCATTGCAGCCCTGTCCAAAGGAGCATTCTGTGCTTGACTGGCAGCTCTTGGGACCGCACACCTTGTTGGAACCACAAGCTTGCCCAACCCAGCAGTCCGTATCGTCCTGGCAGAGGACAGGCGAAGCAACGCAGATGGCATGGTCATTACAGCGCTGTCCAAACGGACATTGTGTGCTTGATGTGCAGCCCACAGTCTGGGGGACGCAATTCTTGTTCCCATTGCAAACCTGGCCATTCTGGCAGTCTCCATTAGACTGGCAGACGGCAGACAGGGCAACACACACATTCCACTCATTGCAACGCTCTCCAAAAGGACAGTCTGTGCTGAACTGGCAACCGAAGGTCTGAGGGACGCAAATATTATGGTAATTGCAAACCTCCCAAGAAGAGCAATCTGAATTGGATTGGCATCCGAACTTCTGGGGGATGCAGATCTTTTTGTCGTTGCAAACGTGCCTAGCAGGGCAGTCTGTGTTGGACTGGCAGCCGAACTTTTCAGCAATACAGATTTTCCTATCATTACAAATATGACCAGGAGCGCAGTCAGTGCTGGACTGGCAGCCGACCTTTTCGGGAACGCAGATTTTCCTGTCATTACAAATATGACCAGGAGCACAATCAGTGCTGGACTGGCAGCCGAACTTTTCAGGAACACAGATTTTCCTGTCGTTACAAATATGACCGGGAGCGCAGTCAGTGCTGGACTGGCAGCCGACCTTTTCGGGAACGCAGATTTTTCTGTCATTGCAAATATGACCGGGAGCGCAGTCAGTGCTAGACTGGCAGCCGACCTTTTCGGGAACACAGATTTTTCTATCGTTGCAAATATGGCCAGGAGCGCAGTCTGTGTTGGACTGGCAGCCGAACTTTTCGAGAACACAGATATTTCTCTCGTTGCAAATATGACCAGGAGCACAGTCTTTGCTGGAGGCGCAGCCAACGGTGGGAGGGTGACAGAGACGAGTGTCGATGTCACAGATGTGGTTGATTGGGCAGTCACCATTGGTATTGCAGTATGGACCTGAAAGACGCGTGCAGTAACCTCCAACACAGACCTCGCTGGGGTTGCAGGGCTTGCTATCCCAGCCGCATTGTGCAGGGTTGCTGAGCGGAATACAGTTGCCCAGAACGCAGACAGAGTTGGCGGGACACTGGTGTCCGTAGGCATCGCATAGGCTAGGAGACGCAAAGGGGATGCAAGTCCCATCAATGCAGATGAAGCCAGGAGGGCATGGACCGTTGTAGTCGGAGGAAACGAGGTCTTTGCCTCCGAGCTTGCAGGTGATCGGGTTACCAATGGTGATACACTTGCCGTGGATGCAGACACTACCGTCACCACAGCCATGGTCGCACTGGGCAGGCGGTCTTCCAATGGGAACACACCAGCCATCGACGCAGACCTCATTGTTCCTGCAATTACCGTCACAGTTCCCAGAACCATGAGTCTTGACGCGGACGCAGTTGCCGAGAATGCAGACACTATCGCGGTCACAAGCGTGGCCGGGGGCTGGGCAGTTATTGGAATCGCCCTTGATATCCACACAAACTCCAGAAATGCAGAGCCTTCCAGGGCCACAGTCAACGTTCTTGCACTTGGAAGAATCTCGATAAACAACAATGGGCTCGCAAGATCCATTAACACACGCATGCCCTGGTCCGCAGACTTTGTCGCTGCACCTGTCAGGGGGCGGGAAAACATCAACGACATAGCAATTGCCACTGCAGCAAATGTTGTTTGCTGGGCAGGCATGCCCTGGACCGGAGCAGTTGTTCACGTCACCGATGATATCCACGCAGAAGCCATCCATGTAGACCTCGCCATTGCGGCAAGAACCCTCTGTTGGCCAGTAACAGGTACCGTCACCTGGACGGGGTGCTGGGGTGTCTGGGGCCCAGGATCCGACTGTCATACGGCGGTTGTCACAGTCGGTGCAAGAGTCGGTATTGCCGTATGCTGGCCATCCATCGCTTTGAGGGCTAGGGGCACCTTCATTGTTTCCACTACCACCGTGGTCGGAAGAGCCCTCGCATGAGCTCAGCACGGCAGCAGAGGCATCTCCAAAGCCACCAATGCACACTCCAGAGACACAGACCTTACCGGCGTCACAAGCCTTGCCGGACGTGCCGCAGGCAGAATTGTCGGTGCTGATATGGATGGGGACGCATTCTTGACCGACGCTCACAGACCCAGGGTCGCACGTCTTGCCCTTGGCGTCCGCGATATTCAAGTCAAGGCAGCTGCCAGACACGCAAACGCTGCCGGCCTCACATGCCTTTCCCTCGGGGCCGCAGTACAAAGGATCGGTGCCAATGATAACGGGCTGACACACGTTCTTATCACACTTGTTGCTGTAGGGACATTCCTCGTTCTTAGAACAAGACCTGACGCTGGAACCGATGGTGATGGGAGTACACGCGTCATTCAGACATACATGTCCAGGGGGGCATTTTTTCTTATCCGATCCGCAGCTGTTTGCGTCGTCGCCGTAGTCGATGGGAAGGCAGGCACCGTTGATACAAAGCTCTCCGGCTTTACACTTTCCACCTTTGCCGCATGTCAAGGGGTTGGCGATGATTTCGATCGGGTGACAGTTTCCGTTGTTACACCACTGTCCGGGCCCACAGGCCGTCTTGCTGGCTCCGCATTGGTCGTGGTTGGCTCCGAGCTTCAGAGGGACGCAGGTTTCGGCGATGCACAATTCTGCTGGCTTACAGCACTTCCCTCCACAGCTGTCGGGTGTGATGCTAATGAGCACAGGCGTCCAGTGATTTCCAACACAGATGGCGTCCTTGGAATATGAGTCCCTGGGGGCAAGGTCTGCTGAAACGAAGGATAAGGCATGTGCGGCAAAGGATGCCAGGAATAAACTGGTTCTCACCATCTTGGCTGTGTTCTTCAACCACGGTGACACGATCCGCACAGCACATGGGTTGGCGACATTAGTCGAGAGGGAGGAGGCGGGAGTGGCGGAAGCCGACGATGAACCAGGCATATTATATATGCAACTATCTCGGATAGTCTCATGGGAGCGCGTGGGCAAAGAAGCAGTCGGGCAGACTCTAATAGCTAGTCCCAACCAAGTTTGGACGGGACGATCGAGGGGTGTGCGCTCTGGCATGCCCCCTTCCAGTATACTTTCACATCATGCCGTTAACGTCCCAGTTGCTAGGCTAGCTTGAGTTGAAGCTACCTGTTTCTTCACCTGGCCTGGCGATGGTAGAGTGGTAGCTGGGGCTGGGACACACGATTGGCCCACGTCTCGTCGAGTTGGGTTCCCCAGATCGACTGCCAAGACAGCCACACTCGCAGACTTTCTTCTGCCTTGTGCCCACTCCTCCGCCTCCCATCCTAGGCCATATGCGAGTGTCTAGGTCGGGTGAACTCGAAAGTCAAATCTCCTTGTCCCCTGCGGGTAGAGGAGAACCGGTAAGTGTCAGTCCATGGTAGCGCCATCTGACAGGCTGTGTATGGCACGGCAACCAGGACGCAACTCGTCTGCTTTCGGACATGAGCTGTCCTGCAGGTTGCTCTCAACGTGAGGCGCAAACCACTGGGTGAAAACCAGAGGAGCTCCACTAAGTGCTCTCTTTAGGCATAAAGCGTCACTTGAGCAGAGCTTGGTTTAGCTTGCCCATAGGCTAATGCTCAAATGAACATGGCTACTATCAAACGGACTCTTGAGACTCGTTACCTTGTCGTGGGTCAGCATCCGAGGATGCCTCTGGTTAATGCGATAACCTAGACGCGTGTTGGACGCGTCCGTTTCTGTTTGCAAGCCCGCCGTCACAGTCCCAGAGGAGCCCTGCAAGGATCTAACTTGACCCGACTGAAATCAATTGACCAGTACGATGGGAATTGCAATGGTCCGCCTACCATCTATCCTTGGCAGTCTGCTCGGATGAGTATTGTCCTGCTGCACGCGCCGATCTTCGCGATAGCCGCGACGGGTAATGCCTGCCCCAGCCCTCGTTGTTTCACATGTGGACGGGATGATCGCCGCGCGATGCTAGCGAGATTACAACAGCGATTGCCTGCCGAGTCGCGACAGATGCGGATTTGGTATTTGCTGGCCGTCTGAGGAAGTCGAATCTAGGTTTGTTTGACGGAAAGTTTTTCCGTCTCCTCTTCGTCTGTCCTTCCTTCCTCATTCGCCAAAGCTCCCACGTCCATGTCCCCTCCATAATACAGCGCTTCACTCAGTGCGCTCTAGGGCCTAAGAGACGCTAGATCGGAGCCTAATCCACTGAAAAAACCCTGCAAGTGGCCGAAAACATCGAAATCTTTAGTGACCCGGTTGGGATTGGCATGTTCGGATGCTTCACCAAACCGTTTGACTTCTTTAGCTCAAGGGCTCCCTCGCGGAGATCCACCTGCCCGCCGGCTGCGGACATGTCTCTTCGCCCTCTTGGCTCTGTTCCAATCCCCAGCCCTCAAGTTCGCCTCGCACCAACTAATGGACCTCGTGTTGACGTGTCGACAAGAAAACCTCGCCCTTTACATTCCAGCGCATTTGAGACCTCGTAAGATGTAAGCTTGATCGGCTTTACAGTGTCGTGAAAGATCAGTCACGTACTTTCTATGCTTGGCCCGATAGCATTCTTCTATCTAAATAGTCTTTATACTACCACACGTAGATCGGCCAACCCAAATCCAATACTTCAGATATGTTCACTGAATGACATACCAGCAAGCCTCACAGGACTCACATTTGTAACTGATATTTTCCCTTCTCTACTAAATCTGAGGGTATTTCCCCGTCATTCTAGACCGCCCAAGCATATCGACCATAACTTCAAAGGAGCTGGAATGTTCGCTCTCTCGGCGGGGCTTAAGAGAATGCTAAACGAAATTGGCATCACAACAACAGATTGGATCGAGAAATGGCTTTACACTAATCACCTTCTGTACTCTGCAACACCTGTATGACTCATGTTTTCTAGATCTTGCCTCGACCGCAGATTTTCTGGGGAAGATCACATGGTTTGAGCGCTGTCAACTGAGACATGCCGTATCAATCTTCAGTGCCAGATCAGCCGTGGACGCTCTTGGCAATTCCCATGTGCTATTTAAAGTTTAGATTGGATCTTTGCTCCAAGATATGAGATCCTAGTTCGGGAATTTTTAGGACTGAAGGTTTCCCTTTCCGCATTGGTCCCTAGCTTCGGTAGGATGACACTTCGGCCCAGGTCAAACCATACCGCAATGACATTAGACGCACCAAGCCATCTCTTAAACTTAAAATAGAGCTTTCGACTAAGATGGAAACATGTTTGAGGTCTGTAAGACCGCAGTTATATTACATCCACAGTCTATGTATGCCTCTTCTATAATATCGACTAGAGGTAAAACCCAAAACGGATATTGGGTTAAATCACCAGGGCTGGACGGTACATTTAGCTCGGCCGACTACTTCGTCGGTCCCCGAGGAGTCAAGTTGCATGGCGCCCCCCAGACTACTATGACACTACAAACGGTGAACTATCATGACCACGGGAATGTCTAAAGAAAAATTTAGAAGAACTGGGAAAGCAACGAAAGCATTGCGGGGGCAAACAAGACCTTTTATTCTTCGGTGGGCACTTTTACCAACCTAAAAACGGACGGTCCTCACGGAACATAACCGCTATACCAATGACATAGAACTCGCTTCTGTTATTGAATTTACAAAAGGGTCTCCACCAATTTTTGAAAGTAGAATACAGGAGATTTTGCTCCGTTCGTTTAAAGTGGAAATCAGGCGTGTAAAACCGCAATCTACACGGGAATGTTGACTGACGAGAACGGAGGAGGGCAAGGAACCTTGTCAACCCATCATAATATCTCTTTACGACTAGCCTCCCCACGACTCGTTCTTTTTGCCATTTCCGAGAATTCCTCCGAGCTTTCCCATCCTTAGCTAAAATTAGAGAGATTTGGAGTAGTGCGATACTAAGTATCTTCTCTTGAAACACACATGCCTTAGCCGTCATTGGGTCGATTAAGCTTACCTACCTCAATACTCATCGCAACTAGTCGCAGTCGCCACATTTTGTGTACTTTTGGTGGTTTCCCTTACTTAGTAGAGGAGAAGGAGTTGGCTTACGAAGATGAGACGCTAGATCGTGATGCCAATAAACGCGAAATGTTGCTAATCTGACTCCAACATGTTTTAAATAGGCGGAAGATATGTGTTGCCTCGAGGCTTTCCTATTTTCAACGCTCTATACTATGCTGCATACTATGTAAAGTGAAAGAAATATGTAGGTGGGCAGAAATTTTGAGATGTAGGGAGTTGAACATATTCTTTTGGATCAAAAGGGTAACAGACTGGAAGAGAGCAGACTAGTCTAAAGAAAGGAAATTGTCGGGATCAGAACAACGGCTTACACAACCCTAGAAGAGGAGGAGGATTTCTTCATGCATGTTCCAGAAGAGAGAACGCAAAACCGTTGATACAGGGTCAGCTCGGTTCTTAATCGTTGAGTTCACTCTTGATGAAGTTCTGGATTTGCCTGGGATTTGGGTCGTGGAACTAAGAGCCAACCAATAGTCATTGCTACAAGGAGGGCAGTCAGGATAGGCTGAAGAACCTGAACTCCCGCAGACGAGGCAATAACACCAGTTATAATAGGGAAGAGAGAACCTCCCATCTGGGCGAAGACGAAGATGAAGGCAAGTGCAGTTGAGTGAGACTCGGCCGTGAAGAGCTTCGAGCCCATATTCATACCCTGAAATATCTTAGCATGATGTTCAACAAAAATAGATGTCGGTTAGGTGAATATTCGAGAATTTACCGTGGCAAAGAAAGGACCCGTGAAGAATCCTATGAAACTCACCGCAACGGAAGCGGCGATGATGTTGGGTACCCTAAATGTGTAAGTTAAACACTTGTCACAATTCTGAGGACTTCAACTTCGACTTACAACCAGAAAACAAGCTGCAGTCCGACTGCCAATAGGCTATAGATAAAGACCATCCGGCGCTCTCCAAGACGATAGGTAGGCTCCGCCAGAAGCAGCCGCCCGAGGAGGCAGCCTCCCTAAAACAAACAGAATCCTAGGTTAACGGGAAAATAAAATACGTGAAACAGATAACGCAGACTTACATTGAAACCGGCAGGCACAAAACCCATCTGCGCAAGGTTACCATCCCGAACATCGACGAGGTACTCGACCATCCAGCCGCTCATTGTGATCTGAGATCCAATGTAGAAAAAGTAGAACATGCCAAGTAGCCACACGTTGCGGCCACTAAGAATATCCTTGATCAGGCGGATGGCATCCTTGTTTTTGGAGGTTTCTCCAGCAGTCGTATGTTGGGCCTCCGGAGTATCATCAGCAGCCCTAGGTTGAGGCTCGACACGCATGGAATCCCGGAACGCCCAAAGAATCAGAGCCAAGTTGACACAGCCAATGGCAGTAGGAAATGTGTAGAAAAGGTACCACTGCGAGTTAGACCCAGCAGTCGCCACACCTGTGGCAACAAATGGTCCGATCAAGCAACCAGCCATATACGAGGCGTGGATAATTGCCAGCCATCGGTGAGCGCCCTTGATGCTAGCTGCGAAAGTATTGGCGTGGGAGTCATTATAAGCCTGCCCAATGGATACAAGGAAGAAGGTAGTGACAAAGAGACCGAATGGAGGCATCCATGCTCGCAGGGTATGGCTGATGATCTGAAACACAGCCCCAAGGGCGAGCATAGAGCCCAGGCCTAAATACTGGCACAAGTGGGTGTTTGATACTGCGGCGAAAAGCCACCCAGCGAACTGAGCGGCGTAACTTGGTTTAAGCATTCCATGTTAGCGGGGATCCTCGGCGTGGTGAGATATAATTCTATGAGATTGATTCCATTTCATAGAGATGGCATTGAAACATCTTACATGCTTGATACGAGGGCAGTGCTAACCCGGTAATCGCGAATTAAATAGGGAATAATGGCTCCGACGCTGCCATCATTAACGCCAGCAACCATGAAGGAGAAACTAGCACTAATAAGTTTAAGGATGGTTTTCTTGTCCAGTCGAGTGTTCTGGCCGCTACCAGATTCAGGTTGTTGTCGCTGTGAGGGCGTCGGGGTGTTGCTGGCGTCCGCCCCCTGCGGGCGGTGAGTCCACTGAGAGAGCTCATAATGACCCGGCTCCTCTAATACTGTTTGAATTGCCGTAGCCATTGTTGCAGAACAGATTAAAATCAATAAGAAGGGTGGAAAAATCAATTGCCAATCATTTCAACAGGCCCGGGAGTCTTGAATCAACAAAACGCCGTATGGCTCAGTGGGAGCAATGCTAGGTAGTTATCTGGGGTGCGGGTGAGAGCATCTTTGTATTTCCCCAGAACTCCAGTTTTATTATTAATCTTTTAATAACCACTCCTCTGTGATGTGAAAACCCATGTTCTAAGGTCATCTTGTGCAAATCTTTGGCGGTCCGTCGGACCAACCCCGTCCACTCCTCGGAGGAAGTGCGGTTAGCTCGCCCGAATGGTATGTCCGGACGACTACCCATTTAGGCTACTCCGCAGGTCACCAATATAGGGGGAAAGCGACTGACATAAAACAGCATTGAAATTCAACACAATATCCAGACAATTACCCAGTAATAAACAGATTATTAAGCTAAATATTATAGAATAATTTATTATTTTTTAATTATTACATCTAGTTTTAGTAATAATAAGAAAATGAAGTCCCCGGCTTATTTAAAAAGAGCTTTATTGTACTACGTCTTATTTCACCTACAAATATAAGGGGATATGCCCCATTTCATAATTTATTAGGTAGTTTATTATGGTACTACAAATGCTGATCCATAATGAATTCAACAGCGTGAGCCGTTCGTTCTCGGTCGGTTGAGTTTATATACACACATATCCAAGAAGTATCGTCTCAGTTTGGAGGCCCTCTTGGATCAATTAGCTACGGACGAGATTGCATCGATTGAATTGAGACCCCGCAGCTGACCACGTCGGCCTTTTTCATCCCGCCCCTCTGGGCTTCAGCTCAGCTTGATGCATCAAATGTGAAATGAACTCGCCAAACCCCCTTCATCTCGCCACTCCCAAGCCGGAATGATACGAGATGAGTCTCAAGTAACAAATTTGAATGGTGATATTTTCTTGATAGGGTATCCGCCAGTGGCCACCATACATTCGCCGCCGCAAAATGGCCGGTCAAGATTATCTTGACGATCTACCCGAGGTCGTCCTGGACTCGAGGCTTGAGGCTATTTTCGGACTGGACGGACAGCGCGCCTATACTGTACACCCAGAATATACTGACCTCCGAGCACCAAGTAATCACGAGAGATGGTTCCTCAAGAGGAGACTTGGCTCGGGTGGCGGTGGCAGGGTCGATCTCGAGATCAAAGAGTCCGAATCTCCAAATGGACCTCCCCAGCTGAGAGCAGTGAAAAAAGTCGAAATATCTCCCAATGAGCGGGTTTATAAACTTCATCAGCGGGAGTTGGTCGCTATTTTCAAGTTTTCTCAACCAAAAGTTGGTTCGCCTATCCATTAATCAATCTTCACAAGTCCTGACTGCTGGTTGCAAATCTAACTTACCGAGTCGGTGTATAGTATGCAAATCTCTTTGTCAAGTCTTATGGATGGTTTACTAGCGAAAGATATATCCACATTTCCATGGAGTACCTTGAACTGGGTGATTTACAGCATTACTTGTCTGACGGGGGGAAGTGCCCGAAACACCGATTGCCAGAACCTGAAGTGCACGACATCTCTGTACAGGTTCTTTCTGCCCTCAATGCTATGCATAGCGTGGGTTTTTCCCACAGAGATCTCAAACCTGCCGTAAGCCTGCTAGCGTTTCCTTGTATCGGAGCAATACTTATGCCACGATTAGAATATTCTCATCAAAAGCCAACCCCCACAGGAGTGGAGGGTCAAGCTGGCTGATTTTGGAATAAGCAAGAGAGGTGGTGAAGTCACTGAGAGCACCGACATACGAGGAACCAAGAACTTTATGGCCCCTGAGTTGCTTGTCGAGGGTAGCGACAAGCCCGAGGTTCTTTACTCTTTCGCCATAGATATGTGGTGTTTCGGTCAAACGATACATAGGGCGATGACCGGCCACAATCCTTTTGACTCGGTTTTGGCTATAGCTAAGTACTGGGAAGGAAATGCAGAGTTTCCGACAACTGCACTGCAGAGCGTCAGTGCGAGCGAGCCGATGATTAATTTCCTGCGGTCTCTCATGATGGCAGATCCTACGAAGAGATTCACTGCCAAAAGCGGATTAAGCGACACTTGGGTTTTGATGGATTTTTCACAGTCAAATTTAGTGGGAGATTCGAATCCATCATCTAAGGAATCCATGCCACAAGCAACACCAGCAGTGGGCACAGGTCTAGATCAAGACACAGCGAACGAGGCAACGGCTTCCTGGACAGATGTTCTCCCGGCTAGGACCTCAACTTCCGAAACAGAAACAAGCACACAATCACACGTGACTGATGGCGAGAATTCAGCCTCATGGACTGAGGCTCTGGGTTACTCTGCCTCAAGCTATTCAGGAATTACAGCCCAAACAAAGAAGCCTATCACAAAAGATAAGGTTTCTGATGAAACACCGTATGGCATATCATATCAGGCTCTGGGGCAAGAAATTTGGGGAAATTCTATCAAATATCCTGCTTCAGAACGTGTCGCTTGTAGACAACAATATAGGGATGTCAACGCAAAACTGGAGAGTTTAGGGGCAGAACACCCTGCCACCATTTCTAGTTTGCATGCACTAAGGCTTCTTCTATCTAACATGGGATTAAATAAGCCCGCATCCTCAGTCCTACGCGAGACATTGAAATTGGAGAAGAAGGTGCTGGGTGGGGAGGCAGCTCAAACGTTGCAGACCAAGCGGACTTTGGCCACCACGCTCGAGATACTCGAAGAATATGACGAATGCGAAGATTTATATCGCGAACTTGTTGCCATCGACAAGCAAAACGGCCGGATAAATGAGCCCGCCGCGATTCAGACCTTGCAGTCCTTGGGCCTTTTGCTGTATGAGCGAAGCAAATTTGAGGAATCATCCACCGTGTATGAACAATGTGCTGTCATTCTCAGAGAGAAGAATGGCCAAGAGGATAAACTTCTTGAAACACTTGAAAATCTAATCCGCTCATTTAACATGGCTGGAGTGCTTACAAAAGCGAACACTATTAGCAGAGAATACATATCTCGGCACAAAAATCATGTTAAAAGGGCCGATGAGAAGATCCTTGCCATAACTTACCTTCTTGCATCTAATCTCGAAAAGTTGGACAGATATTATGAGGCGGAGATTGCTTTTGGAGACGCTAGAACGATACTTAGGATGCTTCCTAACGGTAGAAATCATAGTCTCTCACCACCTATTCTGTGGAGTTTAGGAAAGGTTTTATACTCACAAAAGAAATATCTAGCATCAGAATTGGCAATGAAGGAGGCTATCCAGCTCTTGCCGAAACCAACAGGGCCAGACAGCCTTCAGTCACTCCAGGCCAGGTCATTTCTTGCCCTGGTTCTTCACAATCAGGCCAAGGATGATGAGGCAGTACTCATCAAAGAGGAGGTAGTTTGGGAGACGGCGCGTATCTTTGGTTCTAGTGCTCGGCAGACATGAACAGCGAAGCAAAGTCTGGGACGGGCCCTTGTGAAAGCCGATCGCCTTACCGAGGCTGAAACCCTCTTCAGACAAGTAACCGAGGATGTTGCTCAAGTACATGGAAAGGATGCCGAATCTACCGTATATAGTGCCAGACTTCTCGCTCATGTTCAAAGTATGCGTTTGAGGCGCAAGCGGTGAACGGTGAATTTTTTTCTCCTGGCCGAGGCTGAAGAGATATATAGAATATATGACAAATATTTTATAGACTATACGATTGGAATTCGACCATAGAACCTACTTGTGCTGGGCCATGTTAGGCTCTTCTACTTAGATCAAAATTTGTGGTTTTTTTCTTAGATGACTTGTATTTATGAGGTCACAGGTAACTACCTACTTAATCTCAGACTATTGCCAACAGGAGGATAGAGGCTTTATCTACTATAGACTACACCTAATTACAGCCCTGCTTTGACTCACAATAAAAAATCCATGCTTAAATTTAGCATGGAAGAACTATGATTGTTGGGTCTAAGGTCGGAAAATTTCCTTGAACAATTTGGGACCGAATGCACTTGGTTCATCGCCTGTCCCAACCAACACGTCCACTTGATTCCCAGTGTCGCCATGCAGCCAATTGCCATTGTCCCTGACCTTACCCTTTTCTCCAGGCTTCCATCTTGGCAAGTTACGAGTGTCAATCAACGTTTGACCTCGTGTCCAGATTCCGTTTGTTTCAACTCTGACATCGAGTGACTCCCACGACATCAGCTCAGGGTGAAGTAGAGCATAGATTGTGAGAGGGTCGTGGCATTGGGCTAAAGCCTTTCCAGAATGACTCGCGATTTTATCGAAGCTCCTTGAAAAAACATCGTTCAGAAGTCTAGCTAATGGACTGCCGCTTGCGATAAGAGGATCCGTAAACTCCTTGAGTGTCTCCAAGCTAAATGTGTGGTAGTTTGTCTGATCAAGTGGAACAAGTCCTACTGGAACTCTGCCGTATCCCTTCCTGTCGTTAGAGGGGGAGCTAAGGTTGAAAATGCGCTCCGCGGCATCCGGATCGCCGTAGATGTTGAACTCGGCCGCTGGTGTCATGTTTCCGGCGTGCCTTACAGCACCTCCCATGATAATAATCTTGGAAACACGATTGAATGTCTCGGGATCTTTAGCGAGTGCAAGAGCGAGGTTGGTACATGGGCCAAGCGCGACTATAATGATGGATTTTGGCTCGTTATCTCGAAGTTGACGTAATATCTCATCATGTGCGGGTAGTCGAGATGGGATGTAGGCTTTTGTATTTCCCTCTGGGCGGTCTTCGGAAGTGAAATCGAGTAAGAAATCATCGGCAACTAGGCCTGGGTTCTTATTCACAAGATGTGAGCAAATTGTTAACGATTTCACAATGAATGTTGTCCACTTACTCGGGAGTGAAAGCCGTTGAGGCCATCAACGCCATGATAGCCCTCCAATTCATCGTCTTCTTCAAATTCCCCATGCCCATGAGTTTTAATGATAGGCTTATCAGCACCGATGGCAATAATAGGCTTCTGAAAAGTCAGTTTTGGCAGATTTGATCGCTCTCTAGCCTCCTTCTCCTGTTGTAGTACGTTCATCAACAGGACGAGGTTCTTAGTGCATGCATTCACATCGATGTTGCCCTGTGTAGTGGCCAGGAGGAGAACTTCCAGAGCCTCTGCGTTGCTCAAGGCGAGTGAAATAGCCTATTGAGAGTTATCGTTAGGCAGGGTTGATACTTGCAATACAAATCATCGTGTTTGGCTTACAAGAACATCATCGATTCCAGGGTCTGTCACCAGGGAGACACGTTAGATAATACCACATTAGGTGTGCGTTCGGTGATGATGATTCTGCTTCTTACCCGTATCGATGATAATCTTCTGAGGGGCCATTGTTGAAGTGAGTTATTTTCAGGGTACTTTGTGGTTGCATGTACATTCTACAACCCTAAAATTCGGGGCTTTGCTGTGGCTTTATAGCCGCCTGACCTGGAATGTAAAATCTAGATTTCCGATATTCCCGAAAATAAGGGCGCAGTGACGCCTACCTTATGCCGCTAAACTGTTAGGAAATATAGACTACTGCAGGGCCGGTTTCGAGTTTATAAATACCGAGGGCGTAGCTTCACCTGGTCAATGTGCGCCCTAAATTCAGCTCCACAGTTTCAATGACTGCTTGTTCTCGCCATCAATCAACGGTTCTTACCTACTGCTCACAATATTTCCAGCTATCATAGTTTTAATTTCAGATGTATAAAATGGTTTATGTGGGCTCATTATATAGCGACTATCATCTCAATCGAAAACCTGGGGACGAATTTAGTAAAGATTGAAAGCTAGTCTCTAACCGAATTCCCTAATTTTTTATTTTTTTTCACAGGCCGGTTTTATCCTGTAGAACAGCTGGGGCTTAAGGAGTACGCAGAAATAATGTTGCTCGGAGGACATGCAGATGGCTCCGACTCAAAGAGGTCCAGATCAAAATAAGAAGGCCAATCTGCAAAATGCATGTCCATTTCTCCTTCAGTCTCTTGGCTCTGTCCTCCACTACTCGTTGTTATTGTTGCAGATCGACGGTCGTCGATTTGCCAGTTGACACCGATAGGATCGTTAATGGCCCCATGGAATTGAGAACTACTTTTGAACCCATGGGATTCGAGGGGCACATATGGAAGTCCATCAACACGGTTCCCTTGGTAAATTGTTAATTGATCGGCACAGTTGGCACTTGCAAAATAGTCATTGAAGTCAAATTCGGGGCTGAGAGTTGTTGTTAGATTAGATATGGCGATATCAACACTTGGAGTGACACACCTCTCAATTATAGCAGCATTTATAACCTCCCCAGCCATGGCATTACCTGCATTTGAAGGCTTTTTCAATGATCTTGATTCAGGCAATATAGCATGTTCGAGAAGGCTGGAAACCTCTGGCTCAAAACCCCAGTCGCCAACCCAAGATGACATGAGGGCCCCCTGGCGAAAATGATTTGCAATATGAGAGACTCGATCCTTCCAGTTATCAAAAGTCTTGGTGCAGAATCCGCATCGGGAGCTTATTTCACTCTTTTCATTCTTCCATGCTTCCATTGATGAACCAAACAGGCATCCATCATGTACAAGGCGTAAATGTTGGCACAGATGGTCTTTTCTGCTGAAGGTCCTTTCCTGAACCGGGCGCGCGACACATTGTGTAAACCCATGCGCTTGAACATGCCCAGAATCAGGATCATTATGTCCGCAGAAAACACAAGTAACTTCGTTTGTGGTTACGTTCACATGAACGCTACCTTTGGAACAACAAGTCCAGGTTTCAAGTGGAAGGTGCCGAGACTTCTCATGTCTCTCCCAATCATGCTTCTTCTTGAAACTTGCCGTGCAGAATGTGCATTGGAATATCCTTCCATCATTGCGATCGATGCTGGAAATACCAGTGCCTGGTTTGGAACTTGGGCGACGGTGTCGACGCTTCAACACACTTGTTCTCTGAGAGTCCAATGGGTCTTTCCATTCGTCAGAGCAAACAGACTTGGCATTTGCAGCGTAAGATCTGACCTCCATGCTGCTTGCGTTGGATAAACATTCGTGAAAATAAAGCCAATCGGCACTACGCGGCCGATGCCTTGTTGATCGAGCTTCTGGCCGAACATTTGACTGGCTGTTGCTAATGGCCTTCAAAATTTCCGATGGAGGAGCGAATTCGGTGTCAGGTCCCGAGTATAGCCATCGTTCGAATGGATGTAGATGCCGGAGGTTGGGGGGGAATTGTGACGAAGGATCGACAGAGGAAGACTGCTGTTCCATTGGACTTGGTTGCACTTTGCCTCTTTTCCTCGCGTTTGCTAACCAGCTTATTATCTGGCTTCTCTTGAGACCTGTCCTTGCCTTGAGCTCATCTTGATCTTTTTGCGTCGCATATGGGAATTTGCGATTGGCTAGCAACCACTCTTCAAGAATAGATACGGATGATTGGACAAATCGATTCCGGTGCTTTCTCTGACGAAGGCGTGTCTCTTTGCTAGCTTCTAAAAGTGAACCTAATTCTGGGAGAGTACTTTTGCAGGTCCAGTCGTCCACATCTAGCATCGATCTAGGAGGGGAAAACGAGGGTCGATTCATCTCGGTCAAAGAAAGAGGTTTTCCCCTGCAGCAAGGGCTTTGAGTAAAGGTAGCGAGATTGAGAAAAGACGTTGAGTGATCGCCCAGCCCACAACAGCCTGGTGTCAACTCAATCCCCTTCACTTTTTGTTTTGGTAACGTAAATGGGTCAACGTTGAGGAAGATCCATTACGATTGAAGCTAAAGGCATCCAAAATCCACGTGACTTCTGACCCTCGGCGCCCTTCGACCCCGGCGAAACTGGAGTGCTTTTGCTCTCTGAAACCATCCAATCGCGTAGTCCAAGTATCAACGTGTTGGGATCGAAATTCGACGCGAACATACAATGGTAAAAATCCACAATGCAAAGGCACCGCTCCTATAGCCAGAAATCGATGTAAGGAAGGCTGTTCATATCACCCACGACCTAGAATTGGTGAATTGAGAATGTCGTCCTTTAACTAACTCTATATAGTTCTAAACCCTCATAGTAGTTCATCTTGCGAAAATGCTCAGTCACTAGCGGTATGAATTGCTAGGTACATAAAAGTACGCAGAGAGAAATGTTCGATTTCTCACAGAGACGGCTGGTCTGTTCGCAGAGCCGTGAGAGCTTGGTTCGCTCCCCTCTTCCCACTTCGCAGGGCGCCCTCCATATATCCGCGCCACTCATCTGTGAATTCGGTGCCAACAAAGATAAGTCCGCCGCTCTTTTGGTTGACCAGTACACCATCTTCATCCTTACCAATCACACCAGGCGCTGTAGCTGCGAAGGGGCAGCCCCATCCGGCCCACTGGTCATCCTGCCACTCAGAAGTTATGGATTGTATGAACTCAGCCTTCACAGCCTCGTAGCCTACTCCGAACAGAGAGCCCAGTTGCCTCAGGGCCGCTTCGTCACGGGCCTGCTGGTCGAGAGCCAGCCACTTCCGTCCGGGAATAGAGACAACGAAGCAAGTCAATGCGTAGTTGTCTTGCACATCGACGGATGTGTCGCGACAGTGGTTGATTGGGCCACGGAAGCTCTGGGCCAACCCGCAAGCACCCACGCGCCTCCACCATGGTGTCTTGAAAAGAGCGAGATACTTAACGTAGGTGCCATATCGTGCGTGGGATACGACCACACGCTTAGAAAGGGGCAGAGGAGGTTGGAACTCGATGTTCTTATAAGACGGGCTGGGTGCGCTCAGAATGACCTTGCGTGACTTGAAGAGCTGCCCGGATGCAGTAGTAACCCTGTATAGTCTAGGAGATTCTTGGATGATGGATTTGACCGGAGTCTTCAGCTTGAGGGCCCCCGCTGGAAGGAGTCCTGCCATACCGTTCGAGATGGACTGAGTTCCTTCCTTCAGGCGTAGGAATTGGGCACCATGCTTGCCATCGTATCGCAGGTTAACAACACCCAAGGCGCCGCGAGCGATCTCGAGCCATTGGAGGGCAGACACCTCGTTGGGATCCTGGCCCAGAGTTCCTCGACACCAGACGCGTGTTGTCAGGAGGGCACGCTCTCCGGCTCCCTCATTCCGCAGCCATTGATCAAAGGTGATCTCATCAAGTTGGGCTCGCTTGGGTTGCTTGAAGTTTTCGGGATTGAGCGATGCCTGCTCAACCTTGTTGCGGATGTCAACAATGTTATCGAGATCAGTTTGGGGGAACTGATTTGATTGGTTAGCTTGCACTTGAAAGAGCCAATTTCGGTGCACGCACATTAGGAAGCCCGTTGAAGGGGAATAGGTGGCAGTTTCCGTTCTCATCCTCGCTCGCCACTGAACCCTGCGTATTCTGGAAAACAGGCGTGAGATTGAACTTCTTTGCCCAGGCCCAGACGTGAGATTGGTTGGTATCGTTGAGCCATGCGGCGCCTAACTCTTGCCTACCCTTACCGTCCGGTCGGTCCATAGAGTTGGTCTTTCCACCAACGCGATCGCGAGCTTCCAGAACGACAAATGATCGGCCAGAGTCCTGGATGTCGAGGGCAGCCTGAAGGCCGCTCAGGCCCGCGCCGATGACAATGACATCAAGAATATCAGTCATTTTCTAAATTTGTTGGTGGATTAAAGGGTGTTAGTTGGAGGATACTGAAGCCACAGGTACGTTCCGCGGCTTAAATATTAACGTCCTCGCGCGAGCACCACAATCATACGCCGTTTCCGCGGCCCAGGTCACCCCTACATCATTCTCCGACAATAGGACCCTACCTAGTTGTCACCTATGTGGTGGCCGTCCTTCCGGTCTGTCTGTCTGGAGCTAACTCCACATCAACTAATACCCTTCTAGCAGGCCGTGTCCATTATCCATATTAGGAATAGAGAATGTCACTATTTTCGTTATTAGATCCTATCAGATCGAACCGACGTTGATTTGAGATCAGAAGGCCGCAAGAGTTAATGCCCCGTATCTGTATCGGGCCCAGCTTGTGTTGTATTACAGCAGGGAATTTCTTGTTGGGTTGATGATGAAACCTGCAATTATGACTGCGCAATCTATCTAGGCAGCTATGCTATGTGTGGCAACCCCCAGCTTCTCATGGCGCTCAATATCCGAGCAGGAAAATCATGGGCATGCAGAGTTGCATGTGGTACAGCTTGGGTGCTTGGTACTTCAAACCATTGTATTCTAGGATTCTGGATAGGTAGCAGATCCCTGAGAATCTTGTCTCCCACGTCTCCCACATTAGACTGTGACCAAGAGCACAGGCTAGTCCATGATAGGATACTGTAGCCCATCACCTTATCTAGTTGACATGTAGTCATGTAAGCTAGCATTAGCATCTTCGGAAATCGTCCATGTAGTCCGAAGATCATACTTGACTCGACGATCCTTCCGGGCCGGTCATACGTCAAAACGGTCTCCGGCTTCATCTGCCAATATAAAACCTTGCTGGGCCGCCCACGACACGGCCTTCAATCCGGGGCCTACCCGAGATTCTAGACCTGATGTGGTTCCATACCGACCGCTCGTGCTTATGAAAATCCCCACCATGGTGAGTTCTATCAACTACAAGGTTGAGCATCGCGCTCCGGTATACCTCATGCCCCGGCTTGTTGGAAGGTTGCTAGTATAATTCAAGTCTAGGATGCATGGCTTGCCACTGAAAAACAAAGAGTCCGATGAGAGCCGGTCTACATATCAAGCCTGTCAAACACATGACCTTGAATATGACTACAAGACACCCTTGAGATGGAAAATAGCGCCGATAACGCCTCCAAGCCCTGTAAAACACCAAAGAGTCTATGACTAAAAAAAAGCGTTGGGAGCCGTAATGAGATGGCTTGCGGTGGCACGAACTCTCCAGTTTTTGATGGGCTACCGGCAACTCTCCCTAAGCTCTTCGGGTCAACATATTTGAGCCACTCCGGGCCGAGCTCGCTCTCATAGACAATCTTCGGCTTGGTGTCTTCAAGTTTCTCTACTCCATCACCCTCGCCGCATCTCCACGCAATACCTGTACCGCAAAGTACTCCCTCGCCTCTAGAGCATTTCTATATAGTGATGTTCGTAATCGGCAGGGTATAACTATAGCTCCCAAAAGTAGGTGAAAGAGCCCCTCACAGCACTATAAGATCTAACTACTAGCGGCGAAGATTTAGGAAAGCTTCAGGCTATGTTTGGATATCGTTCTATGGATAATAGATGGGATGTGCTAATTAAGGACCCTAACGTAATTCATCTCAACTGAACCCCATCACACACGTTCGGTGTTGTTTTATGGTTCCGTTGCTAGATTTTTCTCATGCCACACCGGGCTAAAACGACCTCACCAACCAAGTGACTAAAGAAATGAAACGCCAAAGCGATGACCAATCTCGAAAAGAGAAGTATTTGCAATGACCAGAATATCAAGAGGAAAAAATGATAATATTTGATGATATGCAGTGTATCGTATGGTTAATTATTTACTGTTAGCTGAACAAGATTAAAATACCCATCACATGCCCCAAACAGTAGCAGGACTACACCTTGGAATATCGGGTTTGATGTCACCTGATTGCGCACCACCCCGCTGGCAGTTCAAGAGGATGTGTGAATATGCTTGATTCGGCAAGAGACCATTGGCTGAGTTTGCTCTCCACCAATTGCCAGCCGTCAAGTGTCCAATCTCTCAAAAGTACCTGATAAGGTGGACTCTACAAGGAAGCTGACACAGCCGCATTCCCACATTGCAACTAACATAATGTACGGCACCTCAATACTTTCTCTCTGCGCTTTGAACCATAAACACCTTGACGAGACATCACTCATAACACAATGAAACAAACTGCAGAAGACGAGGATCTGTACAAGCTAGTATCCGGATTCTACGGGCCTGGGTTTATAGGTTGCTGGTACTTCTTGGTTACATCCGTATTCATCTCGTGGGTTTTGGATCCTCGATATCGCTTCTGCATAACGTACGACCTCATCGCTGCAGTCGCTTATCCAACCGTTGCCGCTGGGCATCTGCTCATCCAAATAGTCAATTTCCCGAAATCTGGCGTCCAGTACATGGTTGTAAATCTGGCCAGTTCTATTATGCTGGCGCATGGCGGCCCTGGCCCGGTCATACTGGGAGAGGAGAGCTCAGGACACATATATCTGGCTGATCTATCAAGCCCCGAAAGGACTGAGCTCTATCCTCGAGTCGCCTCAATCAATGCATCACTACGTGTGGTAGATAATTTCACCTACCTTGCCCTGATGGCTCTTATCTTCTCTTTGTCGGGGAAGAATTACGCCAAAGCTCAGTTGCGACACAGACGCAGTATACTATTGGTGGTCGGTGGGAGTCTGATCTTGAGCTGGGCCGCAGAACTAGTTCTGATTATCAAGATTTGTACCTCGGCAACTCACGGAAGATCAGATCTATTATTGCTTTCTTTATACATGCGTTTGGTATTGTTGCTCTGGGCTTCCTACTGGATTACGATCCTGTTTTATACTATATGGATCATCAGAGCGGCCACTGCGAACATTCTCTTTCTCTACCGCCATCCTGACCCATTACAGACGATTCACCAGCACTGGGAAAACTGGACAGGAAGCACGCAGGTAATACGTGACGGAGACAACCCCACGGGGATCCTAAACGCTTTGAAGATTTTCCTAAAACTAGCATTGGTTTTCCTCGCCATCCTTGCGGGATTGGTCCTCTATAGCGTTATCCTCTACATTGTCTTTCCAAGACTGATTTTATTCCCCCCAGCGGGTTCAACCTTGATGGATCTAGATCAGGCGGTAGCCATGGCAGGAGGGCTATTCAACCTCGGGTTCACTTTGCACGAGGTTTTTGGGCGGATCTGGGGGGTAGTGATCAAATTACCGTGGAACCGGCAGACCCTTGGAGGGTCTGAAGGGCGTCTCCCTACAGTTCGCCCACGTGCTTTATAACTTCTCGTGCCATTCGAGATACTTTTCTAAGACCTTTCTCTCGTGTACGGTTTTCTATCGTGAAAAGCCATAGCCGAACGTTTATCTCTATCGCAATTCTAGCCATTGTAGTGCTTCGACACATTCAACGACATGGGGTAGCTTGATCGAGATCAAATATCATTCTTCATTCTTTCAAAACACCCTTTCTGTATAATGGAAATGATTTATTGATAGCATGGCGTTGCTTCTTACTCATACAGCCATCGCCTACTATGAGAAGAAGTGGGCGTCAGAAAAACAGGGACTGCAAAGCTGTTTCCATCTCAACTTTCTAACAGGCCATGATATTGATTGAGAATAGTCTCTAATAATAATAATTTTTTGTGTAACTATTAGGCAGCATTGTGCATTACTACACAATAGGAAGTATTGTTATGTAATTGACTGCCACAATAATTCTGCCGAGGTGACTTTGCAATCCCCCCCCTTTTTTTTTGGCAGCCACTTGGAGGACTCAAATTTGTATTCGCAATTCCCCTAGTTATATGGAAATATCTCAATCCTTAGTAGTCAAACTTTTGGTCAATGATACCTTCGCTCAGAGCCCAAAGGCGCTCAGCGTCAATAGCATCCCTTCCCCAGCAGTGAACAGTTTTATCACTTTGGGGCTTGCTTTCGGCAACATATGCTCCATTGTACTCTAAAAAAGAAGCTGTCAGCACGTTGTTATCAAGGCAGTGAAGTCGATCAGCCGAGTGGGAGACAAACCAGGTGCATCCAGGCTAGGATGAAAAGCAGCAAACACGTGGGTTGCAACCGCTTGAGACGGCGTCTTGTACTGGACGTTGTGGCCCCAGTGTGAGGCATGGCCTTGGGTTCGATCGATAGGGCCTATTACGTGTTAGTCGCATTCAGCTCACGAAATTCTCATAGATCCTAGTCCCGAAGGTCATCTTACCAATCTCCATGAAATCCTCCATCGTGAGATCCTTGCTGAGCGGCGTCTGGGAGATGCCCGGGTGCACGCTCACAGAGGTCACACCCCGGCTTCCCAGTTTCTGGGCCAGCGAACGAGAGAAGAGCATGTTGGCTGTCTTGGACTGGCCATAGGCAGCCCAGCGATTATAGGTTTTACCGTCCTGTTCTCCAGTTAGTTCTGTGCACTTGACCTCCAATCTGCTAAAGAGCCCTTACATCAAAGTTCCAATCTTCAAAGCGGATCGGGCTCAGTCGGTATCCATTGCTAGAAATATTGACTATCCTCAGCTTGCCTGACGAGCTCGCACCCAGCTGCTTGGATAAGAGGAGGTTGGTAAAGAGAAATGGACCAATGTGGTTGGTGCCAAATTGGCTCTCGATGCCGTCGACCGTCTTCGAGTGTGCCGGGCCCATGATTCCTGCGTTATTGACAATGACATCAATCTTCTCGTTGAGCGAATTGATCTCATCGGCGGCCGCGCGAACCTGCTTGAGAGACGTCAAGTCCAGCTTGATGGAACGGACGCGAACCTTGGGGGAGAGCTCGGAGATCTCCTTGGCGGTGATTTCAGCTTTGCTGAGGTCGCGGGTGGCAAGTAGGATTGAAGCCGGCTCATGCTTTGCAATGACCTTGGCAAAGTTGGCACCGAGACCACCAGGGCTCGCTCCGGTGATGAGAACGGTCTTGTTCTTGATTTGCGCTTGGCAGTCGGCCGCGACCTGCTCGCCCGTCGTCTCAGGAGTGTACTGGCTCATTTTGGGTGATATGGAAAGATTGAAGATGATAGAAGTATTCGAAGATCACTTTCTGAGAAAGTGAATATTCGGACAAGTAATGCGGAATGAAGTGCCAAGAAGAAGGTGGTTGATGAAAGCTCGTGGCTATTTAACTGATGCCTTTGAAGAGACGGGATATTGGGACTCGGGCCGCGACTGGAGATAAGATATTTTACGCCCGTCCGAAACTCAAATCCTTCGAGATCTTCTCCAGATCTCCGGAATTAAAATATAATTATAAACGGACATATCCCTTTCCAGATCGCAGCAGCTGCTATTCATATTCGCCTCGAGGCACCTCCGGAACGGGAGCAGGAACCGACCAGGATGATCAAGTAAGCTTTACCGTAATCAGTCTAGAGCGGCTGAAGATCTCTCTATTTGGTCTAACACCGGATTTTCCAGTCGCCCGACGGAAATTCCGTCTCCTGACCCAGAACAACTCAGCAACACAGCGCCATCGCCCTCCGTCGGGACCGCCACATCGATCAATAGGGGAGCCTGTGTGCATGAAAGCCTGATGTCTTCCATCCAGAAACCGGGTGGCGTCAAGCGGCGTGCATGTGTCAATTGCACCGTGGGAAAAGCCAAGTGCTCGCCGCACTCAAATGACATCTGCGAGAGATGCCATCGGCTTGGCAAAGAGTGTATCTATCTGAACGTAGCAGACAAGAGAAAAAGCCCTGGGAGCAATTCGTAAGTTCTCATTTCTCCAGATCGGTCTTCTGTTATCTGACTCGGGGACAAGACGCGTGAAGCTTCTTGAGAAGCGGGTCGAAGGCTTGGTGTCACTTCTCACAAACCCATCACAGCAATCCACTGCATCCCCTGATCCGTTGACCCAAACATCTGGTCTAGAACCCCAACCTCAGCAGTCATCCTTGGCCCTCCGAGACCCCCAGTCACAGCCTTATAGTACCCCTTCTGTTTCAAGCGTTGGTGTCGCATCCCTTGCCCAGCTCTCTCCCCCGACGTCTGATGCTGGTAGTGCGTTGGGAACCAGAGCACCCGATGTTGTGGATAGAGGTCTCATGAGTGCCGAAGTAGCACACGAAGTCCTCCAAACCTTCCGAAACAAGGCCATCAGCCATTTCCCATTCGTTGTTCTTCCTCATCATGCCAATCTCCACTCCGTCCGAAGAGATAGCCCCTTTCTGTTCCTCTGCATAATGGCCACCATGATGGTCAAGGATTGCACGCTGCAGCGGCAGCTGGGAGAGGAGATAAGAACCCAGGCTTATCAGAGGATCATGATGGGCCGAGAGAAGAGTATGGACTTGCTGCAGGGGCTCTTGGTCCATGTCGCCTGGTACCAGTATCAGCTGCAGCCACAGAAACAGCAAATGTTGCTAATGACCCAGCTCTGCGTCAATCTCGTTTACGAGCTTGGGATCGAGAAATGTCCTCGAGCGAGAAATCAAAATGCGACTGCCGGTATTTTCAGCCCTTCAGACAATCAAGCCACCCTCGACACCATCGAGGTTCGAGCATTATTAGGCACATACTACTTGGCTGCAACGTGCGTCTCATCCATGTCGACCCTGCGAGAATTTGTGCTAATAAGCATACTAGATTTACCACGAAGCTTAAAAAAAGAAGTCTAATGCCACATACCAAGTATATGAAACAAGCCAGCCGGTGGTTATCTGAACGGAGGGAGTATCCCACCGATGAGCTCATCCCACACTTGGTAGATATACAGGAGCTTTCAAGACGGATACACGACACTTTTTCTTTTGACAATCCAGGGAACATTGATTCGGTGGCAGGCTCTGTCACTGAGTCGATGACCAGATGTTATCTTGCAGAAATTGACGCCTTCCAGTTTTCAATCCCTCAAGTCTTAATGCAAAATGGTAAAGTTCTTCGCATCTCCTTTAGACCGTTTCGTGGGCTCACAAGCCAACAGCCACATTAGCCCTAGAGTTCCCCGCCATACGTGCGATGATCCAAGAAAGCGCGCTGTTTGATGAACTCTGGTGTGGTTCTGATGCCTCTACAATTAGGCCAGCTTCTGTAATCCCGGCAGCTCGGACCAATCTGACCTGGGACTCAATGCAGAGCTATAAGATGCTCATCAAGGGCCTCGTGGAATACCCCAATGAAGACGCCTTCTACCTCACATTCTCCACCTTCTCGAAGCTGTGCTCTGTTCTCTCATGGCTTGCCAAGCTTGTGAATATTGCGCTTGGTCCTCCCAAGAGCAGCGCAGATGTCCCCAGCGATTCGTCAATGGCACAACCTGCTTCCCACCCCTGGGCAGTCATGGTCGCGGGGGACGTGGAGCTGCGGAATCTAGTCAGGCAGGCCCAACACAAGCTCAACTGTATGTCAGCTGATATCTCGAGCGAATCGGCCGAGCCGGATTCCATGACGACGTTTTCGATCCTCGTCGGGAGCGCACTTTCAGTTTACGATAAGCAGCTGCAGGAATATCAGAGGTCTTCACAGCAACAAGCGCCCGCGGAACCTCTGCTCAACCAGACCATACCAGCCGGAGCCGAGGTTGGCGAATTTCCTGAACTTTGTCCAGTGCTGCCTCCTGATGCTGCAACCTTGGACTTCTTCGGGAACCTGATGCCCCAGTTCTGGGACGACAATGCTGGCTTTCAGCTTGATGCGTTCCAGGACATGATCTGGGATAGATTCCTCGACGATGCGATACTACTCCCTTGAAGTCCTAGTCCCTATATCAACGTTTGCCTCAGTTGGTTGGTATTATGAAGGAGGCAGACAAGTGGGGGAAACAGGGACTGCAGAGTCACCTCGACAGAATTATTGTGGCAGTCAATCACATCACAATGCTTCCTATTGTGTAATAGTAAGCATATAATGTTGCCTCACAATCGCTCAATAATTAATTATTGTTGTTGTTATTAACTATTATCTATCAATATCGTGGCCTGCATTGGAAACTTGGGATTAAAACACCTTTGCAGTCCCTATTATTCCAACATCCACTTGGGAGGATATACCGACCGCTTTCACCAACAAGCGCAAGAAATAGCACACAGGTTTCGGTCCCCTTTTTTCATGATGGTGCTATTATAGTTCTATGCAAGATCAAAATTCTCGTCACCGTTGCGAGCCACGTGGATTTGAACTCCCTTAGAAACAGTTGTATGGCCAAGTAATCGCCTCTTCGGGAAATATGCATATTCGCAGATATATTTCGCTCGAAGTCCAATCTACCTGGTCTAGGTATGATGGGGAAGAGAGACAGATGGGCTGCCTCAACGGCAAAGACTGCCGTCGCCGTCGTCATCTTGTCTGGCCCCGACCAAAGCATGTCCCCGCGTGCTCAGAGGTCAAAGCCAGCAAGGACCCTAGACCCTAATCAATTTCACATTTGTCTCTGGTTGGCCAGCAAAGCCTGAGAGTGCCTCGGTGGCGGCACTACGGCTGCGGCTGGACACTAGGGTGGTCAATATTTCAGCTTAGTTCCATCTGGTGACTGCGGGTTGTCTCGCTAGTTCAGCTGCTGTTCATGCGACCCGTTCTGAATAATGAAGGGGGGACTCACGACTGAGGAGAGTAGAGGATGGCCTATCCATGTTGATAGTATTGTATAATGCGCGCTGGGAGAACGAGAGTATATACAATGCGAGAACTGCCTTCTAATCCAAGGCCGTGAGAAGTGCCAGGATGAAGAACAATACACCTTCATGATTCCTGGAAATAACCTACCGAGTACTGCCTGATTTTGACTGCTCAACATGATTACACAGGGGCAAGCCACTACCCCAGGCCAATCGAGACTAACACCTACCCGAGCACACCCTAATGAAGAGGTTGCAATAAATTACAAAAGAAGCAGCCTCCCCAAAGGTCGCCGTGATCGGACGCTCCCACCTTGTCCCCATTCAATTCTGCACAAAAAGGTCGACAGTCGTATACGCTTCCTCGGTCTGAACGTTGAGAGAATGCTTAGAATGAACCATGTCCTTGGTGGACTGGTCCTCGCCTTCATTTCCAGCGCCAATTGCCAATCTCTTGGCCCTGAGATCACGCAAGCCCCTGCCAAAGGAGCGATATACGAACGGCAAGCAGCGTCCCCGTCAAACTTTCTAGGATACACTTTGGCAGGTTCCACATGTGAGTATACCTGACCGATGAGCACGTTGAAAGGTCAGTGCCAATTGATCCGTTACAGATAGAGCTGCAACATGTAATTCAGGAGACTATTACACGACATCGAGTCGCTGGGCTGGCTGCGTTGATGGAGTACGAAGCTTAGCTATAGGCTGCACCATGAGCTCTGTGGTGATCTACGATGCGACGACGGCAACATGGTACGTGAGCGTGTCCTAAGTCCTTGGCTGGGGCATAAGCGACTAACGTACATCTCCAGCCCTTCAAGTATCCCCGTCTGCGGCACCTACATGGCTTACGACAGCCCGGACAAGACGACCGGCCAGACTGTGATCCGGTGCTCCGACGGGAAAGCAGCAGCGACATTCTACAGAGATACCTCGACGTCGAGCAAGGCAGCATCAACCAGCTCATCATCCACCACGTCGTCGGCTTCCAGCTCCCTCACAACGCTCATCCGGACGGCGACAGTCACCGTAACCGACACCAGTTCATCACCAGAGCAGCCGAGCACAACTTCACCCTCCGCCGTCGCTGCCACCACCACCCCCGGGCACGAGGATGCGAACGGGAGCCAGAACCTGGCCTGGATCGCCGGCCCGATCGTCGGCGGCATCGCTGGGATCGGCATCATCGCGCTCCTCGTCTGGATCGTCCTACTCCTCCGGAAGCGAAAACAGGCCGAGCGGCAAGGCGCATCGGCGGTGATCGACGGCTCGTACGCGCCAGAGAAGGCCTCCCCCTCGACCGGCACGGCTTCGTTCTACGTCCCAGGGCAGCAGCGGGTAGTGTCGGCGGAACTCGCTTCGAATCAGGTACCGCAGCGACCCGTCGAGCTGCAGGGCGTTGAATCGGGGCAGTATCCAGGTCGGAGACAAGGGGCGGAGCTGCAATAGCGATGGGGGATCAGTTCAGCATGTAATGATGACATATACGACTGTAATTCTTAATAGTTAATAATTAATTAAACATTAATTCCACAATAACGTAACTTGGCAGAAGATGGTTGAGGACATCCTGCAATAATGATGCAAAGGCGCTTTGGCTGGTGGGCATTCTTTGCAGCTCAAAAGAATGTCGTCCCCCTCACCATTGCTCTCGAACTCGTGATCTTCAAGCGGGTGTTTAACCGTTTCTGGACGGGCCCTGGTCCCTCTGATGGTCCGTGTTGCTTTGTAACCGTGTCCAATTCTTCCAGTCTTTAGATGAACATGTTGGCAAGCAAGCCTGAGGCCTCCCAAACTTCAGACTTGTCTGGAGCTTAGCTTCCATTCCACAAGGCTCACTTGCAAACATCCCATGGGGAAAACGTGAACAGGATTGCATTCGCCTTATCGCGATATTAATAATATTATGAAAAGACAATAAGATGATCCAACTTATCAGTGATCGCTGGGTATGTGGCTAATGTGTCAATGCCAAATGCGTCCATGATGAAAGCTCCAAATAATCAAAAAAAGAACAAAAAGAATCCTCGCACTGCACGCGGGATGCCACTCCCCTCCTAGATTACGCCGTATCTGTAATTAACAAAACCTGCCTGTCGGTCGCTAATATCTGGCCCGAAAACGATTGAAGCTATACAAGTGGGTGAGCCAATCCCGATATGTCCCAAAATACTGCTAAAAATCCGAGGGTATCTCCTCCTCAGCTCTCCCGCGAAGCTGGTAATACAAAGTAAATGTCCATAAAAGTAGTAGTAGGTATCGCAATGCAATGCCGTGAACGCCGCTAGTGAAAGGTGCATATATATATGTAGTGTTCGTATCAATATAAGCCCTGCTCCATTTGAAAAAGGAGGGCAGTAGCCAGTTGAAGCTTAAGCTGGATGCTAGAGTTCCGGCTTGACTGTGCTCTGGCTTTGAGCATCTGTTTCGACTTCTTCAAGTCCCTCATCGAGAGCTCCCTGGTCGACGGTTTGGGCATTTACCGTAGCCGGTGCCCCTTTGCGCTGTTTTGAAACCCAGTATTCCTGGAATCCAGGGATGGCACCGGCCTGATTGATTCCAGGCGATCGACTGGATACTTTCTTTTCCTTGATAGTTAGCGTGGGGCTGGGAACGTCCAGAGTCCTCCCATTGCTGGATCCGCCGCCTCCCCATGGTCTCCAGCCAGTCAACTTGTTGATTCCGGCACTTAAAATCCCCGGGGATACCGGAGATGAGCCGGGCGTGTTGTTCATGACAGGGCCAGATACTGCTCGAGGGGATTGGAATCCAGTGAAGTGGTTTCGCAGCGCGGCGTCGCTTCGTTTTACTGACGCTCGGGAAAGAGTAGGCTGCGCGATAACGCCAGTCACCACAGCCTCCAGGCCGCCGAGAGGACGAAGAGTCATCTGGCTTGGTCGTGACTTCAGGGTGTGAACATCAAGCCCGCCAGTCAAAGACATGATGGACTCGTGGGAGTGTGCTCTATAGAGCCTTGGGTGTGGTAGAGCATCGTCCCGAGAGATCTCGGAGACTTCTGTTGTGGAGTCGTCGGTCGAGGTGGTGTTTCCGACTAATCCAGGCGCAAGATCGTCATGGTTGACATCTTCATCTACCTCTTGGATGACATTCTCGAGATAGTTGAGCTGGCCTGGACCAATTGCGTCGCCTCCGATGTCAAGTTGGGGGATTGTCTGAAAGCTCTGGAACGAGGCTACAGACGCTCGTTTATGATGTGACGCCCGCCAGGTAGGTGACATGGGGTCAAAGCTTGTTGTGGGTGACGCTGGCGAGTTGAAATCGGCAATGCCGCCATCAAACAAGGAGCTCACGCGGTTGGAACGGGGAGAACTAGGCATCGAAGCCGTAGAGATCTCTGGTGCCGCAGCTACATTGTTCGTCCAGCCAGCCTTTTCGGCTTGTGGTGTTGAAGCACGCTCTCTCTCGAGGTAGGCAAGAATAGCAGGCGTGGTTGGAGACGATAAACCCGCAGGACCCGAGCATGTTGATGCAGCGGCTGAAGAAGGGATTGGTGGAGAGAATATCCCGGCGCCCAGACTTGATCGCTTCTTTTTGTTTTTTTGTTTAGGTGTAACATGATAATGGTGGTGGATATGATATTCCTGGGAAAGGCGCCGCGACTCTTTAGGCTCCAGCTCTGCCATGAGATTCGCCATGTTCCTGGGCCTGTCTTCAGATATTGGTTGGTGGTAGGTTAGTTGGTCGCGCAATGACTGGATCTCGTCGTTTGAGTTCATCAGCATCTCTCTCAGTTCGGCAATACCGAGCTGTAGGTTCGCATTGTCCTGAAGAAGGTCACGCACGAAATGGCCGACGACCTTACCGCCTTCCTTTTGGCTGGCCAAAGACTTTGTCGCAGCCGCCGCGCCCTTGAGGCGGCCGGCAGCAGTGTCAAGCTGCTTCTCGACCTCACGCTGGCGCTCCATCCGACCAATGACTTGAACATGGCGCTCTCGCTCCTGCTCTGCTTCCTTTTCCATGCGCTCCAACTGGTCCTGCATGTCGACGATTCCCCGCTGGGCTTCTTTGAATCTCTGAGAGTGTGTGCGAGCATCCTCCCTAGTTGTGCGAAGCTCTGCATAGAGCTGCTCCTGCTCCTCCTCCAAGGCCATCAAGTGCCGCTCGGCATCTTCAGCCCGGATAGCAGCGCTTTCTAACCGGCGCACGGCCTGTTGTGAAGAGAGAAGGCTGGCCTCGAGGCTCTTGATCTTCGTATCCGACTCGGAGATGGTGTTGTTGAGAAGCTCGAGCTGGTCAAGGAGCTGGCGGTTTTCGTCGATCTTGTTGGCATTCTCGGCCTCTAGCTCCAACTTGTCCATTTCCAGACGTTCAATGCGGGTGGTCAGTTCAAGGCGGTCGCGCTCGGCATCGGCCATGTAGGCTTCATGCCTTGCCAACAGGGCCTGCAAAGAAAATATTAGCGGTGATTCCTGAACTGTTTCCGCCATGATGCTGCTCGGAATATCGGGTTGACGAAGAGAAGGGATTCAGTGCTTGAAATATTGACATAGTCGAGCGGACGCAAGGAAATAGAAAGAAGAACGCAAAAAGGAAGGACCCTGGGGCGAACCTCGCATTTCAAAAACCAGCACCCAGCCATCGGGCTGGTATGCAACCGAAATGAAGGCGGAAGCATTGAGTCAAGAGGCTTTGAGTTGGACGCGAGAGACACAAGACGAACGAAGCGAGGTGCTGGAATGCGGCTGGAAATCACGAGCTGGAGGCACTACATACCTTGCCGAGCTGAGCAGCTGTCTGCACATCTTTCTCCACGGTGTCGAGGACGGAGGTGTTCTTCTTGAGTACTGCGCAGTCTGGTCGGCCGCAGCAGCAGTGTACGGTAGAGTCGGCGGGATCATGGCGGTGGCTCAGATCGAGAGCCAGGCCGTCCATGATGATTCGGTTCGCGGCGGAGTGGGCAGCGGGCATTTGAGGCAGAATCCGCCCAGGAAAGTAGTCGCGTGACGGCCTCAGCAGTCGCCAAGGTATGTCTCGGTGCAAGTCAATGCTGTCGGGCCCGCCAACATGGTCGGGATTGTTTCGGACGTCCAGGAGCACGGTGATTATTTCGTCGTGGCCCAAGGGGGGGTTTGTGGGATCTGGGGACAAGGGTCGGTTCAGTTGATGCTGGCCGTCGTCGGGAATTCGAGAGATGTTTCAGAAGCCAGTCGCGGAATGGAGGCCTCGTGCGGATAATGAGGAGGCGAGCGTTAGGTCGGGAAGGGTTCGGGCACAAAAGGTTAAACTAAAGGGAATGAGACAGGAAAGGCAAATGACGATGATGCACGTTAATGGCGGAAGAGCGATTGCGCCGGTGTTTGGAACTTGGCTGCGGCACCGCGTTTCCCCTGTCAAAATCCACTAATTGTCGTGGTGTTTCTGTGCCTGGGCTAACGTGGGTGTGTAGGGTAGGTGGTTCGGCTTGGTGACGGAGAGGAGAAAGGAGATTCAGAAATAGCACCACAATGGGCTGAATCAAAGAAACATGTCAGTGACAAGAATAACGGGCACAAGGCACAAAGGATCCAAGGTTTTTCATCCGTCGGAACTAACCTCGGCATCAGTCCGTTGCAAGGACTGGCGCAGTGGCATTTGCGCGCGAGCGCCTAAACGCCGCCAAGTTGTGTGGTTGACCGCATACACAGGAGGGTCGTGTTGGTAGACGCTGCGATAAACCAGTGCCAAAGAAGGGAGGACAAAGACTCAAAGTCCAACTCCAGAGCACCAACAGCAAGCGGCTGGTATGGATATTTGATCTGAAAACGCGACTGGGAGGGAAAATCGCGGTGGGATGATAGGCGCAGGATTTGTCCAGTACAATGCCACCACGAAGCCTTTCCCCGTCAAGATGCAGTAGGTTCATCTTGGTCGCTGGGCATCTATACCAGCAGCCTATTATGGGTGGGCAGGTGTCCACCACGGCTGTGACAAACCTGGCATTCATCCGCATGTGGTTGGAGGGGAACAGACAAACAGGCCAAAGATGCGTGAGAATGAGGGGCACAGGCAGGGATGTCATACATCATTGCCCCCCTTCCCGTGTGCCTGACAGCGGTAGCCCAGCTCGGGCGGTTGGTTCTCTCACGTCATGTGCGCCGACAGCTGGACGCCACGAGCAGGGAGGGGGGGCAATGGCCTGGGTAAGGTACGACGCTATGACCTTAGCTCTCAAATCCTGAGTTTGTTCATCTGAACCATTCCGACGCAGTCCTGCGACCTGTCCAGCCTACGATGGAAGCATCCCGGCCTGATTTGACTCTGCTGCTGCTGCGGCAGTGGAGCGAGCTGTCGATGGTGGCATCATTGCGCCGGATCTTGTCGCCACCCGGCATCCAGCATCCTTCAGCGCCTCGGTGCCCAAATCAGGCTCTGTGGGCGTTGGGATCCTCTGGGATTCCAGCTGGGTCCCCACTGGGCAGCTACTAGCACGGCCTAACACATTAGAGCTCAGGTCCAAGCGACGGCTATCTAATCTTATCCTGCCGGCAGCCCCACATCGAATCATGATCCCTTAGATTTGCACCATCAACATTTCTCCCATTTGCATCCAGAAAATTTTTAAAATTAAAATCTGCATAATAGATGCCATTATCCCGCAATGGATCTAAGTAATACTATTCTTGCCCTCATCAATCCCGGCGCATTCCGGCCGAGTCATTCAGAGTCTAGATGGCAATTAATTTCACCGCTGTCTGCACCAAGGCGACGTGCATTAGTTCGCGCCCGCCACCTCACCAACGACAAACCAAGCCCGTCTCTATCTCGAGTCACAACAGGCATTCTCTTATCGAAGCAGAAAAAAGACTTCATACGTTGCTACCTATTTACACCGTACTTTGATTATCGGCTTCCCCGCCTATCCACTTAGGTGCCTGACCGCGTATTGCATTCTAGGACACTAAAACTGTCATTGATTTCGCGAGCAACAACAGACATGAACTCTAACGCACGTGTGATAAGAACCGTGATCTCAAAGATCAGTCTCATCATTAGTTTATGCACCAGCACACAATGGCGTTAGGAGCAAGTCTCTGAATTTTAGAATCTTGAATTTTGTGCAGGTATATGCTGTTATCTTGATCGTTCAATCGTGAAGACGCGAACTCTAGGGTAGGTGCACCATATGCGAGCAACACGAACAAAGGATATTGATCCGATCCCTCTTAGGTGTGTGTGTTACCTTTTTATTTTGTACACATTATGTTAGGTATAAATTTTCCATTGCTCTTGAAATCGTTTCACATATGTGCCTTCGCTCTTCCAACCTGTCCAACACTTGATCGCCTGGGCTATTTGAACGAAGGATCTTCCATGGTGTTATGCAGTGGTATTGATTGTCGATACCAGTTCCCACCATGATCCGAAAGACCTCCGTCATTCCCTCCACCGTCTGGAGCCTTTCGGCTTTTCTCACCTTCTTCCCGCCGATACTCTGCCGTGAAAAATCCAAGACACGAGATGCGAGCCCTGCACCAAGCATGGTTGCAAATGATGTCCCCCCAAGGTGTTCTCCCCCTTCATGCAGCTTGATATCCTCTCCAAGAATCGCAAATCCGTAGCCCGCGGTTGTTGATACTGAAGGATTGAAACTAGGCAAGGCGCGTGAGCGTCCATCTGTAGAGAACATGCAGAAAAGCTTTTTGTTAATGTAGAGCCGGCCCGGAAACGATATGTGAGACAAATTCCCGTAGTTAGCTGCGGCTGCGAAGATGAGTATTTTGGCTGACCTTGCCTCCTCAATTGCTTCGATCATGTCTTCGCTCTCTGACTGAAATCCCGATGGCATTACAATCACGTCAACTCTCCATTTGAGGGTCGCGTGCCTCACTGCCTGGGTCATAAGGCTGAGAGTGTTCTCGTCAGCTTTTCGATGCTTGAAAACTCTGCCCACATATATCTTGGCTTTGTTGTTGGCTTTGTGTATCAGCTGGACGGCATATGTCCCGTGACCTTCTTCGTCGATGAAGTCCATGTCATTCTCCGTTATAAAATCCTTGTAGTCCTCAACCAGATCTTCGAATTGGGGCCTTACGCCGGTATCAAGAATCGCTATATTAACGGGCCTGTAATCCTTGCCCTTTTCCAGTGGCTTTGCTCGGAGGACCGAGTTTAGCCTGTCCAATTCCGTGAACCAATTTTCTGATGATATAATATCCTCACTGGAATTATTAACACGGGCGATTTGGAGCGAAGGTGAGGTATACTTATTTGACATGATTGCATTCTGCATTGACGATATTGTTGAAGGAGTAGGAGATCTAAGACAGTCATTAGAAACGAACATGCTAGTGACTTTCTCAGAGAGGGCAGATAGCATTACTGTATTGGGTGGCTAGGTGGCGAACCGTTGATTTGCCCGGGTTGATGTTGGGTGAGATACGGAAGTTGAAATGTTGGATTCACCATGATGATGTTCTTTCGCTGATCGGGCTGACTGGGCTGTCCGCCATCTGTCCACTGAGGATCGCATTGAGGCCGAGATGATGAAAACGGTGATGGTGAATGCAGTTTGATTTCACGAGAATCGGCCGTATCTGGGTCCTCCCAAGCATCGGTATATGCCTTTTGTAGTCGGTTGACTATGTTCTTTCTTACTTTGTCCCGGACGTCTTTAGGGTCGTTTTGATGGCCCTGGAAGTCTTTGGGAAACAAACAAGAGTGTATAACGGCTTTAAACTTGGAAAATGTCCCCCTTTCAGCCCACTGGCGGCCTAAGTCGAGCATTTCTGCGGCAACACTATGGTCGGTATTTACATCTACTTTGCCATCATTGAGATGCTTGGCCATCCTGTGATCTTCGATTTTCAGCCCCAATTCAATTTCAAGGAGCATTATTCCAAGAGAGAGAAGTTTTGGCAGGGGATGCGCCCTGAACTCTTCGTCAACCTGGGCCAAGTCGTGGCTCCCTTCGAGTGTGGTAGATAGGAATGGATCCCTGATGAAGATTCCACCTGAATCTGCTGAACGCCTGGAGAGCATGAAATGAATCGAATGCTTTGTCCATGCCGCATGCATCCAGCTGGAATCGTAGAATTGCCAAAACGCCTTGGCTAGAAAATAGGCCAAGTGGAGCCGCAATTGAAGAGGGAGTTGGACAGTATCGAGGATTTTCGAAAGGGATATGCTGGATTCGTTGAGAACAAAATCGTTTGAGAGTGTTCCTGGTCCTTGGAACAAAAGTTTCCCGTCCGAGACTGATAGCTCCAGCTGTGTCCGCTTACGATTATTGATCTTCCCACAGAATGTTTTCGTTGAAAGTTTCTCGCCTCCGAACGTATCGTCGGTATGAGGTTCATTGTCAGAGAATCGAATGGCCCTATAGTAATGTTAAGTTAGCCTACTGTATCACAAAGAAAGAAAAGAAGCCCTGAGAAAGGATGTTATAAACCTCTTCCTTCTAACGCAGATTTGTGTGTCTTGCCAGTGACAAGCCCTTTCGGTTTCAGGCCGATGTGGATGATCAAGGAACAGAACCCGAAATTTGACACCATCAACTGACTCACTGCATGTGTAGGAGTTCAAATGAAGATTTAATGTCATATATTTTCGCCCATCCTCGTGAATGCATAGACCGTCTGTAGACAAGCTAGAGTGAAGGGTTTGGACATATGCTTGGTAGTCGTCGTTATTTTCCTCCTCACTGTTTCTCTCGTCTGTTCCGTGGATTTGAAGGGGTGGCGGATGAATATCTGAAGCAGAACTCGATTTGGGGAAGCTTCTCAAGCATAGTATAAGCGATTGACGATGCTTAACCGCTTGCTTGTCAACCGATAGCCATCGCATGGACCTCTTCGCGTTTTCCCTGTCTTTCAAAACTCCTGATAGTGTGGGGTATCGTGAGCGGCTGAAGGAGTTGCATGTTGGCCCTCGAGGAGGACGGGGTGTAGGCCACTGACATTATAATTGCGTCAGAATATACATTTACTTGAAATTTATACGGAGACACGGGAACCGCACCTGACATAGCTTTTCAAGTGTGTCCAGCAGCTTGAAAACTCGGGGTTCGGCCGACGGCAGATGTCCAGGTTCGAGTTCCTCGATGTATTGCCTAACATGGCTCAGCTCGCATTCTAATGCGCTCAAGAATTTTTTATTCGCGGAAGCTGTGTTTAGTTCCGCTGCATTGTGACCCAGTCTCTCGAGAACCTTGCAGGTAAATGTCTGGAGTGTTTCGGGCGGTGCCCCCGATGGCTTTTGAACCGAGCCAGGGATGTAGGTCGTTTTGAACCTTAAGTCGGTGGTTCGAGGGCGCTGGTTGGAACTCATTCTGATTCTATTATTTTGTCTGTCCATGTGCCATCTTTGGCGTCGAGGCAACTTGAAGTCTGCCAGAAGCGGGGAAGGTTGCTCGAAGGCTGTGGCTGCAGCCTTGATCTGCTTTCTGGGTAAGCTGTGATGAGGTCACGTGTTAATGCATGAAGGGATCAAAATTATCTTAATCCTCTAGTTTCTTACAGTGATGTTTAATTTTTCAATGCAGCGTTTTTAACTCCTTGTCTTTTCTTCGAAGTTGCTTGTGGAATCCATGTTTACATAGGTAACTATCTAAGTGCACGCACCGTTTATTATTTGGCCACTAATAAGGCCCGCCATATGGACATCGGCGACAAGTCTCTGCTTTAAATAAAATGAAATGAAAAAAATTTCAAAGGAAATTACCATAACCTAGATTAAAATTCCCTGATTTTGATCTCTAGTCTTCCTTTTGGGCTTATGCGATTACTTCTCCTCTCTTAAGTTGCATGGCAAGCCCCATCCATGTCTACTACATAGATATCACCATCTATATCCAAGTCGGATGGTTGTGCTCCTACAAAGCCCTCGTTTTCCAGAGCCTCGAAAAGTTCCTGGCGTTTCGAAATCTTGCAGTTGCTGGAGAATGTGGCGCCCTTGGTTAGCGTAGAGCAGGACCACCGCCGGTCAAATACCCCTTCTTTTGAGATTTTTGCAAGCCGTATAGCCCAGACAAAGTCAGTGGCTTTCTCAGTCGAGACTGAATTGGACGCAGTATTTGATGTGCTTGCATCAAAGCCTAACTTGACCACACTGGCCATGTCTCTAGAGGGAGTTAGCTACGGCGGAATCACGATGAGAGCTTCAAGCCAACATGAACGCACACTTTGGGGCCACCGTGTGGATTTTTGTTTTGCATCACTGAAACCAGACCCTCACCGCCACGAGCGACTATGATTCCTGTAATCATGAACAAGGATGTTGAAATTATCCCGCCACGCCTTTTCAGGTATGCTTGAACCTCGTCACTTTCCATTGCATCCTCGACGTACTCAAGCGTAGGCTGGAAAATGTAGCTGTCAAGTGACTCAAATTGCCAAAATGTTTTCACGGTTTGCTGGAACGATGCTCCCAAGTCGGCACCTATCCGCATTCCAATGCCAACACCCACGGGTAGGCTGAATTGGCTAGATGTTGAGCGTTCATTACGAGTACTGGCGTCCCATGTCAGATTCAATGATTTGGTGTGATAGATCCTTATGTCGGGAGTAATATCAGGCGGCCCACGTGGATTGATGACATTGTCAAGCTTTGTAATGCTGGGAATGATATGTCCCCAGCAAAGAGGTCCGCTTCCACTCACACTCCCGGCCCCATTTATGGGAAAGGCTGGAGGGGGGTAGTGCGTTTGCTTCAGGACGAACCAGCACTTGTCTGCCATTTCTATGGCCACCAGACCTGACGGCGTGGGGATTTGAGATATTGATCAATGCGCCAGATGACATAGGGATTGGGCTATTTAAGGCACCGTGGCTGACCCCTCACCTTGAGACAAATGTGGCCAATGATCAAACTGCAAATCTCAGCCGCATACTTCCCCGCCCGTCATCTTGGCTTCAGGATACGTTTCCTAACTTACGTTGTGCATCACCATGGAAGAAATCAAGCCCGCAACTCACAGAAGGGGAAAGCTCAAGTGAAATCTCATCACCCAATCGTCACTACAAATGGCCAACATCTGAAAAATATATTATTTTCTGCAAGCGAACCTCATAATTACTTGACACCATTCTTAGACATTACCGATAACTGATGGAACAGCAATTTGAGAATGACAAACGAACCACATCGTCTGGCCCTTCCCTGGGATTGTCTTCTGCTCGAGAAGTGACTTCCGTGCAGAATCACGAGAGGTTTGCGATTGAGGCAACTTCAAATAGTCTTGATTTGCAAACGATTCATGGAAGAACGCAGCGTTGTCAGGCCCTATTTGGAGAGCTCCTTCAACAAGTATTACCTTCAAAAGCACCAACAGAAGTATATGATTGGATCAAAATTCGACAAGGAGAATTCAATCTTTGGGTCGCTAGTTTACGAGCTGCTGACCATGGAGAGACCTCTCTTGACCACCTTTTACGCGATCACCCAGAGCTTCTTCATATGGTTTGTAATTTGCTTGAAGGTCTCACAGAAGCATTGCAAGCCTATCAACAGACCGGTATGAATAAACAGTCCCCCAAGTATCCCTGCAACTTTAATAACAAAACTCTAGGTACTTCAAATGCCTGGCTAGAGACTCTCGAGAGCGATGCTAGTGCTAGCCCGGAGGACGATCACGACTCTGTGTCCCTATTTTCTGAATTTTCCTCAAATGAAAGCGACTACATGCTGAGTACGGAGACAGCGAAATCTAAGAGCGTGGTATCAGAAAACAAGTTTTACATTCAACTTATAATCAAACAGCTCACAAGAGTCTCAACAGCTATAATACGTTCTGTTCACAAACTTCGATATAAAAAGGCAGACGAGAGTTTGATTCTAGACGAGGACGAACTGAAGGAATTCAAAGCCGAGCTCACTTTGGTCATTATTAGGAGTAATGGATCCATCAAGGATATGCAGCTGGATGAGTTATCTCGAGTACAAATGGGACTTGATGAACATTTCAATTTAACACGAATACAGAAGCGACTCATAGACGCAAACATCACCAGACGAAAAAGGATGATGTATGCGACGAGAAATGCAAGGAATCGGGAAGACCCGGAGGAGCAAACAGCCTCTGATCCAACACCTTCTACTATGACTGGTGCCAAGAAGACCTGCGATAACCAGGATCATCCGGAGTGTCCTAACCCTCAGCACGGCAACTTGGCGCGGTGTCCTGATTGCACAGAACTGCTAGATGAATCATATTTGAGTCATAACTCTATATGGAGGTACGAATTAGCTATTCAACGATGCCACTATGATGGTCTGACTTGTGTGGTAGGGGACATGTTGCACGTGATATCCTGCCGTATTCTTGCATCTACGAAGACTGTAAATCGCCAGATACATTGTACCATACGTATGCCGAGCTAAGGCAGCATATAATGGCTGAGAATGGCGTTCCGGAATGGGTATGCATTCCCTGTGCTTCAAAATCCGGAGACAATGGACAGTTTATTTTCAAGAAAAGAGACGATTGGCAATCACACATGCAAATCAGCCATGGTGAGACATCCCTAGCAAGATTACAATTATTTGAAAAATCCAGCCACCGTACCGCACTCCCTGGACCCTTGATTTGCCCCTTGTGTGGGTACATAGGAAGCGATGCGATTTCTACTTTGGATACTCACATAGCAGGCTGTCTGCATGGTTTTGCTTTAAGGTGTCTCCCATGGGGTACTTCGGTTCGCTACTACGTGCAATCATTAGAAGAAGGGGGTTACTCCGAGCTTAACGAGAGCTTTGAGACAGAAGGACAACAGAGCTATGCGTCTATTGCAGCGACGTTGATGGCCTCATGCAAACAACTTAAGCAAGAAAATCCCATAGCCGGCGACTTGCTGTCATTTATGAGCGTTTTGAATCGGTTTGAAATTCCTTGGATATTTGTTTCCAAGTTTTATCACCACCATTACAACGATGAGCACGGAAGTTCCGCAATCCGAGACGGCCTTGACATCTTGATCGGTTTTGGCTTCTTAGCGGAGAACAAAACTGTCCCGGAAAGGGAGAGCCGGATCGATCAATCCGTTGAGCCCTGCTTTAATATGCCATGGTTTATACAGCGGGCTGTAACGTCCTGGCTTCGAGATCGAGGGCGAAGAGAGGAGTTTGAATATCAAGCACTTCGGATAGTCTCAGAAAGTTTCCCCAGTGGAAAAGAATTTGAAAACTGGAGGCTGTGTAGGGAATATTACTATCATGCTAGAGAAGTAAGATCCTTTATTTCCGTCTCTTCTCAATATGAGGTGGAAAGAGGAACATTTCTCAATAACTTTGGGGGATATTTGCAAGGAATCGGCCGCTGGGATGAAGCGGAAAAGGCATACCAGGATGCGGCAATTATTCGAAGGCGTATACTAGGCGAGGAACATCCAGACACACTCACCACTTTGGCTGATTTAGCTTCTGTGTACTTGGACCAGGGAAAATTACAAGAAGCTGACGAATTGGCGTATGCTGTCAATAAGTCTAGGGCGAAGGTGCTCGGAGAGACTCATGCTGATACGTTAATGAGCCGAGACAATCGCGCTCGCATTTTACGGATGCAAGGGCGGATACCGGAAGCTGTTTTGCTCGAAAGGAAGACTTTAGTAGAATGCAGGGGACATCTTGGTTTTGAACATCCTCAAACTCTGACTGTCCGCGCCAATTTAGCATCCGCACTCCGGATCCAAGGCCGATACTCGGATGCAGAGCGTCTTGGAACTGAAGTTTTAGCGCAAAAGAGGCGCATTTTGGGCGAACAACACCCCAATACACTGAGTAGTATTAGTAGCCTGGCATCAGTTCTCTTATGCCGGGGACGGCTCGAAGACGCTGAAACTCTAGGAACCGAGGTGTTAAGGCTTAGGAGGTCAGTCCTTGGCAAAGAGCATCCTGCTACGCTTGTCAGCATGAACAATCTTGCCTCAATCTATTGGCATCGGAAACGATATGCAGAGGCCGAGAGGGTCGGCAAAGAGGCTCTGCAGCTACAAAGCAAAAGAATCGGGGAGAGTCACCCAGATACATTAACTACCGCAGCCATCATGGCATCAATCTACTCAGGCCAGCGTCGATTTAGAGAGGCAGCGCAACTGGGGTCTACGATCTTGGAGTCAAGAGAGAAAGTTCTCGGGAGGGAACATCCGGATACCTGGACGAGTATGAACAATCTAGCTTCGACTCAAATGCACCTCAGGGAGTTTGAGCGGGCCCGGGAACTCAGTCTCAGGGTCTTTGAGCTGAGAAGAAAAGTTCTTGGGAAACATCACCCGAGTACACTCTCCAGTATGAACACTCTTGCACACGCGCAGTATAAGTTAGGCCAGAAAGCCATCGCCATAAAACTTATGCAAGATTGCGTTGGATATCGGCGAGTTGTGCTTGGAGAAGAAGATCCACGTACACTCATGTCAATGCATAATCTAGAATATTGGCAAGACGATTGAGTCAATTATCGTAATAGAAGTGCATTAAAAAGATGATTAAATGGTCGTGGCTGTGTAATGTACTAGGTCTTATGCTTCGGACATGTAGTTGTTGAAACTACACGCCGTAAGTCCCCAACCCAACCACGCGGGGTCTTCAAAAAGCGAATCCTGAGGCATAATGTGAGATGTGTCCAGTTCTATGTCGCCTGCCGTTAGATATGAGATGCTGAATCAATGCGAGCATAGCAGAAGATTCGTCTCTGACTAGAGGTTATCTGCTTCTGCTCTTTCCAGACGCTCGCTCCGAACTGAACGCAAAAAAGGCTTTATGAGGCCTCCACGCGAAGTCCTCGAGCAGCAGCCTCGATAGCAGGGAGACGCGCCAAGGCTGTTCCTTGAGCGGTGGGTTGAAGCTCAATCTCCTCTTGCTGGTTCTCACCGGCTAAAGCTGGTACCGAATCATTGGCCACCGTCGCAGCCCCCTGGTGAGCTCGAGCCTGTCGTCGAAAAAGGTTGGATAAGAGACCTTGTGCTGGGCGCGAGAAACTGGCTTGGATATCCTCGAGAGACCGACCTCGGGTCTCGGGCATGTGGATGACGAGCACACCGACTGTGAAGAGGGCAAGGCCGCTGAAGAGGAAGTAGGCGCCAAAGGCGGAGGCGTTGAGTAGGACTGGTGTGATAAGGGCAACGACCCAGTTTGTGAGCTTGTGTTTCCCCCAGTTAGCCGATTGGAGTGCATGTGACGTTTGGAATTAAGGTATTCAGTCTTACAAAGCTGCAGGCCATACCAACCGAGTTCCCGGCAGCGCGGGTGTTTCCAGGGAGGATTTCGCTGGCGTATATCTTGCCCACAATCCCCCAGGTGGCACAAAAGATCATACCGAATAAGAAAACGCACACTACCACCACCCAGCTGGCGGCGCTACGTGGCGTGACGGCGCCAGATGCGTAGAGGGTACCCATCAGGAGCATGATGCCAGCGAGGAGGAGACCACCAGATATGGCCGAGGTGCGGCGACCCCATCTATCGGCAAGCATAAAACCAGGGATGGATACTAGAAGCATGGCGATGGAGGATACACCTGATGCAATGAGTGATGAGCTGGTGGAGGAGATGCCAGCCTGATCGAAAAGCGATGGTGCGTACTGATACGTGTGTTAGTGCCACTGCTTGGAAGTAAAGGGAGCGAGGAAATGGAGATGCCATACGTAGGTCTGCGATGATTGTTAGCAAATACCTCAACAAGCATGGACGAGAAGAGCTTACAATTGCGTCTATGCCTGACAATTGAATCATAGAGAGAATGAACAGTGCAAGAAAAGTCTTTGGGCGGTATCCACGGCGGAACAGAAGAACAAAGCTCTGCCAATTGGACAGACTGGACTGCTCTTGCACAGTAGCCAGAAAATCTCTCCTGGCCTCATCGAGATCGAAATCTAGCCGGGCAAGGGAAATTTGGGCTTCATCTCCGCGGCCCTGGAGCGCCAACCAACGCGGTGATTCGGGCAGGAAGCGGCAGACAAGGGCCAGACCGGCAGACACAGCGACCTGAACGACATACGGTAGTCTCCAAGCGAGAGAAGATTTCTGTCCGGCTGTGGACACGCACGCAAAGTAGCCAATGCAGACACCCGTAGTGGCCATGAATTGAGGCAAGGCAGAGAGACGGCCGCGGCGGCGAAGTGGCGCAACCTCTGCAATGTAGACGGTGATATTGCCGAAGAATACACCCTGCCCGGCACCGGAGATTGCGCGACCGATGATGAATTGGGGCAGTTTTGTCGATGTCGCCTGGAGGAGAGCCCCGACTCCAAAGACGAGAGCACCAGGGGCGATGAGATGCAGCCGACCGTACTTATCAGCGAGGTGGCCTGCAAATAGGGCCGGGATAATGCCAGTGAGCATGATCGTGGAGACGGTGATACCAGTGATGAAGGCGGACATGGTCCCGCCCATCGATGATTTGAACTGCTCCATATGGACAATGGCTCCTATAGACCCAGTATCATAGCCATTGAGCAGCCCTCCGAAGGACAGAGCAATGGAGGCAGTGACATAGTTTGGCATCAGTTTGTCGAAGACAGGCATCTTGTTGCACGAGAGGAGGTTTCCTTCCTTCTTCCTTTGGAGATGGGGAGCACTCCAGAGCTGAGCCGGATCCTGGGCAGAATATAAGCATCAAGTATTGGAGACGAGGGTTCCTTTCACGATGTTCACATGACCTGACGTAGAACCCCGCGGGGAGGTTTGCCGCAAACCCCTGACACGGAGCGGGTTTTCCACATCAGGAACAACCGATGGTTGATTTCTAAGCGTCCAAAGTGTGAGCAGGGATAATAGTCCACATTTCCATTACTCCTGAGTTGCCTCTGCCTGCCATTTTCACGATCGATCGATCGCCTGTAATCCGCGGCGAGGCAGAAATGATCTTATTTTGCTCACACTAACTTAATTGATTGTCGCATATAACGTTACAAAGGGCAAGTGGGTGTCAGAATAACAGGTAACAAAAGTGTTTTTATACCTCAGCTTTCTTATACAATGATAATAAATATCGATAATAGTGTACAATAATAACAAAGTATTGAGTAATTATTAGTTAGTATTATCTATTGATACACAAAAGAATTAGCTATCATGACACAATAGGAATCATTATTGTGACTGCCACAATAATCTGTCGAGGTGACTCTGTGGTCCCTGTCTTCATGGCAACCACTTGACGGGGTCAAGAGTTTGCTTCCGAGTTGGCACTCTGGAGTATCGCGGTAGGCATTATACGATTGGTGTTCCTGCTGTGTTGCGTTGATAATCTATGAGAAAACTTAAATGTATGATTTGAGAGCTTCTTCATTCTTCACGGTCACTGAAAATACAGTGTTTGTCTGAAGTTTTCTTTTTCTTGTTAATACTACAATAGGAGCATGGCATGTTGACGACAAGACTTGTATGACAAGATATTTTGCCCAACATCTTGGCTATCCACCAATTTACCCCATCGACCATCACCAGACCAGACTCGCAGCCCGCGTGGTGTCCAGCCAAGGGCAGATATTCATCGAATACAATAATAGAGGATTAAGCAAGTTTGAATTTTTTTGTATTTAAATATCGATTCTAGATTGATGGCTGGGGATGATGAGCAGACATCTGGTTGAACTGACACAGCTAGTCGAAGATGCTCCTACCACCCTTCACCGGAAACAAAAGGAAAGTAGCCTAGTAAAGACCAACGACGACATCACCCTTGACACGGGCAGTCAGGTGGACCTCGGCCTCGAGGTCGAGCTTGATGCCGAGCAGGAGAGCGGCATCCTTGAGCTTGCCGTTGTCGTCGGCAGCGCCCTTGATGATTTGGCCTAAGGTGGTAAGAGTGGTTAGTATCCGCCCAATAGAGTGAAAAAGGTGATGAACATACCAGCAGGGGCATTGAGGCCAGTGGCGGTGGGCAGGGGAACCTGGAACTGAGCACTGTTTGGACACCCAAGTTAGTAATTCGGGGTTGAGTCGGTGGCATTGGTAACAGTGTCCAGTCTTGGAGGGTGAGGTGATGCTTACGGGGCAGACATCTTGGTGGAGTTGTTTTAAAACGGGGGGTTTTAAGTTGGTATTGGGAGTAGATTGTTTGAGTTGTGAGTGATGATGAGAGAGAGGAGTAGAACTTGCTTGGGATGGAATGGCGCTTTTATAGCATTCCTTGAGGCATCCGTGGAGCATTGCTAATTTCCCCTTTGCTTTGTTGTGAAATTTTTTCTCTGTTCGTCTATTAGCTGGGCAGGTCAATTCAATGCAAAGTCGGGATCGCATTATCGTGGCCCTGCAGACGCTGCATTGGCTGTCCAGCTCAGCTCGCCTTGCATCAATGTCAGAACCGAGTAATTTGACCCAAGAAGAGCACTGTAGCTCTGAGATTGCGTGTCCACAGCTTCCAGCCGAGATGTTTACTTGCATTGACCCATGGGATGAAATGTCTAGGGCTTCATCACCCGGAAATTATATTGAATTGCTCTTAATCTTCCCTACAGCAACAGCTGTAGAGCCTGACTTGGCGTGTCTCCAGTGCGGGTCACATAGCCGGAGGCAGTGAAGCATTTCGCTGACACGTCACATCGTCCCTGGCTGTTTATACTCATGCAGACGTAGGTGCATACGCATGTATAAACTACTGGAAAACATTGCTCCTGTGGCAAATCATTCGAATAGCATGAATGCAATGTGAAATGACTCCTAGGTTAATGAATCTAGAATTAACCATTCGTGCTGTATCATACATGGATGACGATACAACCACATGCCTGGATAATAATGACTACAACAACACAGCTCGAAAAGGAGGGAGGTGTTGGAAATGACACCTGAATGTTGGCTCCGGGGTGAAAAACGGTCCTAAGCTCTACGTGACTCATGCCTATGTTGATAATACTAAGATAAAACATGATTTCGATGAGAGTATGTTGAATACATGTTCCCTTGATTTCAATGTTCTCGTGTGTTGAGTTGAATCTGCCCATTAGTATTCGCCGAAATAAAAAAAAAATCATTCCCTTGCCATAGGTAGTGAGGAGTAACATGGATGCCGTCCCAATAGTACAAATCTTTTAAAAAAGGAACAACAGGTGAAGCAACCACGTACGTGTTCCATCGCAAATTGCTCTGAAATGGTTCTGATGTTGACTATTTCACACATTCAACCATCCATGGATGCCTTTGGTCACACTTCTCCTTGTGTAGCTTGGCCATTCTACACATCCACATCTTCTTGAGAGATTGATCATCCTTGAATGATGTCATCTCAGCCTCCGTGAACCAGACCTTCTTAAGGGGTTTAGCATATTTTGCATGAGGCGTAATCGCAGGAGACAATTGATTGTTACCGAGGACATCGTCGAAAAACATTCGGCCCACTCCTGCTCGATGAAGAAGTGGTAAGGCATCATCCATGAAGCGCTTGGCGTTGCGGATGATCAGGTGTTGGAAATCCTCAAAATGCCCTTGGGGGGACAGCATTAACGAGTTTATGCCTCCAGGGAAGCTCGCGATCGAATGATCAATTCCCTCGGTTATGTGATTGATAAGACTTTCGCGTCTCCTGAATAGGACGACATCAGGATTCTCCGGGACTAACACGAACAGTTGAACAGCGGCCCGCCTCGTCGCATTCCCGATTGCGCATTCTAGCAGGATCGTATCGATGCGGTAGCGGCGGAACACTTCCTAGGTGTAGAGGCTCTCATCCCAACCATATCGCGCGCCTGAAATATCTATGGCGAGGACCTCGCCTGTCTTGGTTGTTACACGTAAGACATTGTGTGTAGTGAACTTTAGCGACCCGATCATGAGAGCTGGGTTCTTGATGTTGATATCTATCTCTTCAATTTTCATGCAGAAAGCTGGACAAGATTTCAGCTATCTTTAAAGGAAGGTAGCCATAGGAGCGTAAACTCACGTTGGAGAAAGGTTTTAACCCAAGGCATTCCAGTCGAGGTGATTTCTTCCGCATTTTTATCAAAAAGCACAGCTTTCTCTGCCTTTGCGCTCATATTGGTAGGGATCACATCATCTGGGAAGCGTCTAACAAACGAGGCACCAGTGTAGCATCGACGATCTTCGTCGTTTTTCCAAGTTTCAGCCGCGATGAGGCCGTTTTCCTCGGAGGAGAAATCGCATCTCTCAGCATAGGTACTGGACTGCAGGGCCGCCCATAGCCCGGTAAGAATAGAAACAGCGCGAGCGAGCTGCTGTCGGGAGCTGCATACTTTCCAGTGGGATAGCCAGCCGGCTTTTTGGCATTCGCTTGAGCAGTAGTGGACTCGGAGATGGCCTACGTCAGTGATCTTGCAGCCAGAGCAGGCCAAAGTACAGCCGCCCTTTCCACAGCCGGCGCATTTTTGGTAGTTGGGCATGGTGCCGTATGGCAGAGAAGAGGGTCCATTGATGGACGCAATGGTTGGCGACGGCTTGCGATTTGGCATCAGAGGCATGCCATTTTCCTGAAGCCAGGCGACCCAGTCCTCAATATTTGGGATGATTGAACCAGTGGCCATGGTGCCTGAAGTCAGTAGAGAATGATGTGGTAATCCAAGCAGCGTTAGGGCAGACACACTGATGAACTAGATCAACGATACAGTGGTGGAAAGCAAGGAAACTTCACACGAGATGCTACAAGATGGTCACGATATATTGAAGGTACACGAGCCTAGTATAGCCCGCTTCACGGGCATTCTAAGAAGTAAAACTTATTATATAATAATAATTATAGCCTATATATACCTTCCTTACTTCTTACTATAAAATAGCTTTACTTTTATAAAACCTAGCTTTCCTCTTTATTACTATTAAAAAGGTATATATTTTCCCTCTTTTTAGGCTTTATAAAGCTATTTATAGTATTATATAATAATATAATTTTATAGAGGCTATAATAATATATAATATTAAATTTTAAGCTCTATAAACCCTTTATACTTACTTAAAATATTAATTTTAACTATATAGCTTATATTTCTTATATATTAATAAAGCTTATAGCTAATAATAGTAATTTATTATATAATCTATATATCCCTATAACTTTTAAGTAAATATAATATATTATATTTATAATAAAGTTAGTTAATAATTTATATTTTATATTAAAACTCTATATTAATTAATACTACTACTTAAGATAAACTATAATAATATATTATAATAATTACCTTTCTAGCTATAAAGATAGTACTCTTAACTAAGTATACTATAAAGGTTAATATAAGTAGTATAACTAATAATAGTAATTATATAATACTTATTAAAGATATAGCTATTACTAAAGATATAGTTATTATTAATAATATAGTAATTATTAAGGATAAGGATATAGTACTTATAATTATTAATACTAAGGGATTTATATTAAATATATTTATAAAGAGAATTATAAGTAAAATAACTATTACTTTATATATATATATTAATATTATATATAATAATAAATAGCTACCTTTATAATATTTATTATTACTTTTATTACTATATTTAAATTAAATATAAAGGATTTAATAAAAATAATAAAGTATAAGCTTAAGTAGTAAGTATTTATAAACTTTAATAATATTATTATAAGTAATAATAAATTTAATATAATTAACTTTAGCTTTATTAGTATTATAATCTATAATAATAAGAAGGAATATTACTTTATTATACCTTATTATAATAATCTTCTTATAGAGATATTATACTAAAGTTATATTACTATAATTATATAGGTCTTTAAAAAGGTTTACTATAATAAAGAAAAAGTATATATAATATATCTTTAAGGTATTATAATAAGTTTATACTTTACTTATATTATTTATTTCTTTTTACTATATATAAGGGTAATATCCTAAGATTAAGCTATATATATAACTATAAGCTATAGCTATTTAATATATATCTTAAAAAAACTAAGCTATAGTTTATACCTAAACCTTTTTAATACTATAAAAACTTTTAAGATTATATATAAAGCTTAGGTATAAGTATTAATATCTTAAAAAAACTTTAATAAGAGCTAGCTAATATATAAGTTAATTATAACCCTAAGAGGGGATACTTATTACTATTAATTTCTCTTAATCTAATTTAATCTAATCTAAGTAAAGTAATAATATTAATATCTAATATTATTATCCCTAATAAATACCTAATTATAGTAAATAACTAAGTCCTATAATATATAATAATAATTATAAGAGATAACCTAAAGAGGCTATTTTCTAAGTATATTAAGTATTTAAGCCTTTAATTAATTATAGGCCTCCTTATAGTAATAAAGCTACTATTAATAATTTAAATCTAATAGTTATAGCTACTAGGTCTATTAATCTATTATAAAGCTAGTAGGGTAATATTAATAAATTAAGCTAAGTATAAAGTACTTTTAGAGGATAAGAAAAGCCTAGATAAGCTAAATCTTACTAATAATTATTCCTTTATACTTACTAATTATAATAACTTAAAGTTTAACCTTTAGTTTTAATATATTATATACTATATTAAGTTAATTTAAGTAGAGGTAGCCCTTAAAGATTAAACTTATTCTATTAGTATAGTTAATATTATATTATAGATTAAGTTAAGTAGCTTAGTAGTATTAGATAAGTTTTTTAGGAAAGTCTATTAATTATTAGAGAGGTTAAAATTAAAGGAAAAGTTTACTAGAGGTTAATTTATATTTAGTATATTTTAGTATAGGAGTTATTAATATAGAATTTTTAGATTAATAATAATAATTAATTACCTATTACTAATTTAATTAATAAACTATATATTATATAATAACTTTACTTATATATACTATAATATTTTATATATAATTAATATTCTATTTAGTATATAAATATAATTAAGATTTTTATATTTAAGAGATAATAACTTAGAAACTAGGATTATATCTAGAATTAAGCTATATTTATAATTTAACTTATTAGTACTTATATAATAAATATCTATAAATCTTATAAGGATATAGCTCTTTATTATAGAAATAATTATAGCTTAATCTTCTATAAATATTATATTATTAATAAATACTAGAATAATTCTTATAAGTACTATATATAGAATTTATATAGTATTAAATATAGCTTCTATATTAATAAGTAATAATATATAAATATTACTTATTATAATAATTAATAATACTTTATAAAGTTATTAAAAGTTATAATATATTTATATATATACCTACCTTAGATAATAATATATAATTAATTAGTAATATATTAGCTAAGTATAGAGCTATAAAGATTAATAAGAGTAAAGTAAATACTAATATAAAGATTAATTCCTTTTTTATAAAAAGGTATATAATCTTTAAGATTAATATTATACTTTAGTAATATAAAACTTATTAAATAACTAAAGCTATAAAGTTAAATTATAATTATATATTAAAGGAAAACCTTAATATAATACTTTTATAGATATATTATAGTATCTATATAGGTGATCCCTAGTTAAATACCTAGGAACTAAGTAGTTATACTTTATATAATTACTTAAGAACTAAATATATAACTAGCTCCTAATTCTTATCTAGCTTAAAATAGATAATCTAACCTTAATAACTATTTATTACCTTTTTAAAAGTATATATACCTTCTAATACTAATTAGTAATTATAAGAATATATAGTTATAAATTAGCTATAAAGAAGAGATAGAATCTTTAGAATACTTAAGAAAGTTAAAGGCTTACTATAAGTATTAATTTCTATACTAAAAGACCTCTCTAAATATAAGATATTTTAGTATTATTATTTATAAAAAGTTACTTTATAAAAGTATAAGTTCCCTTAATATTTAATTAACTAGGAAATACCTTATAAGGAGTATCTTATTATACCTTCCTTCCTAACTATATAGAAGTAAGAGATTTATCTATCTTCTTACTATCTTTATACTTAACCTTAAGAGATTACCTCTTAATTTATACTCTTTCCCCTTATATTATATATATATACTCTCTTTATCCCTCCTATATCTTTTCCTTCCTTTCTCTTACTTTCTTAATTACTATTACTATATAGTAGAATTTTTATTAATATATAAAAGGCTTATTTATATAAAGGCCTATATTAATTAATAAGAGGTAAAACCCTTATATAACCCCTTTAGGAATATCTTATATATACTATATATAGAGCTATAATAGAGCCCCTATATATACCTATTTTAGGAATATCTTATATATACTATATATAGAGCTATAACTTTATATAATATTATAATTAACTTATACTTAATAAGAAGACTCTCTTTTAATAAATAATAAGGCTAAGGAGTACTATAAAGAGATAAGATTAATATAGAAATTTATATATACCTTAAACTAAGTGCTTATACTAACTATAGTATTAGATATTATTAATATAGCTATTATAAATATATATATAATATACTATTTATACTAATATAGATAAGTAAAGTTATATAGTAATAAGCTATTTTATAACTTTATAAATAACTTTAAAAACTAAATTAATAAGTAAATAGGCTAGATTAATATTATTCTAATTAAGGAACTAAAATATATACTTTAGTATAATAGTATTTATATAGGTTTATTAATTAAGAATACTACTATCTTAATAAACTAAGTATAAAAATTAGAGGAGTTATTAAACTAGCTATAAACTAATTAATTCCTAATATTTACTCTCTACCTAGAGTTATAAGTATTCTAAATCTAGAAATAGCTTTATTAAGTAGCTTTAATATAGATAGCCTCTATATAAGACTTTATTAAGGTTATTAAACTTAATATAACTATAATACTTAAACTAGAGATTATAAATATCCTTAAAACCCCTTAAATACTATTTACCCTCTTAAGATTAAAACTATTTATAGAATTAGTTCTAAAAGGTAATTTAAATAAGTATATATATAGAATATATAACTTATACTATAATCTCCCTCCCTAGAGTAATCTTAAAATAGGAATTATACCTATATAGGAATTAGTTTTATTTTAAAAGCTATTTAATATAAGAGAATACTTATTTAGAGGGGAATTATATAATATACTTAATATAAAGATTTAGATTATACTAACTACTTATAAATCTTATTATATATAGTTAAGTAAATTTAAGAGTATTTTATTTTATATTCTAAAAGGGAATACTTAGGACTTTTAGTTTTAATATATTAAAGAAGAGGATACCTTTTAGGATACTTATTTAAAGCTAAAATAATACTTTAATATTACTATAAATAAGTAGTAGTATTATTATAATTAGACTTAGATTAATATATCCTCTATCTATATAAATAGAGAGAATAAGGATCTAATAGTATATTAAGTGCTCTAGAAAGTATTTACTACCTTAATAAAGGCTTAAAAGGTGCTTAATAATATATATAGAGGTAATAATAACCTTTAAGCTATAGTAGTAAGAGTATATAAAGGGTTAAGGGAGCTAGAAATAGCTCTTTAGAGAGAATATATTAACTTAGAATCTCTTATATAAGGACTTATAATAGTATTAAATATAAGTCTATTATAATAG